ATAACATGGACTGGTTATGGTCCGCAGTCTCCACTGGGTTGCCTGTTCAATACAATGCGCCATCGGATCTGATATCATACTCCCATCATCAACACTGACAAGCGGTGACATCAGACCCAGCCATAGGTATAAGTACAATTGATCGCAACAACACCACAACACATTCTCCTAACCAACTCTCCATTACTCCAAACTGTGTGCATCTACTACACTATACAATAACTACATCAAAATGTCCAACTCCCACAAAGGCGGCTCCCTCTCCGACATGGCCCCCGAGGGCACCTCCATCCCCAACGACGCCGGCATCCAGAATACCATCCCCTCCGTCCCGCGTCCGGACCAGCTGTCCGAGAGCTCCCACTTCGACTTCGACGGCGTCTCGCAGCCCTCGACTGCCTTCGCGGCTGACAACGCCACCGACATGCCGCGCGGGCCACGCGACATGGGTCCGACCGGAGAAGTCGTCACCGGCACGGGGCACACGTTCCCCGCGGAGGGAGAGACGAAGCGCAATGAGATCGGGGCGAACTGGCCCGGGGCGAAGGGACATGTTCGCGATCTGAAGCATTCGAATAAGAACCGGGGTGCGTATGATCGGTTTGCGGAGGAGTAAGGTTGGAACTTGGGAATGAACTTGCATGTATTATATCGAATGAATGAATGAATGGTCGTATGCATAGTGTCGATGTCAGCCTCGCATAAATCCCTGGTAGATCTCGTCCAGCACGTCGCGCTTGCGTTTCCGCTCCGCCAGCTCCGCCTCCTCGGCTTCGTCTGGCTCGCCGTCCGGCTCGCGCGACACCCACGCGCGGACGGTCCCATCGCCATGCGCGGAGAACATCTCGAGGCCCTCGCCGGCGGCGCCGTTCCCGCGCCAGGCCAGCGCGTTGATGCGCGCGGCGCTCAGCGCGCTGGGCCGGCCGCGGAAGTTCTGGCGGCTGGTCATGAGTCCCGGGACCTTGAGGCGTTTGACGAAGACGCCCTCGCGCAGCTCGCACATGAAGATCTCGCCGCGGTCGTCGCGCTCGTTGAAGTTGGGCCACAGGAGGGTCTCGTGGCCGGGGGCCATGACGCCGCGCGGGAGCAGGAGGGGCGCGCGTTCAGTGCGCTGCGTGGACACGCTGTTGCGGATGCGCGGGCCGAAATGTACGAGCGTGTTGGCGCCGGTTGAGGCGTCCCAGACGCGGATGCGGGCGTCCTGGCCGGCGGTCACGAGGTGCGTGCCGGTTGGGGTCCAGCGCACGCCGGTGACGGCGCCGTTGTGTGCGCGCGCGGCGGGTGAGTACGCTGGGCGGCTTGTGTAGGGCTGGGGTGCGGTACGCGGGGCGACGAGGCCGACGGCGTCGTCCATGTCGAGGGCGGCGATGGCGGAGTTGTGGCCGCCACGGCGAATGTCGAAGAGGATGACGCGGTTGTCGGTGGAGGCGGAGGCGAGGATGTGCGGTTGGTGCGGCGCCCAGGCGACGGAGAGCACGGAGGAGGTGTGGCCGGGGAGGCCGTGGGTGGAGAGACCGGAGCGGAGGTCGAGGAGTCGGACGGGCTTTTCGGAGGTGCCGACGGCGATGAGGAGGGGCGACGCCGGGTGGGAGGAGAAGGAGTGCGTGTAGGGCGTGCAGTCCAGCTGGAAGGTGTGGACTGGAGTGATGGCGCCGGGAGCCAAGGCGGAGAGCTTGAGGGTGCCATCATGCGATGTCGTCAGGATGGTGGACGGAGTGGGATCAAAGGGATAGATGGAGACGGAGGTGATGGCATGCGTATGGGCGTCTGGGTGCGACGGCTTGTTGACGGATGCTATAGACCGGTGGATGTGGTCTAGCTCGGACGTTCTCGTCTCAAGATCCCAGAGATGGATGGAAGGGTCGGCGCCTCCAGAGACCATGCTAGTCTGGTTAGCGATAGGTATGCGGTTGTATCGGAGTGCGCTTACAATCGGCCCTCATGCTGGTCAATTGCGAGGACATTCACGCCGGATTTATGGGCGAGGATGTCCTCATCGGCGGGGAGCTCTGCATCGTCTCCATCTGGAGGCTCTTCAGTCCGCAGGCTGGAGAAGCGAATGCCAGGTGCAGGCTCTAGGTTATGGACCAGACGGGTGGTCTGGGCGACGTGGAAGGAGTGGGGAGAGATAGACCCAAGGGTCCTGTTGAGGAGATATGAATTCATTCATTTGAAGGTTGAAGTTGGAGGGAGAATCAAACTGAAGGTGAAGTCGAAGTAGAAGATGCGAGGGGTTCAGCTGACCGCCCAACACGGTTAGCACAGGATCTACAGCGCATTGCATGTACTCCTACATAATTATAAGGCATCTCATCTGTCGATATTATTGCAGTGAGGGAAAAACAAATGTAACTACAGTAGCATCGATAGAATGTGTGTATTCAGAAGATATACAAAAATCGCAAAAAAGATATTGACCAGTGCCGGGCTCGATCCGGCGACCTCATCGGTGTTAACGATGCGAGATAACCAGCTACTCCAACCGGCCAATTGTTGTGATACTGCTCAATTTTCGGATTTATGATCCTACCTAAATTTTCCATAGATTTACCTACCTCACGTACCAGTGAACTGCAATCTGTCAGTAGGGAGACTTTTGGCTGACTTCGTAGTCCATGAATATGCAAGGGGGTATGTGAGCAATCCGGATTTACTACAGGAGGCGACTCGTGGCCCACCTGATGGAGGTAGGTGCAGATATATATATTTTCAGTCCCATCGTGTCCCATGAGCCGCATCCACTGATTAGCCCCAAGGCACCTCGATGGAACACACCGAACAGTGTTCACAAACCACCGCCATGGGGATCCTAGCAAGAGACTCCCAATCTCCACTTGCGTTGGATGTCCACGATGGTCCCTCCATGCCCAGCTTGGCTCACCTCCCGTAGGCTACAGATAGCTAGCTGCGTACGTCCCTCAAACCAGCAGTTGATGGTCATGGCCACACCGTCAGTATAAGCTGTGAACTGATTCACTCGACAAATTATAATAATGGCGACGCACCCATAGATTTGACCAACCGGATAATCTTGTCACATGGGACAGAAGATGCATGCGTACTAACGCTATGCGATGTGCACACTCGTCGGGTTTGGGAGTAGGTAGCAGGTAGGTAGCTGGCCTGCTTTTTGGAACAAATTCATCCGTGCCATGCTACAAGAGAAAAACCCCCGCCTTCGTCACTTCCACTCTTTTGTTTGCTTACCATGAGATATTCAAACCCCGGCCCCTCCATTTCTCATCCCAGTCTCTCTACCCACCAACCCCTCAGAAACACCAACCCAGGTACACTCGCAAGGGAGCATTCATCATGATAGGTAATATTTACTCAACCACGATGTGAATTGCAGCCATCTCATACATTCTGGCAGCGGTCTAGAGAGTGCATGCCAGTCCAATCATCAAGCGACGACATTGGCACCATCATGCAGAGCATAAACAAAGTCACCACGCGCGACTATCCCTACCGCTTCTTTGGGGACCTTTGGCTTGAATCTCCGGAGGACCATCTCAGTAAGGATGAGTTGTCTCGTCTAATGGTCCTTAAGCCTCTCATCGGTGACTTGGAGAATCGAACTCAGGGTAAGACCTTATGACTCTGTCACCAAAACAACCATATCAGGTAGCTAACTCCACAACACGCGACAGGCTCATTACACGATATACACGACACGTTCTCGCACTTTGCCATACGTGAAACAGAAGCATGGGAGAGGCTCGGAGCAGAAAGGTCTCCAAGACTACTGGTACAACCCAGCGGCAATGTTGATGCTGTCGTTGCCTGTCACCTTCACAATCCGACCTTTTACGTGAAGGACCCATACCGTCAAGAGACAGAAGCCAAGTCAAATCCTACGATACAGCAAATCAACCAAGCTGGTTTTTCGTCCCAAAACTGTTTTATCTTCGATCACATCTGTCGCTGCGACAGAACAGAAGACGTGTTGCTGTTCTACACTGACGAGATGCTTGAGATCCACGAAGACTTCATGCTCTCTCTGAGGAGACAAATGGGTGCTAAAGTCGAGATATGCTGGGGACGACATGTGCGCGAAAGAATGAAAAAGCTTGTCAACCTGGTTCCCTTCAAACTCTGGGGTCGGTTCCAAGATGTGGAACTGTACCTAGAATTAGAGGACCAGAGACTCATAAGATTCGTCATCTTTGTGGCACACCCACAGTTCTTCTTTTATCATGGGTTCTTTACGGAGAAGGGAGTTCGTTTCAGGGCAACGACTGCAAGAAAGCAAGACCTATACCTAAATGTGGCTAGCAAGCTGGGTGGCATAGCAATCACGCAGGGTTTCTATGAAACCATCCATCGTCCTGCGCTTTATGGGCAGTTTACCCGCGAGCATAGGGAAATCGTCAACCGGCTAGAAGCCGATGCCGATACTCAGCTAAAAAAGGCATTCCCACAGAAATACTATCAGCTTGAATCGGCAATGGAAATACACGGCAAGGAAACCTGCGATGGGGCGCTCACGCAAAAATCTTTATCACAACTGATAAGAGGGGACACCATACAAGAAGTATGTGCCCCCACGAAGCCTCATGGACGGTTCACCGCTGATACCTAAACAGGAACTACGGAGATCTCACAGGATCTGCAATATGACTCGAACTTTCCTCGAGGTTGCCGGACAAGTCCTCGTAGGTAGCACGGATATTCGCAATACAACCCAGCTTCAACTTCTGTCGGAGCATCCGTCAGATTGGGACAATATTTCAGAGTGGCATGAGATCCCGGATTCACTCGTTAAATGGATCCAACAACAGGCTGGCCTTCAGATTGACCAGAAGCCGATTTCGTCCAAAGGCGAGCTTCTGACAGCGTTCCACCTTTTGTCGCCTGCCAATTACGGACAGCGTAACGAGTCCCTTATGCGTGCCATAGTCAAGGTTGGGATCTGGTACATTGCCAGGGCGCAAAAGAAAAGGCACGAGAGTGTTACGGATCTGATCATTCCCGGTGCGAGCCCTTACGACATTGTGCGTAGAAAATGCTCAAAATGTGGCGAAAGAGTTCTTGACGACGCCTTTGCTTCCTACGCAAAGGAAGACCCGAAGAAGTACGTCATTTGGTATCGCCTACATGGATGTGGCCGTCCATCCTGCAGTTCTGCTATCGAGGGTACCTATTTCGCAAACCTCATCCCGCTGGACCCGAACCAGGGCTACAAAGTCGCAACACGCCGGAGCCTCCAGTGTGCGCGATCGGCAAACTGGGACGAATACCTGCTGCGTCTATCGGAGGATGAGCGAAGAGCCACGCAGAAGGAGGTCCAGACCCGCTGCGGAAACTGTGGGACTGAAAAATACCTCGATAGGAAACCCAGATGGACTGCCGAGACACCTTCAAGGTACGTCATCCCGGTTCGGGGATGCAGGGTCTGCAAGAAGCGGTTCTGTTCGTTTGTTCCGGCGGACACAAAGATTGCCACCATATCAAAGGCTTCACTGAGCAAGAAATGGAGAGATCTCAAGCAAGCTGGCATCGACCCAATCGATTACCCGCGCAGGCCAGAGATATTATGGTCACACAAATCACACCTAACAAAGCGCAAGGAGTTGGAAAGGGAAAGAGACCTGATTTTGGCTAGTGAGGAGTCTAAATTATTGAGTCAAGAGCCGAAGAAGAGGAACTTCAACTCCAAAAGAAGGCTGAAGCCTTAGGCAGTTGTCGACATAGGAAGATTGTGCAGACCCGGTGCCGTCCCCCGCCCGATCCCCTACCAATTATGCTAGAGAATACTGGAAATATTCCTGGGCTCTGGGAGGAAAGAAAAGATAAGTTGAGGTTATTAGGCAGACTGAAAATTTATGAGTATGTGGTTGATTCTAGCCAGTGGTGACAATAGGTCAAATTCTTGGTCGTTTTGATGTACTCCGTAGGTTGCTTAAAAGTGTGGATTGGTTTGTGTAGTCAAAAAAGCTTGACTAGCATCAACAATTGGCCGGTTGGAGTAGCTGGTTATCTCGCATCGTTAACACCGATGAGGTCGCCGGATCGAGCCCGGCACTGGTCAATATCTTTTTTATTTTTATATCCTTCCCTTGACACTATTCCGACGTACCTGTATTCTCTTTTTTACAATCAGCTGGGCAAATCGTGCCCACGCCGCCGATTCACCGTGGTCTAATATGCGTGGGAAGGACGCAGATGTAGACACACACCTCGTACATCCCACCACGCCCAAACCGTAGTCCCGAAGTATACCCATTCCGAGAAAGTACTGTGTACTCCATTCTCGTCGAACTGCTATCGTAGTTCGATGTAATGGGCCACCCAGAACCAATCCAGATGATAAGCGCCACAAGGCTGTCGAACGGGTATTCGATATCAATATGCCCTGGTCCCTGCCTCAGCCACGCGGGGTTATCACACTCAACACGAGGTGGTCGACACGATGCGATATCTCAGCCTTCTGATTAAGATGGTTCCTTCTGCATGATCAGCTATCCTAGACCGACATCAACATGGAGACTTATCGCTACTCCAAGCTAAACAAAGATGAAATCCGGCTGGTCGATCTCCATCCCGGGTCGGTCTCTGACAGGATCAAGATAAGCATCTCACATATACCTCTCCCTCCCTCTACTCACAATACAACACGGCCTGTCAGCTTGAACGAACTTGAAAAGACCCTTCCCCCTAAATGGTCCATCTTCGAGACGACAGACAGGCAGATCCTCTTCTACTTCGAAGACGCCAACGACAACTGGAAGTCTTCCTGGGAACATCCAGACCCAACCGTGGACCTCTGTCCGTACCAAATTCCAATCAGAGAGCCAAAGCTGTTCCATTACGAGGCTCTATCGTATACCTGGGGCGAAGGCCACGGCAGTGAAACAGCGTACCTGGTGTCGCCGAGCTCACCCCACGACACGCAGCTGCGAATAGGCTCGAATCTGGCACTCGCCCTGCGACATCTCCGCTTCGAGGACCGGCCCCGAGCGCTCTGGGTGGATGCGATCTGCATCAACCAGGAGGATCTCTCCGAGAGAGAACAGCAGGTGCAGCGCATGTCCACTATATTTCGGGAGGCGGACCGCGTGGTTGTCTGGTTGGGCCCCGAGTCCACCGATAGCCATCTAGCTATGCAGCGCCTCGATTTCATCGGGAGACAGGTCGTGAATACCATGGACAACTGGAACATCTCGTCTCCCGAAACGGTCGCACCCGACTGGTGCTACTTCCGCTACGCGATACCATACAGCACGGCGGAGTGGACGGCCATCAACGCGTTCATCCACCGAGACTGGTTCAGCCGTGTGTGGGTAGTGCAGGAGATCCAGCTGGCCACTGACGCAGTCCTGCAGTGTGGGTTTGCCCAGATGTCGTGGTCACATTTCCGCCGCGCAGTCATTCTCCTCTGGGGAAAACAAGACCCGTGTCCATGCCTGTCCCGCCACAGGCTGTCGTTCATCGAGCGGCTGGCCAACGTTGTCCAGGCTGATACCCCGATCTACCACCGGTTCCATCTCACAGCCGGAAGAGGCTGCGCAGACCCCCGGGACCGGATATATGGCGCCCTTGGTCTGTTCCCGGATGACTTTCAGCTCAAGGTCAGCCCGCAGTATTCCTTGCCCGTAGGAGATGTTTATCTCGCCTTTGTTCGCGCCCATGTCGAGCATGTCCAACGCCTAGAGCTTCTCAAGAACTGTCAGCTGCACGGCCGAACAACCGACGCCCCATCTTGGGTTCCTGATTTCTCGAGCAAGTTCCCCACCCTTAAGGGCGCAGAGTGGCAATTCGTGTCGGGATACGCAGCATGTGATGTGAGGTTTGAAGGAAGCACCCTGAGCGTCCTCGGGGTCCATTCGGCCACTGTTCGCACGGTCACTCCTCCAATCCCAAATTACCGATCAGAGAGCGACCCAAGCACCTTCCTCGATTCCGTCATGGCAATCCAAGAACTCATCCGCGCTAACTTCGTAAGTACCATGGGAGACTGCGTTGTACCCGATAATGCTGCACGAGCGATGACGGGAAACTACCTCGCCGACCGGTTCCCGGAGAACAACGTCCTCACGTTGGAGCAGTGGAAGGAACACCTGCGCAGCCCCACTGTCTTTGGAGATAGTATAACCAGCGAAAACGAAGGGGATCTCCCTTTTCAAGAGGAGTTCGCCCTCGGCTTTCTCCTTGGCAGAGTCTACCTAAGCGCTGATGAGGGCTATGTAGCACTTGGGCCTCCTGGCACGGAACCAGGTATTCTTCTGTGAATTAGACAGATTCACTGCAGTCCTTCTAACAGCCGCAGGGGATCAGATAGTCAGTCTGCTTGGGTGCGACTCGCCTATGGTGCTACGCAGAGTGCCGCACGGCGGCTTTTTAGTCGTGGGAGAATGCCTTATGCCCGAGCTGAGCGACTCGCGGGACTTTCTCGGGCCTTTACCTTCGCCCTGGCGAGTCCAGTATTTCATCGGCCCATCAGACAGGTACGGAGTCTATCGTTATAGCAACGCCGAGACTGGGGATTTGTACGACCAGGATCCCAGAACGGTGGGTGCATCAGACTGGCAGTTAGAGACGGTCAACAGGACCGGGGACGATCCGGTCACGTTTAGGACCTTTCGCAACACGGTGAGTGGAGATACAGTAAAGTCTGATCCTTGCTTGACCCCGGAGGCGCTGCGAAAGCGTGGAGTATTGCTCGAGTGGTTTGTATTGGTTTGATATTCGTAGGCTTGTATTAGAGAGGGTACCCCGGAAGAATGTGTTATCCGGAAATGGCAGAGTCCACGAAATCTAGCAATTCCCAGACTGCTAGTTGATATTCAGGATATAAGCGGCGCGATATGTAATTGCCGTGGCTTCAACCAAAGCTCCATCAGCGGCGAAGACAGAATAACACTCGGCGTTTGCATACCAAGTGATACACCTCTTCAGCAGAGATGGCTGCTCATAATTGCAAGCACGGAGTGACTTCATATTCTCATCAGAGCTCATATCTCTTGCTCGCCGCGTCGATGAGGACAGACCGCTTGACTCTGTTATGGCAAGCCTTTCCCAAGGCATCTGGCACGCAATGGCCCTTTTCATGAATGGATATGATTGCTGTAGGGTAGCGTAAGGATCAAACAACCCCGTTCATATCCAGATAAGAACCATTCATGAACCCAAACAGCAAATCCACATCCGGGTTGAAATCATGGAGCATTAGATTCTCCGGATCGTGCCCAACACCGAAGTCCAAGCCAGGAAGCATCTGAAAGTCAAAATTCATATCCACCGGAAACGGGTCTTGGACGTTAGCATCATCTCGTGAACTGTCAGTATCCATTCCATTCGCTTCCATCAATCGTCGAATGATCCTCGCCGGAGTCGACACTCCGCAATTTGGCACCGCCAACTCATCCAAACACCGCAAACACACTGTCAGCGGCGACGACGCCTCTTTGCGTCGCGTGCTCTCCCGGATCGCAGGGTTGCGCGCGTGAATTGTGCACGCCACGTAGACAGCGTAGCTGAGCAGGTAGTTGGCGCGACGCAGCGAGTATGCCGAGCGATATGCGAGCGCCAGACTGGTGATGTTGCGCGCAGCGGTGAGACAGCGTTCCCAGGAGTCGGAGGCGGGCTGGCTGGCGCCGATGAACGGGCGGTGTAGAAGGATCACAAGGGCGTTGTATGTTGTCAGGAGAATGATGATGTTTGGCGCGGCGACGGTGGCTGAGCTGGGTGCGGTGGGATCGTCGGCCCAGGGCTCGAAGCGCAGCGCCGGCGGTAGTTTGAGATACCACGTCGTGAGTCGGCGGTCTATCTGTGCAAGGTGTTTTCGGGCCCTGGGTCCAGTTGCGCTGACCATGTAGAACCGGTCGATAATGCTGGTCATGATTTTGGAGAGAGAGCAGAGCTGTTGGAAGACGGAGACGGAGTGGATGCGGGTCGGACGGAAGGAGAGAGGGCTGTGGGTGGGAGGATTGAGTGGATCGACGTACGGCGTCCATAGCTCATTTTCCTCAAAGGTGTCCATGAAGTCCCGCGAGACGTGGGCATCGCGGAGTTGGATAGTGAAGGGGCGGCCGAGATAGAGACTTTGCAGTTTGTCGCAGATGAAAGCCGCCCAGAACACGCGCCGACGCACCTCGATATCCTCAGCGCTGCTACCAGCAATTTCCTTGCAGTCCAGATGCAGCCCGAGATCATGGACCATGCGCAAGGCAAAGCCGGTATACAGCCAGCCCTTGGAGGTCTGTCCCCAGGCGTTGAAGGTGCTTCCCAGCATGATCAGGCCGGCGATGGTGGGGATACTGGAGTGGGTGAGGAGGGACTCTTCCGCGATGATCTGATCGCAGCGTTCGAAGAAGCGCTTGCCCGCAGTTTCCGGACGATGGGGGTCGGCGCGGACGTCCAGACGCTCGGAGAACTTGCTTGAGCAGGCGAAGACGGCGTTCAACAGAAACTCGGAGCAGTAGGGACCGCCGTGCAGCAGGTCGCGCATGAAGGCCGGACGATACGTGAGCAGGAAGGTGTGATGCTGGCGATTCCAATGAAGGTCGAGTAGATGCATGGCGAGCTCAGCGGGGATACCCGCGATGGTGGGCAACACGCGCAGGTCGTGTTCTTTCTGTCGCTGCAGGGCTGCCTCGGCGATCAGCTGGTACCGGTCTGGTTCAGCTCTTATCCGGGGGCTGGACTGGGCATCGTCGGTGGGACTACGGGCATGCAATGCAGACGTGAGCCCGAAGATGCCCACAGTTCCGCATTCATCGCGCGAGAGAAAGGTGGTCGGATCGTACTCCTCATCCGAGGTAGAGTCGTGGCATTCATCGAGGGTCTTTTCGACAACGGATGAACTGGACCCGACACGCTCTTGCGACGAGCCATAAGGGCGATTGGCATCGCCCGCGGATGCCATGGAACTGGGAATGTGGAGGGAGCCATTGGCCTGGATGGTGACGGAGTTGAGGATCTCGTCGCGAACAGAAGAGTCGGCCTGTTTCAAAGCGACCAGGACATTCTCCACGGCCCGTCGCTGTGTATGGGCCGCATTGATCAGAGCCTTTGATGGTCTGTCGTGTGGTTAGCTGTGTTCACGAGAAAGCAGGGGAATGGGTTGAATACCTCTGCCGCGGGGGTTCAACGAGATAAACACAGTGGCGATGATGGCGCTGACATGATCCACAGGTCGGTTTGGCCGTGTCGCACTTGATTTTCCGAGCGCGACAGAACTGACATGACCGATTGGAAGGCTTCATGGGGACGTGGACGCAGCGACGTTGTTGGAGGAGCACAACAGGCCGAGGAGGAAAGAAGCGGAGGAAGAAGTTCCGTCGGAGCACGTGCGGGGGAAGCCCTAGCGGAGGATGACGTTCCGCCCAGTATACAGAATAGTGAGCATAAGGCATGTACGAAATCAACATCATTCCTCATTCTCATGCACAACATTAAGCTAACTGAGCCTGAATCGACCCCCGAACCAAATCCTCCAGACTGTCAGTATCCACCGCCCCGATATCCTCATTATCCCGACGCTCATACAGCGTTCCTCCCTCGGTCCAGATGCGCCGCAAGGTGTACAACGTAGCCAGAGGATTCCCTTTCTCCCAAGCCTCCTCCTCGAGATGACGCAGCTCGTCCAGAGGAGTGTACTCCACCGACCAAGAGCTGTTAGTTTGCTTTTCGAACTCCGCCAGGATCTCCCGCGGACTCGTCGTGAACGAGTTCAGCTTCAGAGCACGGTTGCGCGACACATCCCAGTGGGTGAGGGTATGCACGACGAATTTCCCAACACTGTTGATCTTAGCATGAACTGCACAGCGCAGGCGTGACCGCAGCGGCGGATGTAGACAGGGAAAACAGAGAAACATACTCAGGCCGACTACTCAAACTAATGCGTCCGTTCCCATCGCCCAGCAACACCGCACGTTTCGCAGCCACATGGAAGGTACCGACTTTGGGGTCCGGCGAGCGGCCGATGTAGAAGGGAAAGTCGCCATACGGACCGGTCACCACATACGCGTACTCAAGCTTGTCTTGGACCTCGCGCAGCGCGGCCCGCACCTTCAGCTTTTGCTGATGGGGCTTCTCGTGCTGCGACGCGGGGCTGTATTCGATATCGGTGCCATACTCGGAGGGGATAAAGCGCTTGACCTGGGGACTCTCTGCGGCCAGCTGGATGAGCGGAATCTGGGCGGCGATGGCACCACGGCCGAGAGCGGAAACGACCGTATCGATACCTGCATAGTTAGGATGATCAGACTTTCTCTGAGTCGAGTGTCGCTACGCACCAGCAAAAGCGGCCTTCACATCGTCCGGGTTGGCAATATCGCCGGTGATAATTTCCACGCCAGCTTTCTTCAAAGCCTCGATCTGCTCGGACTTGGTTGCGACGGTGTTGGGGCTAGTAAACACGGCGATGCGGCCGAAGGAGTCCTTTGCGGCGACAATGGCATCAATGATGAACTGACCGATTGCGCCGGTGGCGCCAAACATGAGTAGATTCGACATGGCGATGTTCCTGAGGGGAGTGGTAGAGCAGAGGAAGATGGAAGAATATCAGATTGTCATGTCATTCATTAATAATGCCGACCCCCACGCACCCCGCAGTGGGGATGCTTCACGGAGATAAAGCCGAGATGTATACCACAGGACACTACACTATAAATACGCGGAGTGAGAGTCTCCGTGCATCCGTACATGAGCATTGTATAGTGTATAGCGTGTAGTGTTGGGTGTTGGTGTGCAGATGCAGATGCAGGTGCAGATGTGCACTTAATAATCGCAAGACGGAGCATCAGTCTCCGTCAAGCTTCCCCGCGAACAGCTCTCTACCTCTATATAAACAACTTCTTCCCATCGACACTCACTCACTACACCAACCACTTCAATTCCTCTCATCCTATACCTCCACCTCCATCTACACAACCATCATGTCCCTCCCAACAGAATGCGACGTCCTCGTCGTAGGCAGCGGCAACGCAGGCTTCTCCGCCGCCATCTCGGCCGCACAATCCGGCGCCGGCTCCGTCGTCCTGATCGATAAATGCCCCGAAGAATGGGCTGGCGGCAACTCCTACTTCACAGCGGGCGCCTACCGCGCCGTGCACGGGGGCCTGGCGGATCTCCTCCCGATCGTCAACAACGTGGACGAGCAGCTGGCGCAGCGCATCGACCTCGACCCATACACAGAAGCCGACTTTGCCAACGACATGCAGCGCATCTGCATGGGGCGGTCGGACCCGGCGCTCAGCCGCACGCTCATCACCGAGTCCAACGCAGCCGTCAAATGGCTCGCCGCCAACGGCGTGCGCTTCCAGCTGTCCTTCAACCGGCAGGCCTACGAAGTCGACGGCCGCTACAAATTCTGGGGCGGGATGGCACTGAAGACGCAGGATGGCGGAAAGGGCCTGATCGCCGACCACCGCGCCGCTGCGCGCCGCCACGGCGTCGTCGTCTGCTGGCAGACAGCGCTGACAGGCGTGCGTCTCCACGACCCGCGGCCACGCAGCGCCCAGCGCCGCGTGTCAGCGACAGTCATCCACCACGGCGAGACACGCACCATCGCAGCGCATGCACTCGTCTTCGCGGCTGGCGGCTTCGAGGCCAGCCCGCGCCACCGGTGCCAGTTCCTCGGGCCCGGCTGGGACCTGGCGCTGGTGCGCGGCACGCCCTACAACACGGGCGACTGTCTGGATCTGGCGCTGGGTGGGGAGCTGGGCGTGCGGCCGGCAGGCAACTGGTCGGGCTGCCACTCGGTGGCGTGGGACGCCAACGCGCCGGCGCACACGGGCGACCGCGAGGCGTCGAACGAGTTCACTAAGTCCGGGTACCCACTGGGGCTGATGATCAATGCGACGGGGCGGCGGTTTGTCGACGAGGGCGTCGACCTGCGCAACTACACGTATGCGCGGTTCGGGCGGGCCATCCTCCAGCAGCCGGACCAGATCGCCTTTCAGGTGTGGGATGCGCGCATGACGCCGTGGCTGCGCGCGGAAGAGTACCGCCCCGAGCGGGTCGAGCACATCACGGCCGACACGATTGAGGATCTAGCGGAGAAGTGTGCGCAGCGGGGGTTGCAGGACCGCGATGAGTTTGTGCGCACTGTGCGCGAGTATAACGAGGCTGTGGCGGCGCATCGACGGGAGCATCCCGATGCGAAGTGGGATCCTGCGACGCGGGATGGCCTCTCGACGCAGTCACGCATGAAGAAGCTGGAGATTGCCAAGTCGAACTGGGCGTTGCCGTTGGATCAGGGGCCGTTTTTGGCTGTCAAGGTCTCGTGCGGCATCACCTTTACGTTTGGCGGGCTGGCGGTCGACCCGCAGACGGTGCAGGTCATTCACGCGACGACGGGAGATATCATTCCGGGAGTGTTCTGCGTGGGCGAGATGATGGGCGGGCTGTTCTATAACAACTATCCGGGCGGCAGTGGGTTGACGTCCGGCGCAGTGTTTGGCCGTCGGGCCGGACGGGAGGCGGCCAAGGTGGCCATGAAGGCGAAGGGAGAGCGCGAGATGAAGTTGTAGAGCATTTATTGTTAGATAGACTGTACTGTACCATGCAATGGGCCATCTCATCTGTTCACACTAGAGTGTTGTCCTGGTTTCGGCCCAAGACCTAAAGACTTTTGCGGTACCACTTCCTCCTCTCACCCTTTGTCTCAGCCTCGTCAATACCTGCATACTAATGCTACCTGACTTTGTACCATATTCTCCCTCTATACAGAAAGAGACATGACGACCGTGACTGATCCTCGCACCACTCAACCGACTACCTGGCATTTTGTCCTGCACGGCGGGTGTACCGAGACTTGCCGTACCGAGACTTGCCCGGATGCTGATCGCCAGCGAGAAATCCGTCGCAGCCTTCACCAAGTCGCTGGTCAGATCACCGAGGCACTTGGCATGGGAGCCACCGCGAGGGAGGCCGTGGACCTGGCCGTATCTGCTCTGGAGGACTGCGCCCCATTCGATGCTGGACATGGGGTGGCTTTAAATGAAAACGGGGCCATTGTTCTCGACTCTTACGGCTAGCTGGCTGTTAGTGGTTCACCTGGAGGAGGGACGGGCAAGATGAATACTGCAATCTGCAGAGCAGGTCTCTATGTCGACGATCGCATCGGTGTCCTCTGGTTAGCCTTGCCCTGGCTTTGAGTGCCGTTACTCTGCTGACGACTCCACAGGAGTGGCGCTGAAGATGAAATCCTCAAGCAATCAGTTGCCCACACCGTCGCCCGACTGTACGCTGCTGGGTACAGCCTGCGTGACGCTGCTCGCCAGGCGGTGGACCTAATCTCGCGAGCGGGTGCACCTTGCGCGGTGGTGGCGGTAGACGCCTCTGGAAAGTCCGTTGTTGAGTCCAATGCACGGCACTTTCCCATCGCCCGGGGTTCGTCGTCCACAAGTCCCAAGATACTAATCCACCCAACCACGGTCCTGGTGCTTCCAACCCTCCAATTCTTTGAAGATAGTCATATGGTTATTGGAAATTCACGCTATCCATCGACTCGGGGACATATCGTGGCTGCTCTGAAGCTGGGCGCAAGCAACTTGTTCGCCCTGCCCCTGGATGACTTCTTGCATGTCATGAATGTCCTCCACGCCACTGCTGCAGTGCTTGGCGAGTACTACAAGGTCGAACGCTGCGCGCTGATCACCGAGGGTGCGAATAAGCTCTCCATTTGGCCCCTGCATGGGCTGAGCCGCGATTGGAAACCGGTCACCAGCGAAGTGAAGGAGTTCCACAGGACCTTCCCTGGATACGTGTCCTCGCATGATGGCCCCATGATGGCTTCGGCGCATTTGGATGAGATCTGCCACAAGATCCAATCTGTATCGGGACTGTCCCCACCCTTCGACAACCGCTTTGACGGTCCCGATGACGATGGGAATCTCTTTGCTCGAATTATTCGTGGCCAGTTACCGCAATGGCGGATTTGGGAGGACGAGGACCATGTCGCTTTTCTCACCCCGTTTGCTAATGCGGAAGGATTCACAGTCCTGGTGCCTCGGGCTCACCTCTCCAGCGACATCTTCGCCATCGAGCCCTTGTCCTACACCAATTTGATGAAGGCCGCGCACAAGGTAGCCGGTTTCCTGACGCAGGCCTTTGGCATCCAGCAGTGTGGCATGATCTTTGAAGGGTTTGAAATTGACTACGCCCATGTGAAGCTCATTCCCATCCACGCCGCCTCTGAGACAAGCGATGACCCCCTGGAAGCAGTCGAGCCTTTCCATGAGACGTACCAGGGCTATGTGAGCTCCCTCAGCGGGCCAATCACCCAGGACCTTCCGGCTCTCGGTCGCGCAGCCCAGGCTCTGCGGCGCCTGATGCCCACCGACATTTCGAACGCCCTGTCGACCTCGACCATCGTCCGAGCCCCAAAAGAACCTGAATATGGACATTAGAGAGCCAGATGCAGGCTGAAATTACTCCCATAGCATGCCAATATACGGTTAAATTGGGCGTCGGAGCGCCGGGACTGGGATGCTAAACGATGGCGCATGTTTCTTGTTTATACCGAGTTGAGGGTGCCCTAGATATTGTGGCTGCCTCCGTAGGCCTTATAAATCTAAAGATGCTTGCGATACAAGTGACGGGACATCTTTAACGGGAAAGTTCCGTTGTGAGCAACTTGACCAAGACGCGAAGGATGAACTTGTCAGCCCTAAGTGTCTCACCCCGTTGCGCAAGCCCAGGGCGACACTGCTCACATACTAGAGCCAGAAGGGCAGGCGTCGGGTGCTCGTAGATCCTTGCTCGGTATTTGCTCGGTAGGAACGCACTCCACGCTACGTACAACGAAGAGATCGGCAGCCCCCGCCAAATCCGTCCTGAAGAAGGCAGCCCAGCAGGACGAGACTCCAGCTGGACCAGAACAAGTCACCACAATGAGGGGTATCGGGGACATTCCACTTGCACCACCAGGCCCAGGCCCAGTGCGTGGAAGCGCCGACGAGATCCTGTAAGCGCCGAGTGACTCCTTCAGTCACTAGCGCCAAAACAAGCAGCGGGGACTGTCGAGCCAACAGCCAACGAGAAACACAATGCAATTCAGCAGATCCCACAGCAAACACGCATCTAAGCGACGACTCCGCAGGAGGTGGTCGAGGGCGAGCCGCCCCTAGGCCGCGATGAGGCCGTGCGCGTTAACGCTGGACGAACCAGGAGGGGCCAATGCCCCGGCCTGGTGATGGTCAGGGGTGGGGGAGAGTCGGCGGTTGTGACCAGACAGTTGCAAGAAGAGGGCGTTGGTCTGTTGGATGGTCGAGGAGGCTTGCTTCAGATGGCGCGCGCGAGCATCTGCTTGCTGCACGAGGATGGATATAAAGAGTGGCCGTCCCGAACATGTCGACGTCTGTTTCTCTCCCTCCCTCTCTGCAGAGGATTGCCCCTCCACCAGGTCGTCTCACTTGCATCTGTTTCAGGCCGACTGATCCGCAGATCTATCACCGTCAACGCCTGGGGAGCAGTCCTGATTCGTGGTGGATGCAGTGTCGAGTGAAGCCCTAAATCCCTGCCAACTCAAACCGCGCCGTACGTGTTTCATACCGTATCAGCTCTGCCTGCATAAATCACCTCTTCTTCTTCTCTTTCTTCATTCTTTAGTTCTCTCTTTTTCTCCTCTGCGGTTGAGAGAATTCGGTTCAAGTCTTGTTCTCTCGTAGTGTGCGGGAGTCGAGGGGTCCCTCTTTGTCTACACCATCTATACTACCTGCATCTACATCTGCACCCATCCATCCAACCAACCAACCGCCAAAATGCCGTCAATGAAACCCGTCCTTCATCCCCTCCAAACCCCCAAAACCATGACCTTCCCGTCAGAGCTACAGAGCGGCGCCAGCTCCAGTCTCTCCGACAACGTCAAGAGCGAAGACGCTCTGTCGACCCCTATCACGCCGCCCGCCGCCTATACCGAGTTCCTCAAGGCGTTGACCCCCGTCTTTGCGAGTCCCAACAGCGCCAGCGTGGATTTCTCCAAATTTACCTTTGACGGGGGACGCAGCAATAGCAATGGAAGCAGCAACACCAACGGTAACGGTGGCAGCGGCAGCGGCAGCACCAACACCAACAGGCCACCAGCCTACTCCCCAACATCCCAGCCCACCAGCGCAGTGAGCAGCACATTCAACTTCAACCCGGACGCCTCCATCCGATCGGCCACGGCGTCGTTGCCGCCGCCCGTACCGTGGGCGGCGTCTCGTCCGCGGCGCGATCCACGCAATCTGCGCTCGTTGCGCATTCCGCCGCCGCCGCCGTACTCGCCCACGATCGCGGCATCCCCGCGCAGTGCGACGACGATGCGGTCGCCTTACTCGCCGTCCGATTGGCAGCTGCGGTATCTGGAGGGGCCGCGCAGTGCGAGCGGACGGCTCAGTGTGCGACATGTGGTTACGCATACGGTTACGTATAAGCGGACGGAGTTGGAGGACCCGCCCAAAGGGAAGCGGAGAAAGACGCAGCATGAGAAGGAGGAGTAGTTCTTTTTTTTAGGGAAATGGTAGCGTGGTGTTTGGCGTTGGGTTTGCTATGTTTTGGTGCTATGGCTGGTATAGTTCGGATGGTTGGACTTGGACTTGGACTTGGACATGGTTATGGATATCGGTCGCTCTCTTTGTTTCCTATGTGATACTTTCTGTATGGATGATACGAGAACATGAAACAATAATACAGACTCGGCAGCTGAACTGTGACGACTGCGATGCTGAGCGCTTAGAGAGCGGGTGTGATTGGGTGGCTGCACATTCATCACAGTTATTTTTAGACGGAGGAAGATGGACAGTATTCTGCTTCTGTTTACTTCTTCACTGTCGTGTTCAACATGTTCCAATTCTTCTATCTCTGTTGAAATGTAGAAAGACAGAAGGAAGGTAGAGGATAGAAGTAGACATTGTATAGGGTTGTTCGATTGTTCTATAGAGATTCTACAATATAAATAGCCCCGCCAAGATCTATAATTAGAACCCACGACCCCTCAACTCTTCTTTCTTTCTCTCCGTATACTCTTTCTCCCTCTTCTCCCCTCTACTCATCTCTCACCACAGCAAAAGAAAAGTCCAAAATGTCCTTCCCATTCACCCCCGACAGCGACTTCCTCGACACCCCCCGCCCCCAAAACTCCCAGCTGGCCATCTCCGCCCTGGCCCGCTTCGAGTTCGAAGCCGGCAAAGCCAACGATGGCACCAAAATCCTCATGATCGAATGGCACGACGACGACCTCCCCATCCAGCCGTCCACCGCCGGCCCCGGCTCCTGGCACGTCTCCTGGGAGGGCAAACAGGCCGTTCTACCGGCCGACGAACGCACCAGCGACAACACCCGACGCGTCTACTTTCTCCTCCCGCCGCACGCCACCATCCCGCCTGTCGTCACCCTCTCCTACGCCGCCCATCCTACAGACACCCCCAAGACAACGAAACCGACCTCGACGACGACAGACAACGCCATCCAGCTCAACCCCCTCCCCGCCATCTTCCCCCCGGAGCTGGGGGCGACCGGCCGCGCCGCCGGGAAGAAGGGCGTGCTGCACACCATCTGGGCCAAGAAGCGGCTGCAGAGCCTGGAGCAGGAGATCCGCGAGGAGTGTCGGCATAACGTCGAGGGCATCGCCCTGCACATGGCTCTGCAGGAGAAGGAGTGGATCGAGACGAATTTCGGCCTCGACAATAACAGCAACTCCAACAATGCGGCCCCGGTGCACGACCCGAGCTACCCCATGGGCCCGGCCACGCCCGTCTCGCCCACCAGCGGCGGGAAGCTCGGCGAGAAGCTGAAGGGGTTGAAGTTGCAGACGGGGTTGTCGACTGAAGGTATACCCTCCTTTTCATTCCTTTGTAGAACTACAATCGGCTTGATGGGGTAATGCTAATTGGGCCAGGGCAATCGCATTTCCTCTCCCCTCAGTCCCCCGACATGGCCGTCTCCTCGTTCACCTCGTTCCACCGGGTCGTCGCGCCCCCCGCCGCGCAGAATGACACTCCCGACCAGGTGCGCACCGTCGCGCACTATCCCCCGCAGGCGCTGCAGGCGCAGCAGGAGACGGCGCAGGCGGGCAGCGGGTTCGCGTCGATGAGCGGCATGGCGCGCACGTCGAGCGCCGACTCGGGCGAGGAGCTATTCGCCAAGGCGTTGAGTCCGCGGTCGCCGGATCTGCCGCGGAGTCCGTTCTCGTTTGCGCCGGAGGCGTTGAAGTAGCGGGGCTGCTTGGCGGATTGGTTCATGTCTTACGTATTCTATGATTATATGATATCCCAGCGACGATGTATATAGACACGACATACATACTTGGTCTCACGAGACGTCATTCTCATTCTCATACTCGTACTCCATTGCTCGTAAACATACACCATATATACCACACAGACCCCAACTCCCACACAAGAATCCAGAAGCAGCCCCAGATCAATTATTCTTCTTCTTCTGCTTCGACCCGGACGATGCAGCCCCTTCCCCAGCCGAAGCCTTATTCAAGCTCTCCCACTCCTGCGCATCCTTCCGCTCCGCATACCACTGCCCGGCCTGCAGCACCAACACGCCGACCAACACCAGCGCCAGGATCGTATTACTCGCCGACAGCACCTTGAGCGAGTCCTCACGCCCGAGGATCTGATCCACATCGTCCGGGTTATTCGCCAGCTCGTTGCCGTACTTCCCGTCCGAGACGAGGCGCAGCCCCTTGACGATGTTGGCAATGTACACGGTGATGCCGCACATGTAGAGCACCAGCGACGCGCCGTCGAACAGCATGTTGCTCTCGCTGGGGCGGTACAGCTTGGCGACGAGGCCGGCCAGTCCGAGGAAGATGACGATGTGCAGGATGCGGGGAATCAGCGGCGGCGAGGCGTGCAAGAACTGCAGGTGCGCCTCGAGGTAGTCATAATGCGAGGCGGGGGTCGGCGTGGTCGACCACAGGATCGGGTAGTCGTAGGGGAAGAGGGAGAAGATGATGCCGAGGAAGAAGCTGGTGGCTGTTGGTGGTTAGAGGAGGGGATCGTGGGGGTGGAGGTAACGGGACGTACGGCACACGATGAGAAAGGTCGCAAACGACCCGTTGCGGAAAGCCATGTTGATTCTGGAGTTGAGGGAGAGGGCGGAAGGAGAAGATAAAGAGAGAGGGAAGGATTCAGGGGAGATGAAGTCGACAAAGAGGCGTGTCGCCAAGAGAGTTACGTCTTACGTAAGAGATAGCCGATAACATCGTTATCAAGAACAGCGACTATGCTTCCTATGTACTCCGTATGTACATAGGTACCTATGCTCAAGCAAATGCAAATGGTATCTCCCTATGCAAGACATGAACCAAACAAACGCCCCGCCCAATGCCAACGCCGTCCTATCGCTGATACCGCGGTAACGCCTCATCGCCGTGTGCCGTCCCTCCCACCAGCTGGTGGTCGTCGTCGTCGTGGAACACCGGCGCACTGGGTCCGGCGCTCGACTCGCCGTGTCCGCCGCCGTCCATCTCGTCCGGCGCGCTGGCTTCCATCATCAGTCGCTGCCGCTCGAGCTCCTGCTTGTCGTCGACGGGCGCCGTCGCCGACTCGCCCAGCATCGCTGCACTGCTGCCCGGTACCACTGTCTGTACCGACTCGGCGGACATCACTGCCGGCGAAATGCCGTTCTGCGTCGGCGAAGGCACATGCTGGTAGTCCTGCAGGTGGTCGTCTTCCGGCAGCACCGGCGCCGTCGGCACCGCCATCTCCGCCGACGGGCCTGCTACAGCCTCATCTGGCGGCTGGCTAGGGAGAAGCGTCTGCTCCGCCTGTCGAAGACGGGCCTTCTCGTCTGCGGGCTCCTCCAGCTGCGGCGCAGAGACCATGTCACCCAGCGACTGGTAGGGCTGCTGCACGCCGTCCGCGTATTCTGAATAATAGGGCTCTTGGGGAAACCCGTACTCGTCCGGCGCGTAATGCTCCTCATCTGCGCTAATCGGCACACCAGACTCGGCCGGCCAGTTGTTCTCCCCGTCCAGGACCGGGGCTTCAATCGACGACGGCACGTCAGACCCCGCTGCCGTGGAGTCGGTGCGTTCGACGCGGTTCGCCCGCCGATGCGAGTCTCGCGTCCCGATTACCACCTCGAAGGCCACGGCGACCACGCCTTTCTCGCGCCGGATCTGGTCGGTGTCTAGGATGTTGCCCGCCCAGCTGGTGGTGATCGAGTTCGTGCTGGTATCCGGTGGGTTCAGCACCTGGCCGCTGGGCGAGAAATTGCTCCCGGACGAAACCATGTTGAACCGTGGCAGGAATCGCTCGGGCGACGTAAGTTTGCCGCGGAGATCTACCACCACTTCGACATAATACCGAAAGTTGATCATACTGCCGGGCGTGCGCGTGATGGTCGGGAAAGCATCTTCGGGAATGCGGATCGACGTCTTGACGACGGCCGTGAGATTCGTCGGATCAACCACCAACGGCGCAAAGGTTTGCGTCAGGTCTTTCCGGAAGACGCTACTCGTCCGACTGGTGCCGATCGTGAGGCCCCCCAGTCCTGTCCGAGAGCGGGGGTAGATATCTTCGTAAATGGGCTTCTTGCCCTCCGTTGTGCGCCCAATCGGGATCGACGGATGGAGATCGATGCGGCCCTGACGATACAAGGTGACGATAATACCGTGCGCACTGCGCACCTGCTTGCAGTGGTTGATGGTGATGACGATCGGAAGCGTGTCCCCCCGGTAGCACGCCTGCCCGTAAGACTTCGGCCTTGGCCGTGATGGTTTTGTCCCCCAGGGACGGCGTGATGCTCCGCGCTTCGCTATTTCGCATGCCCGTACTGGTCGAGGAGCTGGGGTCACTGGCGATTTGGAAACTCTGACTACTGTTACTGAGGTGGCTCGAGGAGCTCACATTGCTCGGGGCGGGACTCAGCGGGGGCCGAGTGTCGCCGCCATTGACCGACGTCCCTAGCGAGGCCGAGTCCGGTCCCGCATCGGACGACACGGACTTGCCTTTCGCCTTGGATTTGGAGCGTTTCGACACGGGTTCGAGGGTCACGACGCGCGCTTTGGGGGCGGGAAATGGAGCAATATCGATGTTTTCTAGTAGATTGACGCGTCGTCGGCAGGAGAGGGTCGGGTTCATTGTGGTCGGTTTGGTCAGGGTGGACGTAAGCATGTAGGAGATGGTTCCTCGTTCGAACTAGGTGGTGTTAGCCGATGCGAAAGAAGAAAGAAGGGGGGCATATCCAACGCACACTAATACTGCTGGGAAGCGCATACGGCGGGAACGACATTTCGAACCGGAACTTGTAGATTCCCTCCTTGAGACGACCCTCGCCGCAGAGGACGACCTCGTCCTCGAACAGGGTGGCCAAACCATTCCCCAAGTATTCCGCGCCCCGACGGCCCCGGCCTGGACCGAGGAACCCCATATCGGGCGCGACGTCCCCCGAGGGCATGGTGTTCTTGAAGACTTTGACATAGCCATGGAGACTGACAACGAGATGTGTGATGCGAACAGGACGGACGACGGTCAGGACTACGGTGCCCGTGATGGTGTCGCCGGGGAAATACGACCGCCACGGATCGTCGGGTTCGATGTAGTAATCGGCGATGCTGCGATTGCGTTGACCGAGTTGGGAGCGAAACCGAGACAGTAAGGATAAGGAGCTGCGATTCCGACCGAGCAGCGAGGAGGAGGGTTGAGAGGGGAGAGAGTTGACGGACATGACCCACAACCACGCCGCGCTTGATCCATACAAGATGGGGGGTTGTAGGATGTGACAGGTAGATTGCAGGAGAGGAGATGGAAGGAGGGAGCGATCCGGAATCAACGTCAGTCAAATCGATGGACCCTCGAGACCACGGGGGTGCGACGCAAGGGGTCGTAGATGGCAGTGCTGAAGAAAGGGAGGCCAATTGGGAGGTAACTGATAGCGTGACGGAATGGAGTCTGAGTTGGGCGGATCGAGGGGAATGGTATGGTATGGTATGCGATCGCAGAGATCGGAGAACGGCGGTGCGTCGGGTGTCTCCCCGAGTGTGGTCTGGCCGGTCGTTCAGCTGGATGATCGAGGAGAGATCGGATGAAGAGAGGAATCGAGGAGACTGAGCGAAGGAGATCGAAGAGGAAAGAGACCCGAGGATACGAGGAGAGAGTGAGAGTGAGAGTGGGTAAGAGGAGGATTAGGAGGCGAGATGACCGGCCCTCATATTTCTGTTGTCAGATGAGGGGGTAGAGGGAGTCGAGGGAGTAGAGAGGCGAGAAGAGAGGGTAGAAGGAATAGAAGAGAGAGGAATAGGACCGGAGGAAGATGAGAAAAGGATAGGTACGGAGAAGAGATGAGAAGAGAGGGAAACAGACAGACAGATGAAGATGGGGAAGAGAGCGGACGAGCCCAAACGGGATTTCGCGTGCCGCCAGTCAAGCTTCTTAGTTTGGTCCACTCTGATTATCAAGATCACGCTCCCTCCCACGTTGTACTTACTTCCACGGCAGTAACTTCCACGATCACTACACCCATACTATTCTACGCTTTACTCATGATGCTTTCTAGAAAATCTCGCGTAGTCCGCCCTCCTCCTCGTCATACTCCTCCCCATAACACTCTTCTTGTACCGCCCGAACCAGTGCGCGATCTTCCCCAGCCAACCGAGTCAGATACGCCTCCAATACGTAGACATTCTCCGTCCACCGCTGCGTCTCTGCCCGGAACTCTTCCGTCTGGCACCGCATCGACGCCACCGTGGTGCCTGTCGTAGTCCTCCACGCCAGCAAGCTGCTGCGAAGGCGGCGACATTCCTCCTCGACCGCCTCTCGTTGCTGCTGCTGCTGTTGCTGCTGTACGCGTCCCGCCTCGTTCCGATCCTCACGCCACAACGATTCTTCCTGTTCCTGAAGCCGTCGGCGTCGTGTCTCGACCTCCCCCACCACCCCCTCCCAGCGCGCCCGCACGCGATCCACCTCCCGCTGTAGCTGCGCCCGCTGACTCTCGCGCTGCCGTCGCTCGTCGTCGCCAAAGCACCAGTACCAATTGCCGCTGCCGATCTTTTCGCATCGGATCGCGTTCTCATCCACCAGCTCCTGGATGTACTCCTTCACCTGCATCCCGTTGATCGAAGCCACCGCCGGGAGCGTCTTCTCCAGCTCCTTGAGCGTGTGACAGGTGCCTGTTGACCGCAGGTGGGAGACGATCAAAGCTTGTTTGTCGCTTCGACTGAGTTTGGGCGGCTGCGCAATTCGGTTAGTGTTTCGAATCCTGGCTGTTTTGTGCTTTTCCGGTTGGACTGGGCGGGGGGAGGAGGCGTACCATGGTGAGTGGATTTAGTGTAAACTCAGTTGATTCGGAAAAGGGGGGTGTATTTTAGGTATCAATGGATGGAGATTGTTTTGTTATGAGAAGGAGAGGAGGATCGTGTAGGGTTGAGGTTGAGGTAGGAGGTTGATGATGTAGTGAGTTGAAGTTGAAGTTACCTGGGCATCCTCAGGCAGAACACCATCTACCCAACTAATAATACAAACAACATAAGATACCAAAACTCCAACTCTACCGGATCAAGAGACCTCTTCGATGTGCAGCGTATTCTTCAACTCCCGTGCCTTCTCCGTGCCTGCAACGCCACCCACAATCGCGTTCTCCCCGTCAAAGTACTTCGCAATCTCTTCCAGTGGCGTGTTGCGCGTCTCAATGTAGAAGAACCACACCACCGCCAACTCCACGCCCAGCCACACGCAGTAGAAGATGTAGTACTTCCACCCGATGTTCTCCAGCGCAATCGGGTTGACGTACTGGTTGAAGAACACTGCAGACCGTCAGTACAGAAAACTCGCATGACACACCAGGACCACTTACGAGCAGCATCAATGCAGAACCACATCACGGTCATTCCCTTGGCCCGGATGCTGTACGGAAGAATCTCCACCGTGTATCCCACCAGAAGACCCGACCACGCGATATTGTAGAACACATAGTACAGGTAAATCATCGCAATCACGGCATTGGCCGCGTTATGGTTGCCCGCGATGGCATACCGCGCCGAGCAAATCGTCCAGACAATGAAAGCCACCAGCATGCCCGCCGTCGAGACCAGGAAGAGCTTGCGCCGGCCGATCTTGTCCACAAAGAAACACATGGTCAGCGCCACAATCATGTTCATGATCTGGAGACAGCCATTGATCAAGTTCTGCTGAATGGAGCTAGTATATCCGATCGAGTTCAGAATCTTGGCAATATAGTAAGACACCAGGCCGTTGCCAGACCACTGCGAGAAAAATCCAGCAGTAATGCAGATGATCAGACGGTGCCGGTTGCCCTTGGTGCGGACCAGCTCCATCCAGCTGTTGCTCTCAAATTCCTTCTCGAGGCGGATAGTCTCCTTGATCTCATGCATCTCCAGCTGAACAACCTCGTCCTGTTGGTTTCCATTCGCGTGACAGTCGGCCAGCACCTTTAGTGCCTGCTCATCCTTACCCTTGTAGATCAGGAAACGGGGCGACTCGGGCACGAACCAGACGAAGATGATCTGGACAACCGATGGCGCAGCCTGGACAACAGTCGGTGCTCTCCAGGACCAGTTACTATCGATGTTGTTGGTGCCAAAAGTCAACCAAGCGGCGACGATCGCGCCCAAGTACCACGTGGCTATCACGAGTTAGTGGTCATTATGGGAATCGTCGTAGCCAGTCCTTACTGTTGTAGATGGTAGTAAAGATGGCACGATGCTGGGTGTGCACCAGTTCAGTGATCAGTAATGGAGAAGCTCCATGAGCGATAGCGACTCCGAATCCGATCAAAAACCGTGCAGCCAGGAACATGCCATAATTGGCACTGACGCTCTGGAGAACGACACCCAGGATCCTAATACTGTCAGCACGGTGTACCCCGAGGCAATGACTCTAACAACTTACATGATGAGACAACCAATCAAGATGCCCATTCTCCGTCCTAGGATATCAGCCGTATAGGGCACAGCGGGCAACGCCGCAAGCGAGCCAAGAGACATGATTGCGTTGAGAATGCCCAACTTTGAGCCTTCGGGGTGGTTGAAGTACGCTTGCCAGTGCGGAAGAGTCTGCAATCCGTTCATCATCGACCCATCGTAGCCATTGGTCGCCTACAGGGGATCAGTGATGACCATGACGTGAATTGTCGAAGATACATACCGCAGTCAAGACAACCAGCATCAGACAAATGTAGGTCTTTCTCATCCCCGGATCCTTATACCAGGTCACCTTGGGGAACTGCCGACCGGCAAGTTCAAAGGTAGAAGACGAAGGCATGGCGAATACAGGTGTGTGTGATATCCCCTCTGGTTGCAGGCAATCTCTCACTTAGCATCGATTCTGGGCTCTCACAGAATCGAACGATCATCGTCGGTGGGACGGGCGATCTTAAGAACAACCGTCGATGAGGGCAACCGTCTACAACGGCAAGTGTCTACGTGCTTTCAACCGGTTATTTTCCCAGCGATTAAGCCTGTTCAAGCAAACAGCCCCGGCTGGGTCCAAATGCTCTAGGCACCGCTGTCTGGTGTGGATAAACCAATGCCAACGGGGGGGAGACTCGCGGTGGAGAATTGCCTATCAAGGCACGACCGACCCATCTCGTTTCAGTCCCCGGACAACCCTAGGATAAATCCATATCCAAAGAGGTCAAAGGCGAACCACCGGGCCATACATTCAACCGCCATTGCAGCAGTTGACTCCACAGTACGATGTATTTGCCCAAACAGACCCCAGGAATAACTTCGTGAACCAGGGAAGAAGATTGAGAAATGAATTCAGGCTAATTGAGAGAAGGAGTAATATAAGAAAAGGGTGGCGCGTTCAAGACGAGTCGCAGGATCAGTCCGGGGGGTTTCGAATGAGCCAGTATGACCGCGGGGATGATAGTCTGGGGTGCCAGAACCGCAATCTAGTACCCGTCTAGTCCCCATGCGGAACGGGCCAAGACCCTAAAAGCGCCGCCTGCACTCTGGACTTCCATTAGGCCAACCTTGCCGAGGAACGGCGGACGCCACGGATTGCTCGGCGACAGCCATTGTCTGGCCTGAGATTGTGATCATTTGACCCGTGTGGCAGGGGATCAGCGGTCGAAGCATCCCTGCACGTCTCGGGTCATCTCCCCGTCAGATTGAGGGACCACGATTCGACCGTTATCCCGCCACGGTCATACAGACGGAAAGGCTTCAGTTTAAGAAAAGTGCTTGGGTGGGAGACAAGCATTCAGGCACACAGCAGCCTTCAGAGTTAAGAAAGAGGCGTCGGCGGCTACACGCCTTATATTCGTGGCAAGTTGGAGCCACGTGCGCCACTTGTGAGGAAAGAGTGAGACATGTCATCGGTTCGTGTCCGCTTCAGTGTCCAAATCTGTGGGTGTCGCCTCGGCGGCTAGCCGAGGCTTCTTCGATCGCTTCTTTTTCTTCTTCTTGACCACGCTGTCCAGGTCATCCCCGGAGCTGGCAAGGATGCTACTCCGCCCAGTGTTGGCCCTCTTACGGCCCACCCTGCGGTCGTTGCGGAAGACAGGCTGACTCTCATCGGCCCGAATTTCCTCTCCCTCGACCAGGACCAAATCACCAGTTTCGCCCAGAGACTCCCGTGCCATCTCCTCCAACAGGATTCCCATGGCGATCAGAGCCGTCTCATCCATGCTCCGATAGTCATCATGACCGCGGTCCCACGTTGCATTGTCGTAGAAATCAGCCGAGTAGGCATGGATTGCTTCCAGAAGATCGGAACTGGGGAGAGGACGGTCGAATGTAAGAGCCTCGTGGGCGAAGTAGAAGTCGTTTTCTTCGTAGCGAATTGGTGCCTGATTTCGGCGGAAAAGGACCTCTTCTGGGCGTGCAGGGCGAAAGGTTGAGGACGCCGTATCCCGATACCTGGAAGCATACGGCGCCGAAGGTAAGAAACCACGGGTGCTTACCCGGCCTGGCATCCATCAGCGCTGTGCGGGATAACATACGGATCATGACCAACCAGCTACGGCATCGAAGACGGTCGCCTGTCGCTTCTGTCTTCGGGAAGATGGGTCATCGACCGGAGGCTGGTCCTTTGCCTCGTTGGGGACCCGAATGAAATTATTCTGCCTCAATGAGAGAGATTTGCCGTGGGACATGGTGAGACTGGGATGTCGGAAGACAGTGCCCTGAAAGGATAAAGTCTGTTTCAGTCATACAAATGGCATCCTGCAGGAATGAGTTGGATGTGTCTGGTCTCCAGCCGGATATCAGATTGTGAGTTGATCATAAGCCTTTTCGAACGCGGAGGAAGCTGGCTCTCCGATATCTTGTGTCCGCACCCTTCACCGCTTTCCCTTTATGGTCACCATAGGCTGGATCGGTCGGATTTCAAGATGCTTCTGTCGATTCAAGATGGGAATATTCCTCTATTCCTATAAGCCGAAGACTATGTCTATCTGGAATGATTTAGCGCCTGAAGCAAGGGGGTATAATCAGCTCTGCTACTCAACTACCTTTTTCGTCAATACGGTTGGCGATAATAATGTCCAGCCCAAAAAACGTTCGTCAACAATTGGCCGGTTGGAGTAGTTGGTTATCTCGCATCGTTAACACCGATGAGGTCGCCGGATCGAGCCCGGCACTGGTCAATCTTTTTGCGATCATCTCGCTGTGATATTCACGTTCTACGAGCCCATATCGGGCAGCATTTTGCCATATTGTGTAGGCCCATCTCCCAGACTTTCGCTGAGACAGAATGCTGGGTTACCGAATCTTTGCATAGATTTTGTGCTTTGTAGGTCCAATTTGCATACTTGGATAACGTCCATTCGGCTCTCACCACAGTGAACAGCACCATATATATATCCTGGTCAGTCAACATATGCTTGTGTGGGACATGTGGCGATCAGTACCACCATAAGACTATCTAGACACACTGGAAGAAGAGGGCACGTATTTGGTTCTCACTCTCGTCAATATATTTTGTATGCAGCTTTCAGCAGTCTTGGGCTCCGGACTGGCAGTAACACTGCGTGCCATGGCTCCATATGGAATTTTGTTCTAGCTATCCGACCTATAGGAGGGATTTCTTTGGCCATCCCCGGTCCTCCTTGTCAAGAGAGATTGAAAACATAACACAGTTAACATAAAAGAAAGGTTGAGATGACCAAGTTAATAGTAGCAATTGTAACTAACTGAAATAAAGGAAACCCGTCTATCTAGTTGCTCAAGCGCAAGGACACTAGCCTCAACTACCAAGAGACTTAACCAGTAATATAGGAGGCCACAGAATCCTCTTACTTTTGACAACATATCACAACTTGCCTAATCCTCCACATCAATGCAATTCTGAAGCAGGCACCAATACTCTCAACAGCAAGAGATCTCGAACACCATCATATCTATCCTTCGCTTCTTATCCATATCTGTGTCGAGACCCACGTCGGCCTCGCCGATAAGGCCTAGTCTGCTCCCTGGAATTGGCACTTCTCCTGAAGTCACATTCCTCGCGAAGACACCGGTAGGTCCAATGATCCCCGGATTGCTCGTGCTGCATGCGGCTTGGAAACCCGCAACGGCAACGAGGATGCTTCTCATCCCAGCCCCGCCAGTCGTCCGCAACATACCTTGGGCACTTACAACACCGACGATACCGCCGGTATAGATTCCCATTGCGGTTGGTGCCAGAGTAGCGAACGCCCATAACATACCCACAACACCGCTCATTCTGTTCAAAGAGGCGAAGCTCCATCTTGACTGATCAAATGAGCTTGATACTCAAAAGAGGAGACAGGGAACTGCGCAAAGAGAACTAGGATTGCAAAGTAAATGCGAAGGTGAAAGAAGCAGAGGGAGATCGGGATAGAAATGGATAGATATAATCATTTCCTGGGGTGCTTGGGCCCCGGGCTTTCTTTCCCTTAAACTCGAACCAGCTGAGGTGAGACTGGGCGTGGCGTTCTCTCACTGGCTATGCCATGGGGGGTTGCCAGCGAAAGGCTGATGCAGATACAGACTTGGAAGCATCACACGACCAGCAGTAATTTTCTGGACGAATAATCACCAATAAATGAACGCCCCGTGGTCGTCTCTGGAGAGTTGCCTTCCATATTAGGAAGGCTAGCCTTCGGGGCACTTCGTTGCTTTCCCCTGTATCATGCAAAACAGTCATAGTCGGTCGAGAATTGAATGTCTCCAGTCCTATCCCTTCGATCGTTGCAATAGCCATCCGCAGCTTGAAAGACATGATGATCGGACCTTTCTGGTCACGGACATATACCTGTTTGTCCCTTTTCATGGTCCACTCCCCTCGTCGACTGTCGCTGTAGTCGAATCCCAAATTACCAGGCTCGTATACCGCTTATATTCGTTGCTCCACTCACGACCACCGTGGATGGCGAAGGGAACCAGAACCGGATATGTTAACTACATCTAAATGCACCATGGAGGCGGCGCTCGCAAAGGGTATGGAGCAGTAAGCATATTACATCCTCCATGGGCAGCTGTGAGAAAGAATCGCCCACAGAGACGCTTAGAATTATCGCTTTTTGATAGCACGAGGAGTGTCGATTTGAACCTTGCAAATGACTTGGGGCTGAAATTGGATAAGTGTAGGCATGATGACATCTAAAATCAGAGACCTACCTATCTGACTTGTTGGCTTACTTTCCAACTCTTCTGGTATGCCGAATTCCAGAAAATCTTGACCCCACTCATAGTGTCAAAAATTGAGCGGTATCTCAACAATTGGCCGGTTGGAGTAGCTGGTTATCTCGCATCGTTAACACCGATGAGGTCGCCGGATCGAGCCCGGCACTGGTCATTACTTTTTATTTTTCTACCTGTCTTTCTATATGGCCATATAGCATTGCAAGGCGAAATGTAGCCTTTTTTTTTTGTTTTTTACCACCTTGTTCTTATCACGGATTATACTTCTGATAGGCCAAACAGCGCTCCGAAGGCGTCAGATGTGCACTGGACTACATCCCAAAGCATCCTCCCCAACCACAAGCTATGCGCCAAAATCGTCGGTTGCATACGACTCGGTTGTTCGACCATCCCCCACCCTTTTCAGGTTCTGTAGCCATTGAAAGTAGTAGTTTGTTACGTAGAAAAGCATATGCCTGTAGGTGAGGTAGCGAGTAGACCAAGTCACGTTAAGGTTAGTTCCCATCTATAGTGGTCATTGTGTGGATGAGCAATACAACCTTAACCACTTTTGTCCATCAGGCATAGCATCTCGGTGTATCCGTGAACCTGATACGATCTGGTTTGTACTGGTAGCAATCGGTACTTGATTAATTAGGTAGGCACCAGATACCATGCGTACACAGTAGATGATAAACCGCCTCATCTCTGGTCATGATACTTGGGTTGTAAGGAACCTATGTTCTGCCGAGCGCAGTTATGTTCGACAATGTATCAAATTAGCCGGATGGTAAGACTTCCAGCAGTGAGGTACAAAGAAGAGCGTTGGCTAGCAGCTCAGAAGATTTTATGTCGTTGCAGGGCCTCTATTTTGTGGAGTGTCGCCGTAATGACGGATTGATTTTGCGGGCTTCGCCCCACAATTGGAGACAATGCGGTCGTAATTCTCGTGGGTTTGGCAACCTACCTAGTTACCTGGACTTGGGTGCCTGTAGATTGATGCGAAGTACAAAAATATAGACTCAAAAAGATATTGACCAGTGCCGGGCTCGATCCGGCGACCTCATCGGTGTTAACGATGCGAGATAACCAGCTACTCCAACCGGCCAATTGTTGAGGTGATGTCCAGATTTTGACAATATAAGCCAATGTTAAATATCGCACCATGCTTCCCGCTTTGTTGTGCATAGGTTGGTCTAGTCACTTACCTTCAGGATGGGAGATATCCGGGATATTTGCAGGCAAACAAGATATTCCAGTTATGGTATTAAGGATATGTCAATATAGCGCGGTGTGTTGTATCATGACTGAATAACACACGGTAGTGGCATTCCTTGTGTATCGGTCTTGCCGCTTTCTTATACCTACGTAGTCCTGAGCATTTGATAGCAGATCATAAAGATGCTAGACTGTGGTATACTTTTGGAATTTAAATTAGGGAACTTCTTCCCGGCATCACAACATCCAGGCGAGGCAGGTCTAAAGCCCACTGAAGCATCGTACATAACGAAGGTAGCCATTTTTAGGAAGACTAGAGCGAAGTTGGTCAGGCCACCGTATACTTACACTCGGGTGAGCCAGCGGCGACTCGTGTCAGAGGCGTATCTATGATATGGGATTATGGAGCAGGTGTTGGGCGGAGGGTGAACGCCGCTATCATCCTATAGATGGGCTGCAACCTGGTTACATCCTTATTCTTTTGGGTATGTCGTTCATTGAGAGTTGACTTCGCTGCTTCTGACTGGCATATCAGGTATAACTGGATATACGGAATGCAAAGGACCGTGTGTTGTTAATAGTATATATCTGAAGGCGGGTGTCCGGCACGTTTCTAGCCATTACCACAGCCGCAGCCATGCTCCTCCTCTCTGCGTAGACTGATCCAACGGAGCTAATTATGGGCTAAGCGATCCTAATTATTATCAGCTAGAACGTGAGAAGGATCGCCTAGACATAGGAAAGTTGCGCAAGTTTTGTAATCGACAATCACTTAACTGATTGGTAGGCTAAGGAGTCCGTATAAGGTGATTCTCGTCATGCCAAGCCTAAAACTGTGAGATTATGAAGATATCTCCTGTATTTGTGGCGGATACGGGTTTATCTAGGCTATGGTATTATGACAAATCCTCAGACGAAGGAACCAGAGGAGGAGATATCGGCACTCGGCGCTCCAAGTCCAGGGTATCGATCCGTCACTCTACTGATGGGATAGTAATGGAGAGCAAAGACAAGGTTATGACTGGACTAACTCGCTTGTCTGAGGAGACGTCGTTCATCTGTCCTCGCGGAACACCTAGGTGCTTTCTACGGGCGAAACCTTCCTCTGCCCATCAAACCTTCTGGACAGCAGTCAATCTAGCCCCCGAGGAGGTTCTATGATGGATAACACGAAGGGTGGCAGACACCTCTATACTACGAATGTTGGTGAGTCATTGGCGAGTGGGATAGGAGAGCTATGCTGGATATCATCCAAGTAACACAGCATTGGGTCCTCTTTATATTGATTAGCGGTAGATCAATTGAGATACTAATAGGACTGTACCCTGTGATAATGCTAAGTAATATAAGAGGAATCTGTGTAGCTATTTGAACACAGCACACGCATGCTATCTGTTCTTTACTTTCCCATTTGCCCTTGGTACGGAAAGAAAGTGCACTGGTCATTATATATAACCTGAACAGGCTACTCCCATCGACCTGTACTCACATCCATAAGCACAAATGCCTGGCACGAAGGGGATCGCTAATAAAACAGGCGTAATACCTTAAACACAGGGGAAGCTACCGGTGAAACATATACATTACTTGCTCAGAATCACATAGACCTACCTTAGCTGGCTCCTGTCATACATCATCGACCTTGATGTATGCTCTCCCTGCACACCAATTCCAATGCAAACGTCATTAAAACAGCCCATTTGATCACATCTATCACGTATGTTATAAGGTTAGGGCGTATACGTGTAGTACTTGGTGCGTGCTTAAGGATACTTTTCTCCAATGCTTGTCACCATCCGAACCGGTGTAAAAGCCTGCATCACCAACCACACTAGCAAAAGTCCCCAACAGGGCGATTGCAAACGTACTTGGATACAATCCAACCTAACCAGAGATAACACCCAGTGTCATAGTCCCTTGTCCCATTGCGCCGCTGCCAAATAGGATGACATCCATACTTCGTCTAATTGCACTGAAGCCTTAGTTGTAGTGGACACCGAGACTTACCAGCTCCTCAGACCAACGAACTGCCGGCACGTCTTGAAATAGGAAAAAAAAAAAAAAAAAAAAAGAAAGGGGAAAAAAAAAAAAGTAGAACTTCCTGACGAAGGACTAAAGTAAAATAAGGGCAAAAAACAATGACCAGTGCCGGGCTCGATCCGGCGACCTCATCGGTGTTAACGATGCGAGATAACCAACTACTCCAACCGGCCAGTTGTTGAGGAAATCGACTCATTTTTGACTACAGAAACCAGGAGAAATCCTGGCCGATCCTATACCACAACTGCCATCAGGATACGTCAGACAACATCGCGAACGCGCTTCGATTTATGGGTATACAATACCACCTAGACTAGGTACCTAACCTATGCAAACGAGTGACACGACCAAAACCAAAAACAGAAACCAAACATCAATCCCAACTCCAACGGCTTAGATCCGTGGAGACAGCCGAACTCCCTCCAACACCGCAACTCCCCTGGGTATGGATCCCGTCCGCGTCCCTGCAGAAATCCCACATCAGTGCACGTTGTCGTTTTGCATGTCGCGTTTCCCTGACCCGCAGTGAAGCTCATTAGTCTATAAAGAGCGAAGAATGGAGACCCGTCGGTCTGTGGGTGCGCATGCGCATCGGAAGATCAGACCGGGTCCGGGCCCCAAGTTGGTGGTCACATTTATCCAAGCCCGCTTGAATAGTCAGTCCCATCAAGGGATTCCAATATGGGATGCAATTCAATGCAGTCCCATGTGTAAGAGACAGAATATCAAACCCAAACTCCAAGTCTCGTTCAAATTAGAAGATAGTTCCACCCGTTTTGCTTCAGCACGTCGCGCCAGTGCATCTGCGGCCGTCGGGCCTCGGGCGACTCCCATTCGGCGCCGGTGATGGGTTGCGGCGACGCCGACCCCTCGAGCTTCACCGGGCTGGCCAGGTCGGGGCTGTCCTTCACCGTGCTGAAGGTCTCGATCGGATCGTCCGTCACGCGCCACACCTCCTGCAACACCCGGTACATGCGGCCGAAGCTGCCCAGGTCGGCGTGCGGGCCGAGTGCGGCGGCGCGGTCGGCCAGGACGGCGCGGAAATGACTCGAGGGCGCGGAGTAGGCGCCCGTGATGAGGAGCGGCCAGACTAGGGAGCGGTCGAAGCCGTTGGGGCCGGACGGGATGAACTGCAGCGTGTTGGCCATGGCGGCGACCAGGTTGAGGTTGCTGGGCTGGCTGCGGTCGAAGCCGGGGACCAGGCTGCAGAGGTAGATGCGGGCGGCGATGCGGAAGACGGCGGTCATGTTTTTGGTCAGGACGTCGGGGCGCAGCATGCCGTTGGGAGCGTAAGGGTTCTCCAGGGTCTGGTCGGCCGGCTCGGTGAATTCCAGCTGGCGACCCAGGGCCGAGACGTGCGAGCACACGGCCATTTCGTCGATGCTCCCGGCGTTCTTCAGGGCGTCCAGACAGGTGATCTCGGAGATGAGGTACATGACGCGGTCGTCACAGCCCATCAGCTCGCGGAGGCCGGAGGAGGCGCCGCTCAGGTGCTTGGAGCGGTAGGTGTGCGCAAACTCGGGCGTCTTTCCGTGGATCGTCGAGCCGAGGATGTCGATCCAGGACGTGAGGGTCATGCTGAAGGGCGGCTGCATGTAGGGGTTTCCGCAGGCCTCGACGGCGTTCGGCAGGCCGAGTCGGTTCGCCAGGTTGGACGCTGCCTGGAAGTGGTCGTACCAGGGGATATCGGGCAGGTAGTCGTCCGCGGGACCGACGGAGCAGTGGAAGAAGATCATGGCGAGGGTGGCGTCGAGGATCTCTTCGTGCTTGGTGTCCTCGCCCAGCGCCAGACACAGCTGTGAAACAGCCTCAAAACGGTGTCGCATGATGTCGTGGTCGATCTGCTCGCCCATAGTGGGGTCTGTCGTCTTCAAGTGGATGGCAGCAACGCTGAGACAGCAGTGGAGGTAGCATCTGTTGGTCTCGAGCGCCTGGAGAATGGCCTGGGCGCGGAGGTGGCCGCGCTGGTGCGCCTCCAGGATGGGGAAGATCATGCGCAGGACATTATGGATGAAGTGGTCGAGCAGAGGTCGGTCATGGTCACTCACGGGGATGTTGGCCTGCAGCATCTCGTAGGCCTGGGCGATATTCTGGCTGGACAGCGCCGGGTCGATACCGGGAAGAGCTGGTGGCGGAGGGAAGCATTCCTCGTGGAACCAGTCCTCGCCGGGGAAGGTTGGCAGAGGCGCATTTAGTTGCGGCGGCGCAAAGGTGCTGAAGGTCGAGCTGGTCGAGTCATGGCGCAGGGGGATGTCGTTGACATAGGTCTGTCGCTCTGTCTTGACATCGATCTCGTAGGGACCGAACGTCCCGCAGATTTGTTGAGGCATCTCGGGGTTAGCAAACTGCGACGAGAACATGTCGTACTGCTCTGGGAATACTGGACGACCGTATTCATGTTCAGGACTCGTCGGGGAGGGGTCTATCGGCCGGCTACGGCTGGCAGGGTCTGTACATGGATGAGTGGAGGGAACCGGCGAGTCTGCACCGACGAGACACGCACCGCTCATGGACCCGTTGCGCTCATTCATCTTCGTCTGCTTGATCATGTTCTTGACCTTCTCTTTCTGGCGTCTCCGCTGGTCTGCATTGGCCCACCATGCCGGACGCTTATATTCGCACTTGACACACAGGTTGATACAGGCACTGCAGGCCGGGTGTTTCTCGTCACATTTCTTGCGGCGGAGACGGCAGGTGAAGCAGCCTTATCATGAGAAGGGATTAGCGATGCATGAAGCTGAGGAAGTATGCCGAGCAAGTATGAGCCCGATGAGGTGCAGCTTACCAGAGCGAGATCGTTTGTGCATCTTGACTGCGGACTTCTCCATCGTCCCCACCGGGGTTCCTTCACTCGAAGACGACACCGAGGAATCGATGCTGGCCTTCTTCATCGCCACATTGGCGGCAGACGACTTTTTCTTCGACGCGGCAGGCATTGTTGCTTGCACTCGGCGGCACTATCAAAATGCAAGTCGACCGGCGGAAGTTATCGCAAAGGACAGGACACAGTCGTCTGGCAAGCTGTGTGGGATGGAGGATTAGGTGCAAAGCTGGTCCAGCAGCCTTGACTCGTGAATTAAACTAATATAAGGGAATGACAGACGCTGATGCGAAAGGACAAACGTGTGCAGGAGACGGTTGACCGAACCACGGCCTTTTTTCCATGGCGGCGGGATGGAGGAAGCTTTAAATTAAATGCGAGCGGTTTGTGACTTGCCAGGCACGATGCTGATGTTACTATTTTCATCCTCTCACCCCCCGATAGCCGAGCGTCAGAGTGCTGGGGAAAGGATAGGCTGGAAGATCACAGCAAGCAGATCCCCGGCTGCTGGCACTAGCAGGGGGTGGGATCGCAAAGGAACTGGTTAGTTCGTTCGCCCACCGGACTAATTTTGGATAATTTTGGATCCTTTGCGCATTGGCGCCCATGCAGGTTGCTGTCCAGGATGATTGGCAGGCCGGTTTGATCATCTCGAAGGCTGGCTGGGAGATGATTGGAGTTGAGGGCTCTATGGGCTGCCCAACGGGATGCAAGCGGTGTCGCATGATTGTGCATTTGCCTGGCACAGCAGAAGTGCTATTTCTCGATACTGTCGGATACTCCGAGGCAAGCCTTCTATCTGTCTTGGGGGATATCCAGGTATCTCTGCCTCGTATGGAGTACACTCACGAAGATCGAGGACGGGAGATCATGACAAATTCGCCGAAGTGTGATATCTCCCCCGGCCAATGGCCCAGCTGTCTCTTCCTGATCGGGAAAATGTACGACGGCCACTCTCCTCTCTCTCCACCGTTGACGGCGCGGGGGTGCGTTGATGCCAGGCCCGTTCACCGTGATTTGATCGTACCCAGACGGCCAGCCGGGGGGTCCGACTGTCTCGAGGCCAATGATGACGGCCCAACACGAGTTGAACGAAGAGGACTAAGATGGAGTCATGAGCCAAGCTTCCCTCTGGCCGGAGTGATTGGCAGAGGGAGAGGAGCATCGTTGTGCAGAGGCGGGAAAGCCGCAGCCAACAGCAGCCAGCGTCTTACCCGCCAGGATCAGAACAGTCATTTAGGGTACTATTATTATCTCTTGTTGCCCTTGTTTCCCCTCATCCAGAGCCATAATTAGTCTGCTGGGCGGCAATTAACGGCCTTTCTAGGGCCTGTCGTGGTGCATGGACCGCTGCATGGCTGGATAGTTCTCATGATCTCCCCACCCGGAGATAATAACATGGGATAACACGGTCAGCGCATTAGCATGGGGAAAGGAAGCTAGCAGACCATTTAGCTTTGATCTACTGCAGCCTCGATCATCGTATCACACCCAGTGAGAATGCTGATCCCCAGCCATGGTGCCATCGTGAACCATGGAACGACCGAGCACAATGCCATTGTAGAGAAGTAAGACACGTCTTGCAGAACCTTATAGACTTTGCTTTCTTGAGAATATAGTAGAATAAAAGAATCGAAGAGAGTATGCTCTTAACCGACGGCATCGGGTGCTGACCGACATCAGACAAGCTGGTCACATTTAGTGGCCGGCACTAATGCTTCCTTATCACATTCGTGCACCTGCAAGCTGCCCCCCATTCGGCCGCTAATTTAACACCCGTGGCGAATCAGACTGGCAAGAGATGAGGTCAAACTGCAGAAACCCTGCAGAGAGCACAAGCCAACTGTGACTTGTCCGAGCGGTGGCATTAGTCTGTGATAACTGCGGTCGCGTTGAGCATTTGAGTACCTTGTAACTGCTGTAGTTAGCAGTGGAAAGGTAGAGAAGTATTAACTGGTCCATTATTGAGTGAAAAGAAGAAAGCAGCGAGGAATGTTCGGATAGTCGGTGGATGAATGTACTCCGTAAAGGCACTACTGCAGAGATTGTGCAACCGCTTCCCATGCAGAACGGGGCTAATTATCACACTTTCCCAAATTATCCTCATTTATTAATAGTAATTTACTCTTATTCAGCCCTTCTATATGAGTATAGATCTACTCATAGCTCTGTCCACCAAAGAATTGCATTAATGTCCCATACCTCGAGAGTACTTGACTAGAACTATGACTGTGCCACCATGGAGAATGCAAACGATGAACACGTACCCCAACCGCAGTTGCATCCAGACCCAACATGAACGAGTCCACATCCTCCACCATCAAGATCGCCCCGTTAAGCGCCGACATATATCTGACAACCCGAGGCGTTCGATCTCGCGTTTCGCAGGACGGCGCCAGATGGCGGGCTAGATGTAGCATCAAGCGCCAGGAGCCTCACCCCGTACAGCCCAGAGCCCATTTATAGAACAGGTCCACGTGCTGTCGCTAGTGAAAGGCTATCGGGCCATTATGATCCTCATTCAGATGCAACAACTGCCCTGCATTGCAGATTTAATGACCCGCCCATCTACAACGATCGGCTGTGGTTGCACAGAGCTCGTTTCGTCCTCTCAACTGCGCATCTGCCGTTAGTTCCGAGAGGAGCAGGAGACTCTGGCGCATTGGAGGATTGGCTTAAAGTTAACAATATACTGCTGGCGGTAGGTCTGTCTCTGCTGCTGGTCACAACGGCAGCGGCACTGGCCTCAGGGATTGGCAATAAAGGGATCGTATGTATGGCTAACATCTTTATATCCCGAGAAATACTTATAGAAGCATATGTATTTTCTAGTCTAGTAGGCTGCTTTATCTACGGAACACCGGTCACCATCCACTGCTTCCGTTACTCAGTATCACACTGCCTATATCCTCACTGAACAACAGTCTTCATGCTTCTCAGGCGACGCTCAGTGTTGGCACGACCGTTGACAAAGTCGGGGTAGGCCAAGGTGAGCTCGACAGCACCAGAGACAATGTGGTCAACAGCTTCCACACCCAGCATAAAACTATATTCCGTTAGCGTGTGTACACGGGGCCCAATTGTCATAGCAAATACCTGTGGTCCTGATTACCGACTTCGTACTTCCACGAACCGAATCGGCCCCGGGAGAGAATATCCTTTTGCTGCAAGTAGGGGAGAATCTCGTTCAGAGCGCCGTTACGCTCCAAGCTGGGGGTGGGGTATCCGTGGTCGAAACGGCGCACGTAGGTGCTGACGATCTCGTCCTCGGGCTGAAGCAACGTGGTGTTGATCAGGCCCTGGATGCAGTCGGCCAGCAGGGTGTCGTGGTTAACCGGCTTATACTGCGACTCGGAAACTTCCAGCATGATAGACCAGTATGGTCCCTCCTGGGCGTCGGAAGAAGCAGGCTTCTGGCCGTTGGCAAGCTGCTTGGTAGGCAACTTGACGTTCTGGTGAGGCTGGTTATTGGGGGAGTAGTTGGAGAAGATGGTAGCACGGTAGAAGGGGCAGTTGTCTTCGGGGAAGTAAAGCTGCAGCCGTTAGATTGTATTTCTCCTTGGTCTGAATCCAGAGAGAACATACCCAGCATTTATCTCCGATGCGCTCAGGGCGTGTCCCACGGATACCGACACCGATCACGTTGGTGGAGGAGTAGAAGAGGGGTTTGCAAAGCTGCTGCAGAGTAGTGTCCGCCATGGCTTCGGCGAGGTAGTCAACCGCCATGGTCGAGATAAGAGATCCGTAGTGAACAATGGTACCTGGCAGTTTTGATCAGCTTAATAGCCAGTCATCCCATTAGTATTGCAACCGACCGTCCTTCAAGTAGACCTTCTTAGCGTCGGCATCGACCTTGACCACAGTGCCGTGCTCACCAAAGCAAGTCTTCTCCTTAGCAATCGTGTTGGCCACAGCAATCCAGATCCCACCGGTACCGCCCTTGGCAGGGAACTTGAAAGTGGCATTGGGTCCCCAGTTGCCAGCCACCTTGTTGAGGATGACATTGCTGGTCAGCAGCTTGAGGTTGGGAGCGGCTACCCGCTCACCTACCCAGGTAGCGTTCATCTTGCTCGGGGACACCGCCCAGACCTTGAAGTTGTATGGGCGCATAAAAATATCGTTCAGCCGCTGGCCGACATTGCGGGTGTTCCAGATGTCGAAGTTTTCGGGCTTGTCCGACGCAGGGCGGGTGCGAGCCTCTAGGGCTGCATCAATCAGACTCTCGATGCATTTGACCTGCTCCTCCTTGGGCAAGACGGAGATATTGTTCTGGAAAGGGTAGGGGACCCAGCGGCCCTGGTAGCGGACATAGGAGACCCGCTGGTGCTCGTACCAGTTCTCGGCCTTGGGGAGGGCTTCGTGGAGGCAGTCGTCGAAATACTTGTAGTGGGAGAATATAACATGTCCACCGACATCGAACAGCTGCACAGCAATTAATATCTAATCATTAATGCGGCAGAATGACTTACAAAGCCTTCGGGGGTGACGTCTGTCGAGGCCAGTCCACCGGGGGTTTCGTTTGCGTCAATGATCATCCATGAGGCACTGTTCTGGATTCCCATGCATCGTTAGCAGTTCTATCTTCATGATCTAATTGATCACACTTACCAGCTGCTGAAGACGCTTAGCGGCGCCCAGACCGGTCGGACCAGCACCGATCACCAACACATCGACATTGCTGGGAAGACGTGTCAGCACTCTACTTCCATAAACACGACCGGGATAGGGCAAAGTACATTTGCTTAGCAGCCATGATAGGAGATGTTGAAAGGGGAGACTGAGTGGGAAGAAGAGAGAAAGGAAGGGGAGGGAGAAATGCAAAACATACAAGCAGCAAAGCCTAGCAGAGAGCCGCAAGAAGATCGGGAGGCCGTTTGATTAAGTCCGAGGACGACCGTCTCAAATTAAGTGACGCGCGTCAGTGGATGTGGATCACGGAAGCATGAACCGGGGGGTTTGTCCCTTTGGTGATCTTAATAATCTATACCTTACTCTGGGCTACCACGGAGTACGTATGTAGTTTCTTACTGACTGGGTCTCTATTTTTAGGGCTATACTCCCTATCGGGCGGGGCTCTGATGCTTGTCTCTACGGAGTCCACGGCCCGAACGGACGCCCCACACTCCCCCGCTAACCGGCATCCGATCCCTGGATAGGGAGGCACCGTGCACGGAGGTCTCTCGCGTACGCTTTGGCATCAACCAGGGTTAACCATGTAATGCCGATCATGTTTTTTTGCTGTCCACAGGCTGTTGAGGTAGTGCCCTTATATAAATTGATATGTGTCAGGTCCTCCACGCAGGGTACTCTTCTAAACTGAAAATTCTGGTTTCCGTCCTAGTGGGAGCACTTGGTCACCACAATTGGAATGGAGATCATTAACAAGCACAGACAAGGCATAGTAGACATCTCGATTCAAAATCTCCATCCAGCGGTAATGCTATGGCGATCCTGCTAACATCCCTCGAAAGGATCAGGATGCATACAAGTGTTCGAGATTCAGAGCTCCTTGGCTGTTGGGCTGTGTTGATTTCGCTGTCATTCTGTTTGAATATCTGGACCAGTATGCTCAAGTCAGCTGGCTAGCCCTCGGTATGTTCAAAGAACAAGCTTCTACAAATCCTCCATCCAACCCGCAATCACGCCTGCAATCTCATCACTGTTCTTCTCCACCATCACCATGTGTCCATTCCCGTGGATCCCCCTCTCTCCCAACTGCATATGTTGGACATCTACCCCAGCCTGTTTCAAAAACCTTACAGTGCACCAGTCATGAGTAGCATGGTACGATGCTTCCGCCGTGACAAGCAGGACTGGGAGCTGCCCTAAGAAAACCAACTGTCTCGGACTCGGGTCCTCTGCCTGTAACACACAATCATCGTGCACCTCCGATCCGGACACAATCTTCTGCTTCACAAAATCCCTCTCCGGATCCGATACAGGTGGCTCATACGTCAACGCCGTCTCGGTCAATCCATACGGCCGCGCCGGCCCAGCGCCAAAAACCTTTGCATTCCAGAATGGCGGCCCACTCGGCTCGATGGCCACAACACCGCGCACCAGATCCGGGCGCTCATCCGCGATGACCCAGGCCATGCTTCCGCCCTGCGAGTGCGCTACCAGAATAACCGGCTGGCCGATCCTCGACAAAAGCGCCGCGCCAGCAACCCGCATCATCGTCTCCTGCTCTGCATTGGACGCCAGCGAGGGCACCGTCGAGGCGTAGTACGCGTCAAACACCGGATCGCCCATCATCCCCGTCCCGGGCCACTGCGTGTGCAGCACCGACTGCGGCCATTGGACGTACCGCTCTGGTGCGGTGAACAACTCTTGGATGTGTTCGGCGGTGTATTTTCTAAGGTCGCCGTTGGTGGTGTTGTCCCAGGGACTGCGGCCGCGCGCGGCTTGGTCGAGCAGGTAGCATTCGTAGCCTTGGGACAGGAAGTAGGAGGCCCAGCCGTCTTTGCCGTCGGGCTTGTTGAGCCAGTTCTGGGGGTGTTAGTGGGCTCGGCAAGGGGGGAGGGGGCGTACAGTGGCGGTTTGGTCGACGCCGTGGATCAAGACGATGGGATGGGGTTGGGTTGGTCCGTTTAGGGGTGTTAGACGTTCGACGTAGATCTGGTTGGTGTAGATGTGCTCTCCTGAGCTGGTGAGGGTGTAGTTTCCGCCGGCATAGAAGTATGATCTGTGGTGAGGGATAGCGAGAGCGAGGGGGATTGCTGCTAATATGGATAAAGGGTGATAGAGCATGGTGTATGGCTTCAATAATGGATTGACGTATAATAATATGGTCAATGTACCTCGTCGGATTTATGGAGAGTGAGGTTGATCGAGTCTGGGATGTATGCAGCGGTGTAAATATATCTGTTGTCGCAGTAGCCACAGTAACCGTTGGACACCTGACGGTCAACTCACAATATGCAGCCATCTGCACCTGTAAGAACTATGCTGGAATAGTATAAAAGCAAACATTGTTTGCAGGGAAAAGCCAACGGGGTATTGTTTGGTGAGAGGTAACTAGGATTATACTTATCCTTCTGGACTAGACAATGTCTCTAGGTACAGAACTTATACTTCCTGTCCTGGACATTTCTTTCTATTTGTCTAATTGACATTATCAAATGTCCTCAATATTCTCTCCGTATACTCATACTGCTCTAAATACAACTCTGTGGATGCTTGACGTCATGCCAACCCCGCCCTGAATAATACATCATTTGTTGTGATATCATCCAGCGCATCCACGGTATCTTTTTAAACGTTCCACGCTCTCCCATCCTCTAATGAACTCAAACTCCCCATAATATATCTACTTCCACCATGGCTCGCATCTTCATCACTGGTTCCAGCGACGGCATCGGACAGGCGACGGCCAAGCTCCTCGCCGACAAAGGCCACTCAGTCGTCCTTCACGCGCGGAATGCAGACCGCGCTGCGACCACCCGCAAGTCCGTCCCGAACGCAGAGGCCGTGCTCGTGGCCGACTTGCGCTCGATCGCAGAAACCAAGAAACTCGCCGAGGAAGCCAATGCCCTGGGAAACGGGCGCTTCGATGCGATCATCCACAATGCCGGCATTGGCTACGGCTCCACGTCCAGCCGCGAGATCACCGCGGACAAGATATCCGCGGTCTTCGCGGTGAACACGCTCGCGCCGTACATCCTCACCTGCCTGATGCACAAGCCCACGTCGCGGCTGCTCTACATGAGCTCCGACAGCCACTACGGCGGCGATGAGTCCCTGCGCAATGTCACACAGTCGCATTCGTACAGCGACAGCAAATTGCACGATACCATGCTGGCGAATGCCTTTGCCCGCCGATGGGGGGATGAAATCCAGGTCGTGAGTATGCACCCCGGCTGGGTACGGACCAAGATGGGAGGCACCATGGCGCCTGGTGGGATGGATACACCGGCCAAGGCGCTGGCGGATTGGGCAGTCGGACAGGGAAGTTTGGCCAGCCTGAAGAGCGGAACGTTCTTCACCACGCGAGGCGCAGAGTCGGCGCATCCTGGAGCTGGAAATGTCAGCAAGCAAGAGGAGTTGTTGAAGATTTGCAAGGAGGTATCTGGGGTATCTATTCCGGGGGAGTAGATCGGCGTCTGCAGAAGCGGACTATATATTTTCACCACGAATCTTGAGCGGATTGCCCCAGGAAACTTGGGGCACGATATAACCACTCTGGGCAACATGTATACCTTGATAAAATCACAGCATGACCGAATATATCTATCCTCTGTGTTGCTTGTGAGTTCGCGCGTTAATAACTGAATAGAATAGTGCGACTAGTGGAATCATAGTTTTCAGCCCGTGGGTATTTTCGAGGACATGTAGAGAACACAGTAACATTCCATATAGGCATACTAAATAGATTCACACAGTATTACTATAGTATTGCTACCGAAAGGATGACTGCTGAGTGTGGTAACTACGGAGTAACTATACCGAGCGCTCATATTTGTCCTCAATTGTCTGCTGGCATCTGGTAGTGGCGTAGTGGTGTAGGGTATATTGATTAGATATCTAAAGATCCTAGATAAAGCCTAAGATCTTCTCTAAACTTAATGCAGGAAGAGATTGAAAAGCTGAACCCATAACCATCTCTAGGAAATTTAAAAGGAAATCATAAGCATATTATTGGTTTGTGGAGCAGATAAATAGCCCCTGTGGCCAAGTGGCCAAGGCGCTGTGCTTGTATATGCCAAAATATCGCCCGCCTCTACCGCTCGGCAGGGGTAATCTTATTTTTCCTAGACGATGAGCTGTTAAGACCTGGCCGAGTGCTTTGTGAATCTCATGAGACCCCGGTGTGGTTAAAATCTTCCTTCCCGCTTCATCGTAACCCGATACGTCATCCGATCCACTCCGCACGACCTCAAAGCTTCAGCTTCAGCTTCAACTCTGCTGACCTTTCGCGACAGCCTACGTACCAGTTAGTCCACAGTCTGCCACATACTGCCATCCGCGACATACTCTCGCCTATTATGCAAAGCAGGCCGCCATGTTTCGCACGACAATAACCCGTCCCTTTCTCCGCCCCCCGCCGGGCGCCTCCCTCCCTACCCGTCGCATTTTTCCGCCCTCTCCGCGCTCGCTGCCCAGAACCATCGCGACGTCGTCTTTCCGTACAGGTCCTTCGAGACCATCGATAGCGGTATTATTCGGATTTCCACGCCCGCATCCTTCCCTCCGACATGCATTCTCGACGTTCCCACGACGTCCCTTCAATGGCGGAAACCAGTATAGACGCTTTAGCCCGTCGCGTGAGCCGCTCCTGACACGGCTGTTGAATAATGCGAGACCGCACCACTTTGTGATTATAGGCCTCGGGATTAGCGGGTTCTATATCTATAATACCGAAACGGTGGAGGTGCGTCTGGAAATCTCTCGTGCTGGACACATGTCCCCTAACGCACCAGTGTAGATGACGGGTCGACGCCGGTTCAACTGCATATCTTCGAAGAGGGAGCTGCAGATGGGTGAAGAGAGCTACAGAGAAGTGCTGAATCAAGAGCGCGGGAAGATTCTCCCTGCGAACCACCCGCTCACGGTCTCGGTCAACCGTGTTCTGCAACGGCTGATCCCGCAGGCGCAGATTGAGGGCGCGGACTGGCAGGTTCATGTGATCGACGAACCGCAGACGAAGAACGCCTTTGTGCTCCCTGGGTATGCGCCGTTCTTCCCGTTGTATATCTGATGTGGGGGGTTGGCTGACTCGTGATGGGATGAAGAGGAAAGGTGTTTGTATACACCGGGATCTTGCCGATCTGTAAGAACGAAGATGGGCTGGCAGCCGTTCTGGGCCATGAGATTGCCCATGTGGTGGCGCGACATCCGGCGGAGCGCATGAGCACTGGGTTCGTCTCATTCGGAATAGTCTTTCTCATTTCTCTCTTGTTCGATATCTCGGGACAATTTCCGTCTCTCATATTGAACCTGATGTACAGTCTGCCGAACTCGCGGACGCAAGAGGTGGGTTCATCCTTTGGTTGGTGTTTGCAGTCGAACTAATTGGTTGTCAGGCGGAAGCAGACAATATTGGATTGAGTATGGTCTCCAGGAATGCAGACCAAGTGCCGTGCTGATGTGATATAGTGATGATGTCCAAGGCATGCTTTGACCCAGGTGCTGCTGTTGAGCTGTACGTGATCTGTGATTGGGTCTGGATACTTTTGACGGACGAAGGCTGACAATATGCTAGTTGGGCTCGCATGCAACAAGCAGAGGCACAAACGCCTCCCGAGTTCATGTCTACCCACCCATCGGTAAGGGCTCCCATCTGCCAGGATCGATGGCTTGCTGACGGGCTAACCATTTGAAGAGCTATAACCGGATGGAAACCATAAAGGGAATGTAAGTGTGACCAGGCCAGGCTTTAAAATTTCGTCATCTCACTGGGATTAGGCTCTACAAAGCGGAGGGAATCTATGAGGACAGCGGCTGTAATGTTGTCCGCGGGTTCAGTAAGACCCCTTTGCCCGATGTCGGAGGACGATGCTAACGATATTGACCTGCAGTGCCCGGATTCCGTCAAGCCAGCTCTGCGTGGTAGGGGTATACTTTTATAGAGGCAGGCCAAGAAAGACTGGCCAAGGCCAGTGCCAGTGCCTCAGCCTGTCAATGAACGAAGGATAGACGCCATAATGAGACATGATTCCACTCTGTACAATACAGCAATATCAGCAACGTAATAGCATTTTGTCTAGGTAGCGTGTCGATAATAATAGTGAAATAGTTGTTGTATGTATAAACTTAGTCAGCATCCCAAAGAGGCAATGCCCTAGCCCCTCCGCGTGCAAACGAAACAAACCGCAGACCGTCTCAGCAGCTCCGTTCAAAAATTACCTCCACGTCCGGTCGCTTTCACTCGATTCTCCCTCCCAATCTTCCAGAGAAAGCTCCCGTCACCATGTCGTTGTCAATGCCGGGACCGTCCCAGGCGGGTCTCTTCAAGCCTGGATACCAAAGGTAAGCGAGTCCTTGGTTGTGGTACCCCGGGATGGAGGGGATCGTGGTCGTGACCGAACACCGGTCCAGGAGAGCACGACTGGAGGGAGCAATGAGGCGGAACGCATATCTGTCAATTCCGACATGCTAATTATTATCTCACAGTCACGATGCTGAAGATGGCGCTGTCATCCGTAACATTGAAGCCTGCCAGGCTATCTCCCAAACCGTCCAGACATCGCTGGGTCCCTATGGCCGCAACAAGATTGTCATCAACCACCTGCAGAAGATGATCCTGACGTCCGATGCTGCGACGATCCTTCGCGAGTTAGACGTCGTTCACCCCGCCGCTAAACTCCTCGTCATGGCCAGTCAGCAGCAGGATGCCGAGATGGGTGATGGAACGAACATGGTCATTGTCCTGGCCGGAGAGTTCTTGAAGAAAGCGGAGGAGCTGCTACGAATGGGTCTCAAGACGAGTGATATCGTCCAAGGTTATGAAAAGGCTCAGAACTACGCACTCAAAGTACTAGAAGGTGGGTATTACCTCGTGTCCTCGGGGATGTTTTACTCCGTTCAGGGGCTAGTTGACTGACGACAATGTGTGGTGGTATAGATCTCGAGGTCGATCGCCTGCAAGAGCTCCGCTCCAAGTCTGAACTCAGCAAGGCCCTCCGCACCGTCGTCGCCAGCAAGCAGTCCGGCACGGAGGATCTCCTGGCTGGATTGGTCGCCGAAGCTGTTCTCGCCGTCCTCCCCAAGAACCCGGTTAACTTCAACGTCGATAACGTCCGTGTGGTGAAGATCATGGGTGGCAGTTTGGAGCAGTCGCGCGTCGTGAAGGGTATGGTGCTCGGTCGGGAGCCCGACGGCACGGTCAAGAAGGCCCAGAAAGCCAAGGTGGGAGTTTTCTCCTGCCCCATCGACATCTCCCAGACCGAGACCAAGGGCACCGTGCTGCTGAAGAACGCCCAGGAGATGCTTGACTTCACCAAGGGTGAGGAGGACCGTCTCGAGGCCGCCATCAAGGAGCTCTACGATTCCGGTCTCCGGGTTGTCGTTGCCGGCTCGACCGTTGGCGACCTGGCTATGCACTACCTCAACCGCTTCAATATCCTCGTCATTAAGATCCTGTCCAAGTTCGAGCTGCGCCGACTCTGCCGCGTTGTGGGCGCCACTCCCCTCGCCCGTCTGGGTGCCCCCATGCCCGACGAGATGGGCACCATCGACGTTGTCGAGACCACCGAGATTGGAGGAGACCGCGTGACGGTGTTCCGTCAGGAGGATGACAACACGATCACCCGTACCGCTACGATTGTCCTGCGTGGCGCCACCCAGAACCACCTGGATGACGTTGAGCGAGCAATCGACGACGGCGTCAACGCCGTCAAGGCCATCACCAAGGACCCCCGCCTTGTTCCCGGCGCAGGCGCCACTGAAATCCAGCTGGTGGAGAGAATCTCTGCGTTCGCCGACCGCACCCCCGGATTGCCCCAGCACGCTATCCGCAAGTTCGCCGAGGCGTTTGAGGTCATCCCCCGGACGCTGGCCGAATCGGCCGGTCTGGATGCCACCGAGACGCTGTCTCGTCTGTATACGGCTCACCACCGTGCGAACCAGGGTGCCGCCGAGTCCGAAGAGGAGTCTGGCGAGGATGGAAGCTCCGACGAGGAGCCTTACTGGACTACTGGTGTTGATCTCGAGGCGGGTCCGGAGTTTACGCTCGATACGGTGGATGAAGGCATTCTCGACCTGCTGGCTTCCAAGAGCTGGGCCATTCGTCTGGCTGCTGAGTCGGCACGGACAGTCCTCAGCGTCGACCAGATCATTGTGGCTCGACAGGCAGGAGGACCCAAGCCGCCTGGTCCCAACCCCAACTGGGATGAGGATTAAGCGGGAGGAAGGTAATCTGCGATGAGATGTATGTACGTATGGAGGGGGAGTAAAATGCGATGGGATAGAGCCACGATATCATGAAAAGTGAGACTGGAGAGTACATATCTGTCGTAATACGGAATGATCTATTGATGCTTTTGGACTGTTGGATATGTTGTACTCTGTATGTCAGTTTGTATAGGTGGTGTCCACGTGACTATAGTTTTTCCGGGCCGAGCAGGAGCGACTTTACTTTTTCATCCGCCGTCAACTCCATCAAAGTCCGTCCGTCCGTTGCTGTCGTCCCCCTTCTTGCTCCTCCACTCCCTTCCCATCTTCCTCGTCGCCATGTCGTTCCCTGCTCAGACCGCAGCCCGTTGCTGCAGACAGCTCGTTCGTCCCTCCGCCGCTCTGCGTCTGTCTCCCTCCACATATCTGTCCCAGCGGACGCTCAACCGGCGATGGGAATCGACGGGAGCTGCTGCGGCTCCCGCCAACCCTAAGATCACTCAGATCGTGGATCAGATCAGTCAATTGACCCTGTTGGAGACTGCCGATCTGGTTGCGACCTTGAAGGTGCGTTGTTTGTCGAGGTGGTGGATGTCGCAAATCAGTGCACCCCATTCTGTCCGGGAATTGCTCGCGACCAATCCTCAATGGATCTACACACCGATGAGAGACTGGTGGAACGAACCAATGCTTATGTATCTTTGTTGATAGGAACGTCTGAACATCCCCGACCTGCCCGTTGGCGGTTTCGCCATGGCCCCCGGCGCTGCTCCCGCCGCTGCCCCCGCCGAGGAAGAGGAGGCTGCCCCGGCTCCTCAGGAGAAGACCCTGTTCAACCTGAAGCTCGAATCCATCGATGCCGCCTCCAAGGCCAAGGTGATTAAGGAGATCAAGACCCTCCTCGGTCTCTCTCTGGTCGACAGCAAGAAGTTCGTCGAGTCGGTTCCCAAGGTTCTGAAGGAGTCCGTGCCCAAGGAGGACGCCGAGAAGATCATCGAGACCCTGAAGAACGTCGGCGCGAAGGCCATCATGGAGTAAACCGGCTTCACATTTTCGTTCGAATGGAACCGACCCCAAAGTAATCGGGACCGGTCGCGTCTGTGTCTCTGTGTCTGGGTGAATGAAATTGGGATGATCTGGACGTTGTGATTGGACTGCATCATCGAGCTGGAGTTATTCTTTTTACCCCTTTCCCTTTTGTTCCTTTATTTCTCCGTTGTTGTTTCTAGGGTTCTTTTTTCTCCGTCATATATTGTTTCGGATTTCTACCGGAATGCGGGAAAAAGGCGGGCAAATGTACATTATCATATCCTCTCAGTAGACAAGTGACTCATGATTGTAATTGCCTTGACGATAGTGTAGGTTTTTGAGTGATATGTACATGGACTGACTGAATGCTGATCGGATCGAGCGGAGCGGAATTTCTCTCCGCGCCAGAACTTCTCCATCGCAAGCAACCACTTCTCTTCTCCCACAACAACCATTTCCACCATGTCCCTCTGCGGACACTCGTCCAGCGTCCTTCGCGCGTGTCCTCGACGACACATCCGATCCAATCTTTCCTCGACAATCGTCCTCTCCCGACCATTCCACTGCACAGCGTCTCGCCATGCCGCTCGATCCCCCGCAGTCCGGCGCGCGCAGGCCGCCAAAGCTCGTCCAGGAGCGTCTACCGACTATCTCGTTACAACCCCAGTACAGGGAAAGGTAGAAACACGGTTACAGTCGCTCGAGGAGCAGGGAATCGCCGCCTGGGAACAGGTCGTGCGATCGGGGTCCATGAGCACGACCGTCTCGAAAGAAACCTTCCTTAGCATTGCGAGACAGCTCCTCGAGAACGCACATCGCCAGGCCCCGTCTGCAGCCGCTGTCCAGAGCATATCAAATGGTGCGTGTCATGCTCTTCCGCCGTCAATCCATCACCTAAAGACTAAGGCCCAGACGTCGACCTCGTCTTCAAAATCAGCCACTTCATCTCCCCCGGGAACCCCAGCCTGCGCGAATGGGCTCTCTCAGCCTGCACGCTCGCTGGCGCCCGCGTCCCCTCCCTCATCACCGCCGCCCGCTCCCTCTCCACAACCTCTTCCAAGCCCGCGCCGTCGCAGACCAAGCTCCTCCAGCAGGTCGAGACCTTCGCCCTGCGCGACCACGACCCCCGCGCCATGCTCCTGCACGCCAAAGCGCTCGCCCGCCGCGGCCAGCACCCCGCCGCGCTGGCCCTCGTCGAGCAAGTCCTGTCGATGATCTCGCCGACCCGCCGCCGGCCCCTCCCAGACGAGGAGTTCATGCTGCCCGGCATCACGAGCCCGTGGCAGACCTATCTCTCGCTCAAGGCGGAAGCCGGCACGCTCGACGACGCCGAGCGCGAGCGCGTGCTCCGCGCCGCGGCGGACGACTACCACGACCCGGCCGCGCTGGCGCAGTACGCGCGCCTGCGTCTGGACCGCGCCGCCGACCGCGACGCCTACGAGGAGTACATGTCCATGGCGGCGATGGCGGGCCACGCCGACGCGTGCCGCCGTCTCGCAAACTTCTACTATCTCACCTCTGCGCGGCGCTTCCCGCGTCGCGGCGCGAAGACCACCACTGGGTCTGCGCCGGACGCGGAGGAGGTCGAGGCGGAGGACCAGGGCGTTCTGGCGCGGTGGCTGCCGCGGTTCTATGCGCCCAAGCCGCATGCCGAGTACCGCGCGCTCGCGCTGGACTGGTACCATCTCGCGGCGTCGCATGCGAGCACGGCGCCGGCGGCCAAGGGCGATGTGCTGTCCAAGACGGCGTTGGCGGTTGCGGTGATTGTGCGCGAGGAGGGCATTGTTGCGCGACGGGCGGACCGGCTCGACCAGGCGTTCCGGTGGCTGCAGCGGGTCGGTGATGTCCCTGCGGTTGCGTCGTTTGTGCGGCAGCTGAAGCTGAAGTGGGATGATGAAGGGTTCTTGCCGGCTGTGCCGGAGGAGGTGGTGGATGTCTGAGTGAGTGTGTGTGTCTGGTGGTTTATGATACCCGTTTTTGTATTTTGAAGGCGCACGAGGAGGGGCTTATAGAGTGTATAATAGTCATGAGTCTAAGTGGATTCGATCTATGATCGAAGTCGAGTGTATCATATGTCTCTTGCATGCTATTCTATGCCTTCAATCATGACATCCAGATCCGTAACGCCGGTTAGTAGAATCTCATCATGTGTGCACCTGGTATAACGCGATGAAACAGAAGGAACAATGATCTACCAACGTAGAACAATCCTCAGGGAAAGCCCTCACTTCCGCCTCCCCTTCCCCTTATCCTTGCCTCTCGTTTTCAGCTCCACGAACCCGAGCTCCTTCAATCCCTCCGTGAGCGGCGACGAGTCCCTCATCCCGGGGAAGTCTTTCGCCGGGTACACGCGGAACGGATCAGACCACGCCTCAGCGAGGATGGGCATAGACAGGCCCGTGTCCTCCACGTTTCCCCAGTTCATCAATCGGAACTGCAAGCGATACAGACCAGCTGTACGGATGGACAAGTCCGAGAAGATGAAGAACGTAGCGGGCATGCCGCCGCGGCCCCGCGTTCCCTGCGTGTACGATACCGGCGGCCCGGCAGGATCGTCGTGGGAGGAGGGGTGAGGCGGCGCTGTGTTCGGGTCCGGGTCTGCTTCGACGTAGAATGGAGACACGAAGGCCTTCCCCGAGAGCAGCGGCGTGGATTGACCCGGGGCCTCGGACCGGTGCGTGCCCCGTCGGTCTTCGCGGAGGGACGGATGGTCCCCTTCTGGCGACCGAAGAGACGACGGCGTCACCGGGAAGAGAAGGCAACCCACGGTGAAGCGAGGATCTTTCAGGATGTCCATATCCTCTTCTAAACTCGGATCGAAGTCGGTCAAGAGCATTTGGATGATGGGCGGCGGGTCGACGGGTCTCCGGTCTCTGTCCCCAGCGCCGCAGGCTCGTGCGGCAATCGGCTGCTGTCGGATATGCAAGCGGTAGCGGGGTGATGTTGATGTCGTCCGCGGTGGAGGTGATGGCGTCGGGGAGGTGTGAAGTAGCTTTTCAAACCCCATGGGCATGCTCGGAGCTTGCTGGCGCGGATATGGAGTTGAATGTTTCGTACTGGACAGACCTGGTAACAACGCCCCGCTGTTGTCGGAATGCACAGGGCTGGGGAAGGTCGTGGGAGTGCTGCTGTATCTAGTGCTCTGGTTAGACCGTCGTCTGGACTTGAAATTTTGTAGCTCACTCAATAGCCGCAAGGGAGGGCACGAACAACCCAAAATGCAGAGACAGAAAGATGAAGAAAGAGAAAAGGGAGAGTTACTGAGAGTCCACATCATTTGATCGCCCCGCAGAGCCTATAGAGCCACGACTCTGACTTGCTGTTTCGAAGTACGGGCTCGAACTCGGCGGATACTCCACGTTCCTCGGCCAAGTGGTCCTCTGTATCCCATACTGAGGAATGTGGCCGGCGCTTCCTACAGAGTAATGATATCGATGGTCAAGACCGCTGTCCCATCCTTTGCCCTGCATAGAAGAGTTGGGTTGTGACGAAGTAGCAATCCTAGGATCATAGCCCTGGCTATCCGGGTAAAGATAGCGTGGAGGCTCTTGGCCCGAGTATGGGTGCATTGGATACGGCGCCAGCCCGTGACTCGCATCGGCAGATGTGCGTGATCTCATCTCGAGTGATTCCCTGTCGGGAAAAGGTGGCCATTGTTGGACTGGAGGTCTCGACATCTATGCGGTTCGGCAGGAGACCGAAAACAACGGGTTCCTCTTGGGGTGCGATTTTGGTGTGTTGCAAAGGCCAGATGAGAAGCGTATTGCGGCAAAGTCGTCGGGACGAACAGAAAGACGATATGCAGGCGTCACTAATGCTACGTGAGGCCGAGCAATACCCCGTGTGAGAACAGAGCCGACCAGAGAGCAAGACACGCGGATACGGTGGCTATGTATTAAACATACATCCACCACCGAAGCTGGCCTGCCTGTGCCGACAGTCCTCTTGAATTTGCTGCCGATACTCCCTCTGAGCTTTGGAACACCGAAGGAAATCCCGCGGTATGGTGGCACCTTGAACGGGCCTAAAGTGCTGCATCAAATAACGCGCATCAGTTAATACTTCGGCGACTTCCACAGAGGAATGTGTTTATGAGGATCGGGACAAGTGTAGAAGTGCAAAAAGAGACCGAAACCCAAAGACAGGGCAAACACTATTCATGCAAAGGAGGGACGGGACTTACAGTAGATCTTCGAGAACGGACCGTAAGTCTTATAGATATTTATTACAACCCGGCAATGGGTGTGAACAACAAGTGTGTCCGATGACCAAAATCAGTGGAAGGAAGGACGACGCAGCTGAGTGGTCCGCGGTCCTCTGTTGAAATTAAGCGTCGATAACCACTGAGAGAACGCGGATCTGGGGAAATGGACCGGCTAGTTAGGCGATGGCTGTCTTTTTTTTTTTGTTGGCTCGAGGGTGTGCGTGTTCGCTGCTGTGTCTGTGTGTGGCATTGGCGCCAAAGTTTTTAACAAGCAGCCGCTGTGCTTTGTTCCTGACAGACTCATCTTCTCCCAATGTTATATACCCGATATACCGCTCGTTCTTCTCGACGGTATATCCGCTCTCTCTGCATCCCTTCATTCAGCTAGGGCGCAGGGTGGGTTTCCACTAGTTCCGCTGGGAAGATGCCGATTGTTTGGTGGATCACGATGGATGCGAGAACCAGGACCAGTACGCCCACGGAAGCCAATAAGAGTAGATCCGGGCCATATCGTCGACGGCCTTTTTCATTTTGGTTTGATATACCCATCGTTCCCATGGTTGGCTGGTCGGAGTTGACACTAAACATGTTTCCGCAGTAAATTCGGGCCAAACGAGTCAACATTGACCGCTCGCATGGGATCGCCAATCATCAAGCCAGGGTTTGCTTGCTTTGTTGTTTCCGCCCTAGTGGGTCAGATATTTTTTTTTTTTTTTTTTTTTTTTTTTTCTTCTTTCCTTCATTTTAATTAATAATGCACAAGGGAAGGGAAGGTGACGCTCGGGCCAGAAGAGTAAAGAAAGTCATTGTTTTCAGAGCGTCGTTCTTTGGCAATAATCGTCCCGTATGGAACCCGCTGCGGGTAAATGTGATAACCCCAAAGGATTTCCCTTCTTCTCCTGGGCCATCACGCCAGCCTTAGACAGCGAATCGAGACCCCTAGGAATGCCATTAGCCAGGAGCACAGTCAGGCCTACTCCGAGGTACTTAGTCGCCGAAGGGCCCCCCGGTCAAGTCAAAGTACTATGGAGTAGGATAACCGAGTTGAACACGATAAAAACGGGATGGAGACGGGGGTATCAAGAAGCAGGGGAGCCTGGTGCAGATCAGTGGCGAGGTACATGAGAGTGACCTGTTGGTATTGAAATGAAGCTATTCATGACGTATAATCGAACTATTTCTATAGGTCGAAATGGGTTGAAACACCGCTTGCCCTGGCTGCGAACGTAGCTTGTATCCCTAAAGAGCTGTTTGTATGCTCATGCTTGTGTCTTCAAGGATAGATCTGCACCGTACGGCTTCGGGTGGCCCCCAAGTGCAGGCTGAGGAGACCGAGGATGTATCGGAATGTACTCCGAAAGATGGTAATAGTTGGGTTTTGCGCACATACCATTGAAGTCTCATATCGGAAGATTCTAGGTACGGGGGCATGTGGCTTATCACTTCGGAATGCATCATAAATAATTCCATTTTTGAGCGCCAATAAACGACAGCAAAAGAGGATTCCTCCGAAATCTGGAGGTATGTGTCGAGTTATTATTGACCGCAGGATGGGCGGGTGTACCCGACAGGATTTCATCACACTCCATCGCGTTCGTAGGGTATTCATATTCGTCCACTGGACACTCCCAGGCAGCTTAAGGGCCTGCAATAATGAATCGTGTGTACGTCTGTATTGTCCTGACAGGGTAAGAGGAGGCACCGATAAAGCTTAAAAAGAAAGAGTTCCCTTCTGGTAGGCGATCTGAAGGGAAACCGAGGGTTTAGGCCATAACAGATGTACATCTATCGGATTTGTGTTAGGGACATGACATGGAAATGTCATGGAGAACTTACGGAGGACATCCATACGGAGTACGTGTTTCGTAAACGCCGCTGGAGACAGGCATAAGAGAGGGAATGTCCCCAGCCCTACCTAGGTAGTTCTTGCGAGATGAATTCAGAAGGACCGTCCCGAAGGAAGCGTCTTGGGCACATCAATGTGGCTCACTGTCGGTGTGGGCTAAGCCAAGTATTCCCGTCACCGCCACATTCTGTGCCAGGTGGGCAGGACACTCGGCCTTCATAGGTGGTATGGAGCATGCAAGTTTGCTTCCTAGCGTGGAACGAAGTGTGGCCCATGCATTAGCAGTGCAACCTCCGTTCATTCTGCCCTTAGTTGTTGGATCCTGGCCTACTGCATGCGAATTTGCCTTGCCCATAAATAACTTGGTGATACGTCACACCGTATCAGGCATCGTCGGAGGTCTTTGGTAGCACGCCCCACGATCAGTCGAGGTTAAAACCCTCGAGTAGAAGACCGCAGAGTTTAATTTGTGGGTTTGATCGGGAGATAAAATTCCTCCGTCGTTGAGGGTTCCCCGATTTCCGGGAAATAATAGAGTGTACATAGTATGGGGCGGGAGACTGCATGGCATGCATCCGGTGAGTCCGTTGTAGGCATCTGATACTCCGTACTGCCGAATTGGCACATTCTTACGGAGATCCTTTCTAGCGCCAGTCCACCCGTCGTCGAGGAAGGTGGACACTTGGTCTATCAGAGGCAGCCGTTAGATCTCGACACATATCTAGTTAGATATGCTCCAGTCTAGCCATTCCCAAAGAAGGCAACCCACAGATAGGGTGTGGTAGTATGTCGTCGAAGGAAAATCAAGAATCGGCCTTGTTGTGGCCTTGGCATGATTGCGTGGAATTCAGCAAGGATACCATGTACAACAAAGTGCAGATGGAGGAAAGATGAAGATGGTGTGATGGTGATGCAGTTGAGAGAAGAAGGAAAAGGAGGAAGTCAAGTGACTGCACGCCCAAAAGGGAAACCTCACCATGACGTCGTTCCCCTTCTTTCATTGACATTCTCTCCCCAGTTCACCTCCGCTGGTTCTGGTATCTCACAGGCCTCCCTCCTCCTGATGCATTTTCCTGCCAGACAAATAGTTCAACAAAGGTCAATTATCCAATGCTCCTCGGACCCGAAGTTTTACCGTGTTACTTGTGGGTTTTCACTTGCGTCTCTGCAGGGAAATTCAGCAGGCGATCGCTCCCGACTACATCTATGGCGAATATTAGAAACGCCTAGATCATGCAACTCCAAAAAAATGCACGATCGTGCTGGCTAATAATCGGCTCCATCTATCCGGAATTGATTTCCAACCGAGGTCTCTCCCCTCATGTCTCTTTGGAACAAGCGGCTGGCAAAATGGGTCAGCACGGAGTACTCTGGACAGCCACCCCGTCACTGTCGTACCGAGTAGCGCTTCACAAGCTTCGGTAGACCCATGCTCTGAGCCTCGAATTGCCTACTAAAATCGAAACAAACTACTGCAACTTTAGCACTTCCGTTTCCTGGGTTTCTACCTTCACGGAGCACAGTTTTGCTGGACAGACCCACTTGGAGTCAGAGCGCACGGCCAGCAGAATCCCAAATTTTATAGGGTCCACTCGTGCCTTAGCCCCGGTGTTCGCGTCGGCGGCACTCGGGCGAATGACTGAGTTTCCAGGTAACTACTCGCTATGATGGTCGATCATTGGCGTTGATTTGCGGCCAGAGGACTCCCAGACAGGATCGGGCGGATCTATCTGCGAATCTACGGAGTGGCCTATCCTATCGTACCGAAAACCTCCCAGGCAGAGAAACAAACGGGAGATAATCGCGGTAGTCGACGCTCTTCGGCACACGCACCCACAAATACCCAGGGAACCATACAAAGATCTCAGAATACGGCAGGTTGCACACTCTCCAGCTCTGGCCTCAGCGTCGACACCTTAACAGGCTCTGTAAGAATTGAACACGAGACAACCCCAGCACCAATAGAGGTTTCAACGGTGTATGCAGACATGGAGGTTCTGTAACTGCCCAAGCGACAGAATTCCCGGATTCCCAGACCCCAGATTTTGTAAAGGTATAGTCCATTGAGGAACAGAACCGGCTGTTACACGATTTGGCTAAGGCTATAAGACACCAGCCCTCACTGAAATCCAGTCTAGCCACTCCTATTTCAAGATACCAGTAGTTGGATAGACCCTGCAATTTAGATGATGGTGGAGCATTATTCTACGCTAGTTCGTACTCCACTTGTCGGTCACGGAGTAGTTGTGTACATAAATCCCCATCGGTCAACACTGCCTTGTGGATCCATGGGCACTCAACTGTATCCATCCCTTCGGCCTCCACTTACTATCTTGTCTCCCACAATGGAGTCTTATATGGCAGTCATAATGGACCCACCACGGGTAGCATTCGCGGCCTGAACTGAGGAATGCCTGTGTGCTTCAGTTGCAAATTGGATGTAAGGGTTGGGCGACAGCTTCGGACTAACATCATTGGTTTTCATCGAATGTCCGTCACCAACTGCAGTGTTACCGGAGCATTTGCACATGGAGGCCTTCAAAGGTTGGATCATCCAACAGACACACTCGGACTGGCCTCATAATATCCCACACTACGATCATCGGAGGCATTGTCAAAACGGAGATGTAGTTTTGGGGTTCGGGGAACAAGACCCAAAGTATCAATTCCCCAACTTATGGAAGCCGTTGCTTATGTCTTCTGATCTATGTACGGGATTTGCTCCTATATACACCTTCAAAGCATCCTATGAGAAATGCGCCACGCTGTCAGGGAGATATGCCACGTCCTGCGTTGATCTCAAAAAGAAAATTCTGCTTCTGGCATCCGAGGAAGGGTGTAGGAAGCTCCTGCTCATTCGAGCAGCCCACGGGCTTGATTCGTGCTATGTCGTCGAGATGGGGTAATACCTCAGAAGAATGAGGCCTCTGATGCCGGTTGACACTGTCACGGTCTCTGGTCTGGACAATAAGGTATTGGCCGAAGACACGATCCCATGCAACAATGTGCCCAGTTTCTTCCAAGCGGCGAACTCCATCAGATAATTTGGATTCCACAACGAGATAACCTAGGCCCATCAACAGAAGAAACGGCTCCTGGGTCGGATGATAATAGCCCATTGGTTTCACCCGGATCAAGCCCAAGGTGGCCGCTGTCCACGATCTTGGAATGCTGGTTATCAAAAGAGGATTCTTGCTCTCTGCAAATTTGACAGGACATCTTTGAAGGACCCAGAAAAACTTTCTGCCCCGAAACTTGTTGGAAGATAGTTGGACTGGTATCTGACTTCCCTCATATTCATCGAGCAGGTCACCAATCCGGCCGAGGTTGCTCCATGATCTCATGCGGCCAAGTGCTTGAATTTCGGCAACCAAACGTTCACTGCTACCGAGGCCACCAGTTTCATCAATAGTCACAAGTGGCTTCTCATGGGAGATGGCGTCTCGGTCGCCAACAATAGTATGAGACGAACTTTCAGGGTCCCAATTAATGCCGAGTCTCTTCTCCACGTGCTCAAGCTGAGATTGAAGGATGTTAAGATACTCTTCCTGCCCGGAGAGTTCCAACAGTCTGCTCTGGATGTCGAATGTCTGGAGTAAGGAGCTCAGGCCACGAAAGTCTGACAGGCCAGGCAAGGTACCATTGGCGCACTTGGATACATCTTCCAGAAATTTTAAAGCCTTTTTCTTCTTTCCAGTTTGGATGAGTGTTTCCACACATTGATAGGCTGCCTGGAATCTGGATAGACCATCACCTGACACTTGGTAATATAATGTCCTATGCCACACAGTGTCTAACGTGGACTTGCTCTTAAGCATGGCAAGTAAAGACATATACTGGCCAAGGAATTTGGCATCGGTATCGTGGCCATCCCACGGCAGTTGGTTATGTAGGCTGCAGTGCAAAGGCGACTCAGGAACGCCTTCTCCGGTCACCAATGTCCGCATTGCATTGGGGTCGTGCTTTGGCGACTGAGCTCTCCTATAAGTGAGCGAGTACTGGAGAGCATTTACCACCGCAGTACTCGTCTTCAGGTCAAGCTTTCCAGGGCTCAGCTCCGCGTATCTCTGCAAGTGCCACTGGAGAGCAGAGGCCATGCAATAAAGTGAAGAATAAAACATCCCCAGAATATGTAGCTCTTTAGATATTGGCGCCCCCAGATTGCGTATCCTTGAAATGACTGCATGGAGAGTTGAAATAACTTCGGTGGGGGCTGAAGTCCTGTAGGAAGACTCCAACGCCTGCGCAATGAACGAGCAACCAGCCCGTTGTAGAAGCAACGCGTCCTCAGCCGAGTGAACCTTGCTCTCAACTATGAGTCGTAGTCGCCGCAGGGTCACCTTCCCATCTTTTATATCACCCAGTGTAAGTCCATTCGGCTGGTCTGGAACGCGCTGGAGTGACCGGCTCCAAAGAGGAGGTAAAATGCTGGGGCCCCCGTCCAAAAATACATTTTTGAGCACTCTGTCCAGAGAACTCTGCAGGGTAGTCCCGGTCAAGGAGAAGCGAGTGATTTGAGACGGGGTGGGCGGGGTGTCGATAGCTTGTTGGCGGGGAGGAGGATGCGCCGAGTGCGACACAAAAGGTCGGAGCAGCCGTTGCCTCGACACGGGCAACAGCCTAGCGTAGGAGCAACTATTCATAGTTCATCGGTGAAGCTCGGAGGCCAATTGAGGGACTGAGATATTGGACGAGTGATGTAGATCGGCGAGCTGTCCGGAATGTTGACAGGAATCCGGGGAACCGTGCAAAGTGGAGAAGTGTTTCCACTCAGGAGATTCAACGAGTTGCGGAGTGTTTGGGTCTAGGAGAGGCAGGCGGTCTGAGAAGCGGTGAGAACGGTCAGCACAGGGATCACGGGATCGCTCACTCTGAACTTTCTCCCATCGACATCATCAACTTCATTTCAAGCCTCCACCCCCACTCACATTTTTATCACCATGGCACCAAAACGTGACTCCGAAGATTCATCAGAGCTTTCGCCAGATGATCAGCAATCTCCCAATCCCGCGGTTGAAGCAAAGGATACGAAGCCTGAAGCGGAGAAAGCACCAGACTCAGAGGCCGGCCCTCCCAAAGAGGATGAAGCCGCTTCCAAGGCCCGTCAGAGGCAAGAACGATTCAAGGCCCTCCAAGCTCGCGCTGTAAGCCTTTCTACTTCGAATATTATAGAATGTGGATGTCAACTAATTGCTCAACAGAAATCAGCGGCGGAGCGCAACTTGAAAGAAACAGCTGCAGAGACCCAACGCTTAGCGACCGACCCTGGCCTCTTGAACTCCCTGTCTCGCAAACATGCCTTCGCTTCTCATAACCTTCTAAAGGCCGACACAGAGGCTGCAGGGGAGGATTTCGAGCGCAAGCGCGCATGGGACTGGACTGTTGACGAGTCCGAGAAATGGGATAAACGGATGGAGAAGAAACAGCGTCATCGGGATGACGTTGCTTTCCAGGACTACACTCAAGACGCGCGAAAGGTCTACAAGAGACAACTGCGTGAGATGAAACCTGATTTGGATAATTACGAGAAGGAGAAAATGGCGGCAATCGAGAGAGCTGCCGCCAACGGCGACTTGGAGATCGTGGAGACCAACGACGGCGAAATGATTGCTGTCGATAAGAATGGTTCCTTTTACTCAACCGCCGACTCCGTCGGATTTACTGAAAACAAGCCTGACCGGGCCGCTGTCGACAAGCTGGTGGCAGACCTGCGCAAGGCCGAAGAGGTTCGGCTCAAGAAGCGCAGGGATCGCCGGGGTGACGACGATGGTGATGTCACTTACATCAACGAAAAGAACAAACAGTTCAACCAAAAGTTGGCGCGCTTCTATAACAAGGTATGTTCTTGATTGATGCGCCCATCGACAATTGCTGACGTTTATTCAGTACACTACCGAGATTCGTGACAGCTTCGAACGTGGCACCATGATCTGATGATAGTACATTGATTTGCATATAATACAGTGCAGGACGCCGTTCAGGTCCCGTCGATGTTTTTGGTCACACCCCGAGCGAAGCACCGGAGAGTCTGGGTGATGGACATTTCGTCATGAGAATCAAAGCATACTCTTCCTCCATGCCTTTGTGGCCAGATTTTCGATTTGCTTCGTCCCCACTACACCACGGATAGACTCGTCTTCCATTGCCTCGATCACCGCCTCTCCTACCATATCCACCTGGAACGGTTTGTCTACCATGGAACCCAGGAAGTCGAGCCTATGACCTATCAGGTCGTTGAATTGCGATCCGATGAACCCACCCAGCGCGATAGGCAACGTGAGCTTTCTGCTCGAGTCGTACATGAAAGGAGGCCGCATGAATATACTCCGCAATTCCGGAAGCTTCGATGATATTGTTGTCTCGGCTTCTCGTTTGGTGGAGACGTATCGGCTGGGAATGATTGGGGCACCGGCCGCCGCAGAGATGAAAACAAATGTTGGAACATGTTCGTAGGAGGACTCTTGGGCCAAGGCAATGGCTATATTTGGCACAGCATGCGTTAGCATTATCCCAAAAATCAACACCGCATCAAGCGGTATATGTACGAACCTGAATCTCTATTCATAAGCTCATAAGTCAGCTGCCCATCCCTCTCCTTGGGCTGCAGTGGCTCCCCTTCTCGTCGTTGCAAAGGATTCTGGCTTCCTAGTTTTGACGAGCAGAAGACTCGCTGCAGGCCACTGATGAGAGGCTCTCTCCCTTGAACCACGCCTTTGTAGTCCGCCTCCAGCAGGATGCCCATGCTGTGAACAACAGCAGTAGCTCCGGTCAAGAAAGGTTTGTATGATTCTGGTTTCAGCATATCGGCCTTCGCCCATTCCACCGAATTCGCCCATCCGGGACGTTGGGGAGAGCTAGTGATCGCATCCCATCGTGGTTCTCCGCTCCGACTTTGGCGGGAGAATAAGCATGGATACCGAGTGACTTCAAGATAGACTCATACCTGAGCGATGTAACTGACCAGCCTCGGGCCACAGCTGACTTACAGATCCTTGAGCCTGACAGAATGAGCACATCAGAAGCAAGACCGAGAGGACCGAAAGTATACTAACCTAAAAAGCCGTTGCCGCCAGCTACCACGACTCGTTTCGCAGCCATCGCAAATGTGTATGAGATGAAGAAGTGATCCAGTAATTTCGATAGACCAATTGATTAGCAGATCACCTCATGAGCCATGGCGAAGGCGATTTCTCTGGAGCTCTGCGGGAAGCTCGCTGGAACCATTTCCGACGGCGCCTTATCGTCATGCCACTCCGCGCGGTCACGTGCACCAGCAGAGATCGGCCAGCCGCGATTGAAGCTCTTGCGGTTGTCTGCCTTCCACCGTCTTCCCTCATCCCACCCAAGAGCCGTGCTCGTGTTTACGAATCCAGAATGCCGTCCGTGGGAGGCTCGAAACGCGTCAGGGTAAGTTCATCCACGACCTCAACATAGGCCATCCTCCGCTAACCAGACCCCTTCGCAGGGAGTCTCTGTCTTCCGCCCTTTCGGTACGTTATCTCCAGGACCCCGAACATTCGCGTCATCGCATCCTGTCCCATACTAACAGTCGCCAGTATTCGGAAGCGAAGCCCAGCCCTTCGATCCCGCAAAGAAACCGCCCCACGTCCCCGCCGACCACACGCACCAATGGCGCGTCTTCGTGAAGGGCGTCAACGACGAAGACATCTCCTACTGGCTGAAGAAAGTGCAGTTCAAGCTGCACGAGACGTACGCGCAGAACGTGCGCACGATCGAGCAGCCCCCGTTCGAGGTGAGCGAGACGGGCTGGGGAGAATTCGAGATCCAGATCAAGCTGTACTTCGTTCCGGAATCGAGCGAGAAGCCGCAGACACTCTGGCACAGCTTGAAGCTGCACCCGTATGGGCCGAATGCGGATGCAATCCGCGAGCGTCGTGAGGTGGTCGTGAGCCAAAACTACGAGGAGGTCGTGTTCAACGAGCCTGTTGAGCAGTTTTACGATCTCCTGACGGGTGGCTCGGGGACTCCGCAGCCGCAGCAGAAGGGCAAGGGAAAGAATACGAAGCAGTCACAGCCCAAAGGTGGTAGGACTGCTGAGATCCCTGCCAACGAAACCCCAGACAATCCGTATAGTCGGGCGGCGGAGAGCAAGGAAATGGATCGGTTGGCGGATGCCAACAAGACGGTGGAGCAGATGATCAAGGAGGAGAAAGAACGTCTCGTGGAGCGGGAGAAGAAGTTGGCGGCCTTGCGTGAAAGCGAAGGGGTTCCGGCGGGAGCTCACACGAAAAAGAGATAAGGCTGGCCGACGCTCACACCAAGATGCACACATCCCATACCTGGCGCTCGCCCTAGGCATGGACGGGTCGCCGTTGCAATGGAGCAGTAGGTCCCCTCCATCATGAGGGCAATCATACGCAGGCGTCGAGTATCAGGGACTCCTATGAGAGGAGACCCTTGACACATACCGGTCGAAACCGCTCTTTTGACAGTTGACCTGCTTCGGTTAAGGGATCTACCATCTCAGCAGGTTCATCTCGCACAACGTGTTTATGTCAATACCGAATATGCGAGATGCGGCACAGTCCGCCGCCATTCGAGATAGTCGATGCGATAACTATACGAATTAAGTTGTTATTCTTGCGCCCAAGTCTGCTGAATAATGTTATCAAGGAAGTTGACGAAGAGCATTTAAAGTAGAACTGCATGTTTCGTCCGCCAATTACGAGGGTGTGCCATCTGTGCATGCAGCTGTCATGTGCAACCCAGAGGTCCAGGTCATGTACTTGATATCTGAATGCAAGTCTACGCATGTGGAAAGTGGATTCTGGAAGAATCCATCGCATATCACTTAACATCTACTCTTATTGCTGGAACAGTTACCTCGTGGATTCCGCTTCCGCCTCCGTTTCCGTCCCGGGTCCGGCTGTAGACAATCCTACTCTAAATCTCCACCACCGGGTGTTTCCGATAGTACTTGAGAAGGTAAGCGGGAACGAGCCCATCTCTTTCATAGATACTGTGCGTTGACCGTAGTTTAATCCGTCTGTCATGTATCCGTTGCAATGTCAACGATGCTGCGCGGATATATATGGATCAGATTAAGGAAGAAGTCACATAGTTCTCATATATAGTGATGACTGAATTATACAATAGAGAGGATCTAAATAAACGCCAAGTACATCGCTACAAAATTCTATATGAACATCTATCGAACGTTACTCCGCGTAGCTCGCTGCGGCTTTGGTGGCATCCCGAGTCTGCTTGAGAAACGGGATCAAATCCGTGCCTCCTGTGCCATGCAGTCCGCCCGTAACGTCCTCCTTCGAGTGCTTCACATGTTCCGTCGAAGCGGACGCCAAGTTGACCTGTACCGGCACGTCCTTCGGCGGTGCAGTCTTTGCGGCCATGATGATATACCGTGTGACGATCTGGATGTGCGTGTCGCGGAACCGTCCCAACGACATCACGGCGGTGTTGTAGGCGTCCCTCACCGGTGATCCAACATTGTGGCTCATCGCATACGGCCGGATATAAGCAATCCGAGCCAACATCTCCAGGAACCGTCGGTGCGGTCCGGGCATGTAGTTTCGCATCTCCTGTGTCATGTCAGTTCCAACCCGGGCAGCTAGTAGATCAACGCAACAGCAATGTGCCTACATACCTGCATAAACCCATTCTTGGCGCCGGTTTGCGTCTCTGAGCTGGGTTTCACCTCGCCCGTGGCTGTATGCTCCACGCCGAGGAAGATATCAAATGTCTGGATCAGGGAGCTCTGCGCATTGCTTCCCCCACTGTACTGATGCCACTTTCCTTCGCCGTCGCCAACATCATAAAATACTCCGTTTGGTAGTCCGGCTTTGGCCATGTTCTTACTTCCGGCGAGGAGCGGCCGCAGCTGATGAAAGAACACGGGAGGACGACACTGCTCGTACATCCGTTCCAGGAGCCGGCGAAGCTCCTGCAAACACTCGCTAAACCTATGCAGCAGATTGGCCACGCGGGCGCTATCGTCCACACTGATGGCGTGGATGGCCTCGAACATCAACGGGATCACCTGCGCACCCTTGGCTTCGATTGCGACAGATAGCATCAGAAACCATTCTTCATCCTTGGTTCCGGTAAGTGAGGCTGTGACAGATAGAATCTCCGGGTCTGTGAGGTCGGCGTTCTCGTCTGGGATGGCGTAGTTCCAGAGGTTTAGGGCCGCGTAGGTGGCACACGGCGGCAGCTCGAGGTGACTGGAGACCTCTAGGAAGGGACGAGCGATCGCAGGAGGAAGAACCTAGGATATTGTGAGAAGCTATAAAGCCACAATCTGTAGGGAGGGATTGTACATCTTTTGGTTTGTCTCCTCCCCAGACGTACGCATGGGTGAGATATGCCAGGAGAAGATACGCTCGTCTCCATTGCGGTTCGTTCTGGAGACTGGATGTGGAAAGAACCGGCATCTGTTCCACCGAATCCCTGATGGTCTTGTTGCGAATACGCAACGGTAGATCACGGACTAATTCCTCCCATGGCCAGTAGTACGGATCCTCTAGGGATCGCAAAGGAGGGTCATCGGGGAGAAAGCCCGTCCGGAGAGAGACATTGTAAGTGTCCAGCGAGAATTCGGGGCTCAATAACATAATGGAAGGCAGTCAGAGTTGTATATATGTATGAGTATTATTCAAGATAAGAACTGTGAATGATGCACTTTCAAGACGTTCTGGGGATTTGCATTTGATATACTAATGGAAACGGGAGCAGGCCGGATGTCGAGCAGCTCCCGTCTGACAATGCCCACGTACTTTTTCACCGAGAATAGCCAGTCTCGAGATTGTCCAGCCCGCTTGATAAGCGCCATTCGTCATAGCGGCTTATTTGAAGGAGAAACGGGGCGGCCGGAGTGTCTTCCTAAGAGTAACCCGGATCTGAAGCCGGGAGCGGAACTCGCATCCGATCCGCTCAGGAACCACCATCCACTATAAAAATCGTGATGGTCCCTGGGAACCGGTTGGCATCGTGCAATTGCTCAGAGAACTGCTCATGCATGGTTGCTTTGGCAAAAACTCCTCCGCCATGTCTGAAAACAACTGTTCCAAGCCGTCATTCCCGGACAATGCAGCGAGCAAGGAGTATGCTGCCTCTCTGGACGCAGCAGATCCACTGGCTTCATTCCGTGACCAATTCATCATCCCTTCCAAAGCGAACATAGCCTGCAAGAGGCTCGCTAAGCCAAGTAAGCTTCCATTGCTTATCCCGTGTTGATAGTTCCACGTCGCTCTAACAATGGCCGCCAGATCTCTCTCCGGAGCCATGTATCTACTTCTGCGGAAACTCTCTTGGAATCCAGCCAAAGGCAACTGCCAAATACCTGGAAGCACAGCTGGACACATGGTCATCCATTGGAGTCTGTGGTCACTTCACCAACCTTGAGGACTCCCCGATGAAGTCGTGGCAGCTCCTTGCAGAGCAGGCCGCTGAATCGATGTCCAAGATCGTTGGCGCAGACCCTGCAGAAGTTGCAGCCATGGGAACTCTCACGGCCAATCTCCATCTGCTGATGGCGAGCTTCTATAAGCCTACCGCAACCAAGCATAAGATCCTGATGGACTGGAAAGCCTTTCCCAGCGACCACGTACGTCTTGTCATGCTCGCGAACTTTGACGGTGACTAATGTGAATGCAGTATGCTATTGAGTCGCATATTGCGTGGCACAACCTGGATCCGAAGGAATCCATGGTCCTCATTGGCCCTGATGAGGGAGAATACGAAATCTCCACGGATAAGATCTTGTCGTACATCGACCAGCACGCAGAAGATGCCGCGCTCCTGCTTCTCCCCGGAATCCAATATTACACTGGCCAATTGTTTGACATCCCCAAAATTACCGAGTATGCAAAGTCACGCAACCTCGTTGTTGGGTGGGATTTGGCTCACGCGTACGGAAACGTCGAACTAAAGCTGCATGACTGGAACGTGGACTTTGCTGCATGGTGCACATACAAATATGGCAATGCCGGACCCGGGGCAATGGCTGGACTCTTCGTTCACGATAAGCATGGCCAGGTTGATTATAGCCAGGGAGAGGATTCTCCTAAATTCCGCCACCGTTTGACGGGCTGGTACGGCGGAGATAGATCCGTGAGATTCAAGATGGATAACAGTATGTTTAGCAACAATGCAACAACATGTCAGGAAGCTAACGCAATGCATAGAGTTCAAGCCTATCCCGGGAGCTGGTGGCTTCCAGATCTCGAACCCCTCGGCCATTGATCTTTCCTGCCTGTGCGCAGCCCTGTCGGTGTTTGATCAGACGTCCGTGTCGGAGCTGCGTCGAAAGTCCCTAAAATTAACTGCGTACCTCGAATACCTCCTCCTGAAAGATACCACGGAAGACTCCCGACCCTTCCGGATCATCACGCCCACAAACCCGGAGGCAAGAGGTGCTCAACTGAGCCTGTTGCTTAAGCCTGGATTGCTGCAGGGCGTATCGGAGAGGCTGCAAGACGCAGGTATCATCTGTGACAAACGGGAACCTGGTGTTGTCCGCGTCGCCCCCGTTCCTTTATACAATACTTACTCTGAGGTGTGGGAATTCGTACAGCAGTTCAGAGCTGCTTTGCAGCTCTAGGTGTTACCTCTGCGATATGTTGGGATGAGTTCCGAGTGAATGCTGTATATAGATCACCGAGGGCGATAGAAGCCCAGTAGATAAAAAGGATAGAACCTTAGAAATACATATCCTAGAGATCACTAATAAATGTCACGATAACACTAGGATCAATCATACGCATGACAGCGTAATCGTCGAAGATAGTTCTATCAAGTCAAAAGTTGCCAAAGATCTCCCGATTGTCACCTCCACGTAGAAACTCCTGGCCCTGAGAGAAGAAGTTTGCGGCAAGAATGGAAAACTCATCATTCATGAAGTCAGGAGCCCTGGGAGAAGCCATGGCTGATACACCTCGCAAACCATTCATTGTGGGTGTTTGCACACCATACCGTGTGCTAGGCGATTGCCCAATCCCTTGCTCCGAGTTTAACCGAGTTGGCTCCGGTAGTGGAGATGTTTGGGATACTTCGGCATTAAACGCAGGTGGCTCTGAATACAACGAGTCGCCGAACATTCGCCGTGCGGAGTCCGAGTCGCTGTTGGAAGAGTATTCGAGAATCTCCCAAAAACGGGAGAGATCGATGAGAAGGCTCTTATTGTGGGCTCCTGATTCAGGCTGGTAAGTTGAAGACACGGCGTCTTCTAATCTTTGCAGCCTCTCCGCCTAATATTTGGGAGTGTGTTAGCCGAATGCAGGTGTTGTGGCTGGGGACCAACAAACCAGTCGCGCCATATGAGGCCATTTCTGCCCCAAACTCTGTACAAAGCCAACACATTTAAAGAACCGGTCTCGTTTTTCCTGACGGACCGCCGAATCCTCGGTGAAGCTCAACTGTAATTCAATGGTGGCGACCACTGCGGCGCTGTATCCCAACAGTGGATCCGAGACTTTGAAAGACTTTTCCTCAAAATAGTTGATAAAGTAGATGATCCACGTTGTGTGTGAGGAAATCAGATCAGACGTATGCTGTAGAAAAATCTCAGGGATGGTACTCCTGAAGTTCCTCAAACTGAGGGAGAGTAGGAGGGGATGATTAAGGAGGCATAGTATGGTGTGGTACAGGAACTGGTTCAGAAAGAAAGCGCCCCAATATGCGCGATCTCGTTGCAGCTCCTCGATTGTTCTTTCGCTGAGATTGGCTGGCTTGAACCGATGGTGGTAAGGCATGCGAGTCTCTAGTTCCATCTGGAGCGTTATGATCTTAGAGTAGTCAGACTGGGAAGACCAGGGCGGTACGTTGCTCGGCTTTCCATGATTTCGGACGTATTTAGCGGTCTTCGCAAATACCTCGCTGAGGATAATTACGTATGCAAGTATGCCTTGGTCTTTAAGATCGCTCGAGCGAGTCTCATCGCCCCTACCGTTTGGCGAGGAGGAGCGGGGAGGCAAATCTGGACTTGCAGGATAAGGAGGTGAACGGCCATCTGGAAAGTCAAAGTTATCAAACTCAAAGCCGTGAAGTCGCTTCAAAAGACAGATGCTCCAGAAGCATCGCCTGCGTTCTTCGCGAGTCCTTGGACTCAGCGTGGGATTCGTTTCGGAGCCGAGGTTGGCGCACAGGGCCAAGTTCATGGCTAAGCTGCTGTGAATACTTGAGCGATGGGTGTTGCCATCTAAAGCAGGTTAGTCGGGGGGCACAGTTTCACCATAGCAGCACTGCTTACTGGTAAAATCAATTAAGCTCAAGAGGCATAGACATTGCAAAGTGGAGAGCTCGACAGGTCCTTCCGAAATTCTTCTCATAACCAGGCCTCGAGCCATTTCTGTATAGCCATTGATTCGCACCATGAGCTCGTTCATGTCTTTATATTGTTCATCGGAGAACCGTATCGTCAACGCAAGAATAGCGTAAATGACTTCGGGATCACGAGTCTCCAGGCTATTGAGGAAATCATCCCTATGAAACAAAGGGAGAGGCTGCGCGTCGCAATACTGGAGATATAACTCTGCTATAGACATAACTTTCTCCCATGATGGGAGAGGGGTAAGTGAGTTCACGGCTGCAGGTATCATTGAAGTACTGAGAGTCGATGGCGCCTGTGGCGCCTGAGCCAGCCTATCATATCTGACAGTACTTTGTCTATAACTAGATTAGCAATGCTACAACCACCTTCAATGCTCGAGATAATATACCCTAGTGCATCAAGAACCTCTCCTAGTTTGGCTTCGAGGCTCCCGAGTCGCCCGTCCTATCGCATCATTAGCACAAAGACAGATGCATAAGACAGTGAGAGAACTTACCAATATCTCCGAGATTCTGTCTTCGGTTTGACTAGCAATAGGAGCATTCTCGCCCGTGGAGCCAGATACAGCCAAGGATGGCCTTAGTCTGTCCTCTGCGTAGGCGCATCTTTGATTCAACCGCGCACAGAGGGAGCAAACCGGCTGCTCGCCTGGGCACTTTGCCTTCTTACGCCTGAACAGGTAAGCATGGAGTCTGGAAGCGCATGAAAGAACTCACCTGCATGGTTCACAGGCCTGTCGAACCCGCTTGGCTGGTCGTTCACCAGAAGTGCGATTCATGTTGGTTGGTGGAATATCCGAACATAGATGTCACTGAGGGTTGCATACGAGCAATCATCGGCTGAATATGCATGCATGTAGATCTCAAGACAAAACCATAATTGAACAACAGCAGATTAGGTCAAACAGGTGAGACACAGAGGCGAGAGGAGAACTATTGTACATATACGGTCCTCAAGAAAGGAACAAGTGAATTAGCGGGGATAATCTGGAGATTCATAACGGTGTTATCGGAAGGAACCTCTGTCGATGACTAAGCGTGTAGCTCAAAAGCCTAATTTTTACCTACAATTATGTTAAAAACTACTGGCGATGGCTACTGTTACTCAGCTGGACGACTATGGTTGCTCGATAAAGAGAACTGTTGCGGTCTCATATACCAAACTCTCAATGGTGTTGGTCACTTGGCAGCCGTGCCTGGCACTGATTGATCATATCGAAGACACAAGGTAGATTTCATGCCACTGAGCTCCAACGTTACACCAGCTCACATTGTTCGAGTGGGAGTATCGCACAAGGTCGTTTAGAAGAAGTATCATAAGACAAAAAAATCAGGCAGAGGAAAGTTCACACATTGACTCCCTAGCTTAACTTATGTACAACGATGAATACCTTCCTCTCAACCCAAAGAACACAGCAATAGAGATACACCGCCAATTAGACACAGGACATGTTGTTTTATGTGATATAACCGACGTAATTCTAGCGAGGATTCCGTCTAGTTCTTGCCGAACCAGGTCTTGTGGCCCTGTACGCAGTGTTAGTCGGGGTGCTGGAAGCGACATATCTCGACCGAGGAATTGCGGCAGAGCGAGCAATCGGATAGATGTGACTTACGAGGACCATGCGGCACATGGCATAGGTGGTGGCTATGACAGCGTTAGTTTCAGCGCGCGATATGACATTATATTGCGGTGACTTGACTGACCAATGCCCAGGCCGTAGACTGAGATGAGGTAGGGGTACATAACGTAGCCGCTACGAGAGGTCTGAACATAATAGAGGTTAGATTCCCACTGCTAATTCTCCGGATCCGCGGGCTCGACTGCGATTTGACTGACCTTCCACCACTGACGCTTGCCGTCGTGCTGCTGGAAGAGGCGCTGGTAGTAAGGGACGCGGTTCTCACGGAACACGAACCTACAAAGGGAGAATCCCCAATAAAGTCAGCAAGGTATGTTTCAATTGAGCGAAAGGAGGGTGCGATTCCAGCTGTTAGCCCAATTGAGTGGTATGATGGTACCCCCACGATTGAGGTCGACTGCGGAACGTGAATTGTGCGGGCGGATATAGTAAAGGGCGTAGATCAAGACACATACCCGGCCATACGAGGAACGGTGCGGAACATTTTGACGGTGTTCAGATGCGAACGAGATGGGGTAAAGGTGCGATGGAGGGACGGTGACAGGGTAAAGGGCAAGCAACTGTCGATGTCGTGAGGTGTGGACCCGGCAGGAAGTCGTGCTGCACGTGACTTCCCTCGAATTTCCGCCTTTAGGATTGCTGCGCTTAGTAAACACTTCCCAAATGGGGATAGTTAGTGTCCCTCGGGCCCTCCGTCATGCCAAAAAGTATCTCCGGCGGACAACAGCAGTCAAACAGACCCCAACACTGTTCTTCTCGCAGCGAAAAGCCAATGATCGCCATACTCTAAGCAACTGCGGAGGAGGAGGATGTTCAGATATCCGTTGAATTTCCCCCCGCCTTCCTCCTCTCACCCCCAATGCGCCCGGCTCTTCTACGACTACTGAAGAGGCCCTCCGCTCTCTCGGTGATCGACTCGCTGATATCAAGACCGGTTGGAATCGAACAGTTGGAGTCTCGGTATCGGTCTGAATGCATCCGGTGCCACTCACAGAGCGCACAACCGGCGAGATGTGTGGATACCGTCACATTAGAATCCACCAAACAGCCTCCGACGCGGCGGACGAGACCCCCCCCCAGTTTTCGCGTTCACGGAATTCAGCCTCCTCCGAGAGAACAAGCACACAAGGATGGGCGCACATCTTTACAAGACTCGAACACCCAGCCTGCATCACTTGCATTAGGCTTACGGCCGGACAAATTGGAATTTGAATCGGACATCGGACACACCGATGATATCGGCACGCGCTTAGTTGACGATCCAGCGAATCGACATAATTTCACGTTATGGGAAGAGCTGCTCCGCTACCGGCAACGGCATTATGGTGAAAAGGGCACGGTGGATATTTGGGAAGGCATGATGTCTCGGGTCGATGGGATAGAGTTACCTGTCTCCGGGGAAAGGGCCGATTTCTTCTGGCAGAGCTTTGTCGAGCTCGGACTGAAGCGAGAAGTCATTATGAGAGAGCTGGCCTCTTACGCATACGCCCTATGGGATAGAACGGGAGCACGCTGGGATGGGTTTTATGAAAGTGTTGTGGCTGGCTTCATTGAACGCGGGATGACGCAAAGGGCTATCGAATGGCATAAGAAGCTCCAGCATCCTCATCTGGCGCATCCAAACGATGTTGTCCGGATTCTCAACGCAGCGCTGATGCTGCACCACCAAAGTGGACGAAGTCCTGCATCTCCGGTCAGGCATATCGTTTCCCCTGGGCTCTCGGCCTTTCAGAACATTTGCCGTGCTACCCCTGGCCACCGAATCTACGGACCTGTCATATCAACGCTGCTAAAGAGTGACTGCATCGAGGAGGTTTTCCCAATGCACACATTCATGATAGAACAAGGCGACCATCCGTCCTCTTTCGAGCAAATTCGTGCGTTGCTGGAATACGCTGAGTCGTACGGTCCATCGAATTTTGTTCGCAAGCTACGCAGATATGTCGCCTACCGATTTCCAGATGAAACAAACGGAACTAAGCATTCCAGGGACGGAGAACGGTCGTCCCTGCCATCAAAGCAAACAGAGTCATGGCCCCGAGAGAAACCATTCAAAGATGAATTTGGTGCCCGGATCTTCGCGACAAAGGCTCTCAATTTCGACATGATCTTGTCTGGGTTGCGGATGTTTAATGTGCCAGCTATTGGCCCTCATTCGCTACGTGAAATGGCCATCAGAGCTCATGGAGGCCATGACATTCTGGACAAGCTTCAACGACTGGAAAAGGCAGGCATTTCCATCGGAGATAGTGTTTTCTCGCGCCTGCTTCGCAAGTTGGCTGCGGAGAATCGCAGCATTCTTCTGTCAGATTTGGTCCATAGCGATCAGCACCCTGACATGCTGGAAGATGCACAAGCTCAAGAATCGCTGTTGGTATCGTACTATATCGCACGTGATTGGCGCCTGTACAACATGACATCCGCCATTCTCAGCGAACTCTGTGATGATGAGGTCGATCTGTTGAACATTCATTTCCGGAAGTATGTGGCTGCCGGCGACTTTGCCTTGGCATCCAAAACGGTTGATGACATGGTTTTGCGGGGGATGGCCTTGACGGGCCAAAGCATTGACTACATGGTCAGCCAGGTGCTTGCCCCACGCAGGTTGGGTGTTGGTCCGGTCCAGGGATCGACCATGTCTCCGGTACAAGAGGTCAACTTTGTTCTTCGCATTCTCCAACGTGTGCTCCCAGCGGGTACATCCGTGTCGCCAGATCTCTGGGTAGAGATATTGAAACGTCTGGGGATGACGGGGAGTTGGAATGAGCTGCAGCGTTGCTGTGAGTGGCTTGCGCGGCATTATTCCTTCCAAACCAACCGTGCAAAAGTATTTGACGCCTCGAAGTATGCCAGTTGTGAAACAGCCACCGTCCTCCGACAGCGCAATCGTCGCGTTCTGGAGACTATTTTCAGCCGACGGATGCAGGCCGCCATTGTTGCCTGGGGGTTCAGGAAGCGGGTTTCTTCTAAGCCTCGGGATGACCTGATTCCCTGGGTCCGGGGGTTAACACTTCTTCGCACACTGGAGAAGATCGGAGTTCATCTCTGGGAGGACTCGATTCGCCGGGCCTGTCGACATCGCCTGGCCGTACTCTACGGTAGCCCGCGACAATCTAGCCGACTGATGAACCGGCTCTTGCGACGAGAGAATCCGTATAGCCTTGGACGTGTGATCAACGATATCAATAGTGCCTGGGGAGAATCTCTATTTACTGACCCAGAGCATGGAGATGTGCATGAGTTGGTGAATCCCCCCAGCTCCGGCATGTCGCAGCGGCGAACCCAGCGAACGATCTTTCGGGAGGCGCATTTCCGACGGGGGGCGTTTGTGCGGACGAGATGACAGCATTGTGTACATTATACCCTACCAGATACCTAGACAATTGATACCCGGATGAGACAAGTCTGCCCAGACTGTAGAACGTGTACTGTGTACGACGGAGTACAGAGAAAGAATCCACGTGACGCGGGATCAACGTGGCTATTGAATTCAAACGCAGCAAACTCTGCACCACTACGTCTGCTCCGCCACTGATCGCATGCGCGGCACGCCAATAGTGGGTGGTTTCATTCTAAGAATAGTTGCAGAGGCGACGCGGCCACCATCAGACAACCAGGACATCATGACCTATCATCCTCTGATCGACGCTCCATGCGGCTCACTCTCTTCAGCCCGAGTGGAGTCCCAGGCCGTCGCCATGGTGTCGTGGCCGTGGTTTAAGGCCCTCCCGCCGCCGCCTTTGTCATTGTTTTGAACGCTGTGTGGGGATTTGTTACCTTGGGTCAGGAGTCGTCCTGCGCTTTGATTACTTGTCTGCCTGGTTGTATCAAAATCCTTTGGATCTCTTGCGACAAACGATCTGGACTCGTTCTGAAACACGGCGTCATTTAAATCTCCTCTAGTTGACCCGTCGTCGTACAGAGGCCATCGAACTAACCCGATTCTTCTCATACTTTCAACCTCCTGAACTCCTTTTCAAGCTCACCAAATCTTTAAAAGATAAGGAGGAGCGCTCTTTATCACCTCATATTCGGCATCGCTACAAACAATAAACATGCTAGGACTAGGCGTCTTAGCTCTGCTGCCCTTCGCCGCGGCGAAAGTCCTCCCCCGTCAGACTGCATGCAACAACTCGCCGGATCTGTGCTCCAAATCTTACGGAGAAATCACTCATCTGGGAGCGCATGACAGCCCGTTCGTGCGAGATGCCTCCACCGACTTTTCGACCTCGGGGAACCAGTGAGTTGCATGCCGATGATGTGATGCGATACCCTCGTGGTATGCTAACATGCTTGCAGATACTATAACACCACCCTGCAACTAGACGCTGGCGTTCGCATGGTGACAGCTCAGGTCCATAAGAAAGATTCAGAATGGCATCTGTGCCATTCGAGTTGTTCCCTTATGGATGCGGGGAAGTTGAGCACCTGGCTGTCAGAGATCAAGAGCTGGCTGGATTCGAATTCAAATGATGGTAACTCTTCCGTGACTTGATTGATGTCCACGCGGCGATAATGCTAACGACTTATTCCTTAGTTGTTACTGTTCTTCTGGTCAACTCCGACGACGCATCGGCTTCCGAACTCCATTCGGAATTCACAACCGCCAACATCACCGACTACGCCTACAAACCCACGTCGCAAACCTCTGCGCCGAGCTCCTGGCCGACGCTACAAGAGTTGATCAATGATGGTACTCGTTTGGTCACGTTTGTGGCGTCGCTGAGTTCCTCCAGCAACACGGTCGCTCCATACCTGATGGACGAGTTCACGTTCGTGTGGGAGAACCCGTATGACGTGACATCTGCCTCGAACTTTTCGTGCCTTCCCGACCGCCCGTCTAGCGTCAAGGGCGATCTCAGTTCCGCGCTGGCCTCCAACAAGTTGCCGCTCATGAACCATTTCCTCTACCAGACGAGCATCCTTGACATCCAGTACCCGAATGCCAGCTACGTCTCGACGACGAACGCACCCTCCGGCGGCACCGGAAACCTCGGCGATACTGCGTCCACATGCAAAAAGAAGTATGGACGTCAGCCCACCTTCATACTCGTGGACTTCTTCGACAAGGGCCCGGCCATCGACACGGTGGACAGCCTCAACAACGTCACCTCAGCCACCGGTCGTCTCAAGTTGTCGTCCTCCACGTCCTCCACGCAGACCAGCTCTGCGTCGACCTACTCCAATGTGTTCAAGGGTCTGGTTGAGCTTGTCCAGCAAGCCCAAGAAGGCGCGAAGCCCAGCATGGGCGAGTGGATCTGGGCTGGCGGCGATTGGGGGAATGTGCTTGGGGGCGGTATCGGACTGTGAGGTCAATCTTTCTTCCTGTACATTTTTGTCGCGTCTGCGCGCCGGTAGACGGTAGTATATTTGTTTCTTTATTTGGGAGCAACTCCGTGGGACGGCCATCTCACGACGTTCATTTTGGATTCACACATGGGCATTGGAACGGCGTTTTTAGACATGACATGAGCGGGTTTGTCACGAGTGGAACCTGGGCGATTTGCTTCCTGTGTCCATAGACAATGTTTCATGTAGCTAGTACACCTGACGACTTGATAATGAAATCGATCACATGCGCTTCGATCATGGTCCGTACCAGCAAACACAGACGCCCGTCTTACTCGCCCTTCCCGAGCAACTCACGCACCTTGTTGACCTTGTCTTCAAACGACTGCTCCTTGTCGGTCCTGGACACAATCCCCGTGTCAGTCCGTCGAATGCGCGCAAAGAAGATCGAGAATCAAGCGCAAAGGGAAAACTCACCTTGACCCGACGCGGATATCCGTCTGAATGCGAACAATGCCCTGCTGGTGCAGAAGCATATGCGCCTGACCAATGACATGATGAACTTTGTCCCAGGGGCCTTCTATTCTCATGGGGACCAGCCGCGGGGGCGAAACCAACCGGCGCCATCCCGGTCAGCCAATTCTGAATCAGACCATTCCCTCCTTCGCTTTCCGCCACGAAGACGACCACGACACTGCGGCGCAGGAGTTCGTGCGACGTGCGCGACGAGCTGCTAGGAGGGAGAATGCGGGGAGACGGGACGAGCAAACGGACGTACCGAGTGTTGTACCGGCGGAGTGCATGACGTATTTCAGGCCGGATTTCTCGATGAGGCGCTGGACGTCGGCGATCTGGGCGGAGACGGAGGGGGAAGAGGTTCCAATCTGCGAAAGAGGTCAGTATAGGTGATTGGAGGAGAGGGAAGAGAGGGAAGAGAGGGAAGGCTGAGGAGGGCTGTGGTTGTCTTGGATGTGAGTGGTGGGAGAGCGAGGCAGCTGGATTATCATGCGATGAACCGACACGACGGGCTGGATCGGGGGATGGAGGAGGGCTGTGATAAACATGCGCAATGAACGACATACCGGAATCAAGCAGAAATCTGCCGTGCAATGCGCGGGCGTCGGGATTGCGTCCAGGTCTGCAGAAGCCATGACTGTTGGTGGTGGTTGTTTGGATGGTGTAGCGGGGAAGTGGAAGATGGGTGAGGGGTGAAAGTACCTTTCCTACTTACAATCTAAGTAGGTACTCTCCCTCATACACCTACCACTACTACCAGGTACAACAACCACTGTGTCTTGTGCATCCACGTTGGATGTGATGCATCCAATAATTCACCTCCCCCAGATCGGTTATCAATCCATCGATCCAATCCCACTAGTTCGTCCACATCCCTGTCTATCCTTCTTGTCCCCGTTGGATCTAAGCGAACTAAGGCAGACCTAGACATACGTTAGACGATTCCAGACTGCTGTTGCAGTATACATTGCTTCATAAGGCTGCGGGGAGTACTTTGGAGTATCTACAGGGAATCAGCCCATTCTGATCGCACCCAAACCGAACTGATGAACCAGATGGGACTTTCCAGACTATAGACTCCCAACTTCTGTTGCTTTAATTTCTCCAGAAGCATTGAATATGGCTGATTGACCTCCACAATCTCCTCATCGCTGTCAGTGGTTCTTTGTTTCTGATCCGTCAGCCTAGAGCCCACCAGCCGACCACGGTTCACGGTCTGACCGTCGTACTGCTCCTCCACGCCGTTTCATCTCTCATCTTTTCTTTTTCCTGCGACTACGATTTCCCCCCTTTCTCTTCTTTATCTCCCCTCCAAAGAGTCGGGAACTGCCGTGGCGAATCCACTGGCCTCCCCGGGCCTTCAATCTGACGCACAACCCTCCGATCGGTCTGACCGTTCCCGCCTAGCCTTCGTTAAGCTCGCCGCGGCGTTTGGATCCTTCGAAAACCGGCTCCGACAACACCAATTGTTACCCCGTGACCTCCGACCGTATTGCGCTGGCCGAATTGCAACGCGAGCGTTGACCGCCTATCCATAGTTGATCTGCGAGTCATCCGAATCGTAGGTTCGCAAACGTTTGTGTGCCCGACGCCCTGCGCGCACCCACTTCTCCGGTAGCCGCCAGTGGTCCGATAACTCTCACCTATCTTGCGCTCGTCGCCTTCTACTCTAGCGCTCGGCTTGCATGTGAGCTGTCTCACTCGCTCTCTCGACGTCAGATGCGCGCGATTGTCACCCATATCAGAATATTTGGACTCGGATTTAACCGTCACGTTCTGATTGGCATGGCCGACGCCTAAGAATCGCGACAGCCACGCGCCACCGATGCTGATACCACTAGAACCCTGCACTTATCCCACTTCCTAGATCTTTCAGACCCTCCCCGCTAAACGCGATCGGGTTGAAGGATCTTCTTTAGGTAGATTTTTGGCCGGGGTAGCCTGTCGGTTTGTCCGAGTGAAACGGCCCTAGAGACCGATAATCGAGAGGTCATAGAATCGCTTTTCTTTTTCTCTGGCGCGCACGTTCAATTGGCTCCCCAGACTTGGAGAGACAGCACGCCACGCTGAAGAGGCTCTACCGTCCGTTTCGGGTTCATTGCATCAGCACACACAGGTGGTCTTGCTTCTTTGGGCCTCTGCTGGTCTGAGCACACAAACTATTTAATCACGGCTTCGGGGACGTCTTGTCCAAAAGTCGTGCTCCTGATCGACGGACTCGGTGATCGTGGTTAACCGTCGTTGCGGCCATGGTTCTTTTACAGAAGATAATTGCAATACACCACTGGACGACTTAACGAATGACCAAGGCCGGCCTGCTTGAGCTCCCGCCCGGGGCTCAGCTTCTCTACCTTGCAGAAGGCGGCGCTAACGTCATCTATCGCATTGTGACAACGTCGTCGAGTCCCCTCAGTGGCACCAGAAAAGAGTCCCTGGCGGTGTCCAGCTCCGTCCAGGGCTCAGTCGACCCCTACGTCGTTCCCACCCAGTTGAAAGGAAAATTACTTCGACTGCGGAAGGAGGCGAAATCTAGTATTCCGTATCAGGAGATTGCACGGAACTTCGACCAGACCATTCGGCCCCTATTTAACCCGGACGAGCTCATCGACCAGGAGCTCGTGAGTCTCCCCAAGGGTCTTGTATCACGCTGCAATGATCAGCTCCGCGCAGCCGAGCTGAATGGGAGGCGCCCGAAACGTCGACAAGGCGTGTACCTCTCGGTGACGGAACCATTCGGCCTGCTCATCACGGACATGACGCCGTTCGGCAATCCGGATGCTATCGTTGCGGAGCTGAAGCCCAAATGGCTGTTGCAGTCGCCCACAGCGCCCGCAAACGCCCGTCGTTGTCGCACATGTGCGCTGCGGGAAATGAAAAACCACGAAGCCCGTCTCGCCGGGAAACCCGAGGACCGATCGTTCTGCCCCTTGGATCTTCCATCGGACAAGTTCGAAAACGTCTTACGGGCTGTGCGGTTTGTCAAGGGCTGCAAGGATCATGGTCGACTAGCCCGCGTGCTGTACCGCAATAATACAGTCCAAAAGCTCTTGACGCATCAGAAAGTCAAGCGGGATGTTGGGTTGAATGGCCCACCGGCACAGTCCCGAGAGAAATCTCTCGCAATGACGTTGAGAGATTGCACGATGTTCATCAAGGTATGGCTTCGCCCTGGGCGACTGACCAGAAGTTCTTGTACTGACTACGATAGATGCCGCGCGACGAATCGAGTCCTGTGGAGATCCGCTTTGGTGATTTGGATCTCAAAACCGGAGCCGGGGGCAAGGCCCAATACTGGCTTGACCTGGAGAAGCGACTGATCTCCGAGGGATGGTACCTGGGAGCGAAGAATAATTCTCATCCGAGCGAGTGTGCATTGCAGGGTCCGCGAGGGCATTTGCAGCCATCCATTTAGGGTTTACAAGGCTACCGTTTTTTACCTTCTTTTGCCGCGTCCGCATGGCTTCCTACATTAGATGCGAGATCCTTTGCGACTTGCACGGGGTTTAGATTCGTGGGTAATCTTTAATGCTGCTGCATCTGGCTTTGTTGGTTGTTTGCATGGGTTGGTGGGAGGCTTCGTCATTTATGTTATTGATTTCGGTATCAGGTCACAATCGAACATTTCCAAATTTACTAAGTCTTAAATCCGGTATCACCGTTCAATTCAAAGTGCTGCTCTAGAACACTATAGTCTCTACCACTATGGCTGGTGTACATTAATAAGCTATATCCGTAATTCCGCTCTCGGGCTGTTTAAAACCCTCACACATCTGCGAATTGGTCTTCTTCTCTGCGTGAATTAACAATCATATATATACCTATAATACATTGATACTATACCTATAGATCTATAAAGACCATGGCAACCCGCGTCCTCCGACCAGCTCTCCGTCTTCCCATCTTGCGGAATACCACTCCTACCGCACCAATCACGGCCATCCCCAGACTACCTATATACAACAGACCATTCTCCTCTAGCCGGTCGACGCAACAGCCCCAAAAGATGGACTCTGCAGACGCTCTGATCGAGCTGGCCAAAAACCGGCGCACCATCTACCAGCTGGGCAAGAACAGCCCCGTCCCAGACGCAAAGATCGAGGAGCTCGTGAACGCGGCCATCCAGCACATCCCCAGCTCGTTCAACACGCAGTCGACTCGTCTGGTCGTGCTGCTGCACCGCGAACACGAGAAACTGTGGGACATTGTCATTGACACGTTCAGCCAGCTCGTCAAGTCCGGCACTGTGCCAGAGGAAACGTGGAAGAAGCAGACGCTGCCCAAGTTGCTGGGGATGAAGGGGGCGGTTGGTACGGTGAGTCTGCGTCTGGGGGTGTCGACGGAGGTGTAGCAGCTGACGAGGCGCAGGTCCTCTTCTATGAAGATCCGGCGCATATCAAGCCGTTGTCGGAAAAGTTTGCCCTCTACAAGGATCATTTCCAGCCGTGGGCGGATCATTCCAACGCTATGCATCAGTATTTCCGTATGTTGTCGTTTGCCCTGATCTTGTGTCTTGTGTCCTGTGCTAATGCCGACGTGTCAGTCTGGATTGGCCTGGAGGCCCTGGGCTTCGGCGCAAACCTCCAGCACTATAATCCCCTCATCAACGCCCCCGTCGCCAAGCAGTGGAATGTGCCCGCGGACTGGCGGCTGGTTGCGCAGCTGGTCTTTGGGAGCCCTGAGGGTAGTTCGAACGAGAAGGCGCAGAAGCCGATTGAGGAGCGGGTAAAGATCTATGGAAAGCTTTAGACCCTTGTATAAAGTAGATATTCGCAATGTACATGTTCTTCCTGATCAATGAAACCCAAGGATATAGTATACAACTAAGTAAACACCAAAAACACCAGCCCCGCAATGGGCACCGAAGCGAGGGCAATCGTCACAAACACGGCGCCCACGCGATCTCCGGTCGTGATTTCCGTCTCGACTGTACCGCCGTCGTCCTTCGAGCCCGATCCCGCCGATGGATCGCTGGAACTGTTTCCACCGGTGGTCGCCGTGACGGGCGCCATATCGCCCTCCATTGAAATGAGGTTGGCCGCCAGAATGCTGGTCACGCTCATCTGCTCCTCCAGTCCGCTCCACCCGTCCCATTTCTCCGTATACCAACGCACCCCGCAGGTGTTGTTGTTGTGTCCGGTGCACGCTTTGGCGGCGGCGACAGCTGAGCCCTGCAGCTTGGGCAGGATAGAGTCGTACGTGGACGGCACAATCAGCGCCGTAAACGCCAGCCACATAGACAGAAGCCCCTTGAAGATGATCTCGTTGTTGTTGCATACTTCTTTCGGCTCGCAGGTGATCTCCGACATGATCTCTCCGCCGTATTTCGTGGGGAAGAACTTGTCCAGGGTGACGTTCAAGAGGCCGTTCACCGCGTTAGTCCACTTGGAAACCGTGCCGTTTGTCTAAACGACCATCTGTTAGCCGTCGAGCCGTCCACCGCCGTATGCCGGATACCATGTAGAAACTCACGTAGTTATACATATACGCCGCACCGGCCAAATACGCCCCATAATTATACGTCCACTGGTTATTCCCCTGTGTCGTACACCCATTATCGACATCCGTCGAGTCGGCCACGTTCCAGGTCGAATTGCTCAGCAACGGCACCGACGCCGACCAGTCCCAGATCTTCTCCGCCCACTCGGCGTACGTCGCGTTGTTCGTGTACCGCGCCAGCCGCGCCGCCAGCTGGAACAGCCCGCCGTTCGAAATGCTGTTCTTCATCGCGTATCCCGCCTCGTACGCCCAGATCTGCCAGCGCAGCCCGCCGTTGCAGGTCGTCGTGTCCCACCGTCCGACCTGCATGTTGTACACCCCCTGCGCCAGCGACAGCCACGAGTACCCGTCCGAGACGTCCGGGAGCTTCAGCTCCGCGGCGGTCATCGCCGCGAGGCCCCAGAACATTTGGTCGTCGTTGCCCTGGGCTGTTAGCTGCGGAGCGTATATGCGTTCGCGAGGGAGGGGGCACATACCAGGTATGTGCTCCAGTTCGAGGGAAAGTAGTTGTCATCGCCGGCCTGCCATTGCATGCCTACCGTCACCTCGTCGTTATATGTCGAGTCGCCGGTGAAATGCCAGTACTCGATGAGGGTCATGAACATGGCGCCGCCTTCCCACCACGTATTCGGGAGTTTACCCGGGATCTGGCCGGACTCGTTTCCCTGGTAGTGGCGCATCATGCCCCAGGCCGCCGTGCTGGCGGCATCTTTGATCGACTCTGCTGTTGTTAGATGGCGGGACCGGGGGGAGGGCAGTGGCGGGGGACGGGACGGGACCACGTACGCTCATCGCTGATGTCCAGGGAGATTGCGGCGCTGTGCAACGCCTGGCACAGGAGCAGGCCGACCAACGACCATCGGAACCGTGGGAGGGGGAGGAGCATCGTGCAATGCGCATGCCGGTGTGTTTAGATGATTAGGGCTGGAAGTCACCTGACGGGGACGAGAAGACGGAGGATGATAAGACCGGCCGGGAATGACCCGGGCTGCAGGAACCGGTCCATATTTACATGTCTTAGCCGGATTGAACGACGGATGCAGTGCCGATGATAAAGGAGGGGCTGGAACACTAGCTGCCGCGTTGCCAGTGTGAAGTTCTACGTCAGCTGGCGCCAGAGCCTGACATGGATTAGTGGATGGATCCGGATATAGCCCAAGCGGCGGATGGACGCCGGGTTGGTGGTTGAAAAAGGATAGGAAGCCCGAGAATGGGTTCTCGAGGCTTCTCGGATTTAACGGATGGTTAGTTAGTGCACTGCTAAATGAGTGGCGCTTTTGTGATGGAGACATACTAGCAGAAGCTAAGTCGGAGAGGGCAGTGGTGTTTGTTCAGGGGGTGACAATACTCCGCAACGCTGCTGAGTATTCTGTCTCGCGACTTCTGCACCACGAGAGACAGCCGGTCTCCACGTCCCACTGCCAAGCAACAGATTTAAGACGAAGCTTCAGGTGCATACGTATGCTGGCGGTAAGCGATAGCACATACGTAAGCGCTGACCAGGCATCCAGATTCAAGCTTTGCGGGTGGAGCCCCTAACCACGCCATGGAAGCCCTAACCGACTGGACTGTACAAGAATAACAGCATTGAGTGCATACAATACATGGTGAACTATAGTATAGACTGATTCATGGAAAGATAGCAGGCCAACCCCACATCTCCACATGGTGAATTCTGTCGAATGTACAATACGTATGTAGTCCAACATCTATAATAACCAGTACTATCCCACTTTTTCTCCGAAGTATTCCTCTCCTGTATCAGACTTCCAATCACTCTATCCACCGTCCGTTCCACCAGAACCGACATTCCCCTCTGCCATGCCCTCCTACCTCCAGTGGGCCGTGGTCCTGTCTCTGGCGGCGCAATGCACCGCGCAGACATACACCAGCTGTAACCCGACGAAGAGTATGCCAGCCCGGTCACCCACCCGCGAAGCCCCTCTAACCGCTCGCAGAGACCTGTCCCGCAGACACAGGCCTGAGCACCTACACGCTCTCCACCGACTTCACCAGCGGCGACTCCGCCTTCAAGCACTGGAACGTCACCGCCGGCTCGGTGACCAGCACCTCGCTGGGCGCCGAGTTCGTCATCAACGAGCAGGGCGACGCACCCACCCTCGAGAGCGAGTTCTACATCTTCTTCGGGTATGTCGAGTTCAAGATGCGCGCCTCCAACGGCACGGGCATCGTGAGCACCGTGCTGCTGGAATCGGACGACCTCGACGAGATCGACTGGGTAAGCCCTTCCCCAACACATGTCCGCATATGCGTGGGCGCAGCACTAACAAGCCACAGGAACAAATCAGCACCTACGACACGGAGATCCAAACCAACTACTTTGGCAAGGGCAACACCACCTCGTACGACCGCGCCACCACCGTCACCGTCGCGACCCCCGAAGAGACCTTCCACACGTACGCCGTCAACTGGACCGCCGCCACGACGGAGTGGCTCGTTGATGGCACCGTCGTCCGCACCCTCAACTACGCCGACGCCCTCAACGGCAAGAACTACCCACAGACCCCGATGCGCGTCCGCCTCGGCATGTGGGCCGGCGGCGACCCCGATAACAGCGAGGGGACTATTGAATGGGCCGGCGGCGAGACGGATTACTCTGCTGCCCCGTTCAAGATGTACATCGAGTCGGTCTCGGTCATTAATTACAACCCGGCCGATGAGTATAAGTACACCGATAAGACAGGGTCGTGGAAGAGCATCAAGGCGAGTAACACGACGGACTCGTCGTCGAAGACGACCTCCAACACGACCTCTAAGGCTGTCTCGAGCTCATCGGTTGCGACGAATGCGACGGCGTCGTCCTCGTCGTTGGCGTCGGCAACATCTGGGGCTGCGTCGTCCTCCGCTGCAGCGGTGTACAAGGGCGGCGCTGTGGTGTCCGCTACGCCGCTCTTTATGAGTGTTTTGGCTGCGGTTGTTACTGGGATGCTGTACATCTGAGAGCGTGAATTCTTACCTTTTTCTTTCTTTGTGTTTATGCTTTTTTGTATTTAGTGGCTTAAGCAAGAATAGTGACCATAGTCTCGCACTCAAGCACGTCCGCGTCCGGCCATCGGTGCAGAAGGAAAGTTATACTGGTCGGAGAAGCTGTCTTTGGCGGGTAAAAGGATATCGCAGTCGGTAAAGCATTCTCGGAGAGACTGTACAAAGCGTCGAGCCAACTGCTTGAACGTCGCCATTTTGGGAGATGTTGGAGGTGAAGGGAAGTCGAGGGTGTGCAGATCGGTACTTATAAGCTATGATCATCGCTGTCGGGCCGGACCGAATTACATATGTAAGGATGACAACATCCGGACCACCGACTCTCTTATACTCCGTCGGACTAACAATACATTCATTTACCATGGTGCGGCGACAACCACATCGATATCTCCCCCCTATCCAAACACACCCCCCATGATCGTCAATCTTTATACCAGGTCCATTCCGGCGCTCCCAAACACTCCCCAATCGTGACCGCTGCCAGCACGTTAGCACTCCCCGTTACCAACAGGCACGACATACGCACCACGTAACTCCCGACTATCCAGCTCATCCAAAATCATGCGCGTCAGCGTCGTCACCATGGGCTCAATGTCGTGCAGCAACACCACACTCCCGCCGGCATCCAACTGGGCCACGAACTTGTCGAAGCTGTTCCCAATCAACCAGGGGTTGTCGTTCTCATAGTCCTTTGTGTCAACGTCCGCGCCGATGACGTGGTACGCCATCTCTCCCATGACCTTGTTCACAAAGGGCGTGGACTCGAGGTACGGCGGTCGCATATATGTCGGTGCGTATCCGAGAATGTCGCGAATGGCGGTCTCCACGGCGTACATCTTTTTCTGGATCTCTCCGCGCGAGAGATTTGGCAGATGGCCGTGGTCATAGCTGTGCAGCTGTCTGGTGAGCTATCCTGTAAATGGAGACGGTTGCTTGTGTGGTTTTGCAAGTTGGGGTATGGCCTACGTGTGCGCGCCGATCTGGTGCCCGCTCGCAGCCATCTGCCTGAGAGTTTCGGCGTTCGCGGCATACTGGAGACTGGTCCCTACCACGAAGAACGTTGCGTGCGCTTGATAGTCGTCCAGCAGGGCTATCAGGTCGGCCGTATAGGTCTCCGGGCCGTCATCAAAGGTCAGAGCGATTGTGCCGGGGACAGCGCATTGTTTGATCACGCTTCCGATGGGAACTATGATTGGGACAGCGGGAGCGGCGAGGACCTGATCCCAGGTAAAAAGGAAAACTAGAAAGAGAAAGAGGGACAACATGGCTTGTGAGACGAGCGTAAGGATGCTGTGACATGGAAAGTGAGTGACTGTGGGATATGTTACATGTAATCATGAACCTGAAAGGATATGATGTGGATAGAAGCAATGGGCATCTCAGACTGCGAGAGATGGATGCGGAAGGAGCGAAGCCGGAATGAGAATCCATATGACAAGGCAAGGTCGGTCTCTGCGACGATGATACAGTAACAGCACGTAGGAATGGAAGCGAAAACGTCCCGGCCATGCGTCCGCGGTTAAAACATTAAAACTATCTCTGCTTTCAAACATGTCATTTTCTCCAGACACATTAGATCCCCAACAACCTCGTCGCAAATCAATATGAATACATGGAACGTGAAGATATGCAACAGAATTAAACCACCACTTGCTTTCGTTCGTTGGACATCATCTGGAACTCCAACCCAGCGATCACTGTCTCCGGGTGTACTTCTTCATGGAGCGCCGCTGGCCCTTCTGGGCCTCCCGCTCGAGGAACTTGCGCTGTTCCTCAGCCGACATGCTCCGGAGGAGTCGCTCTCGCTCCTCCTTCTTGAGCTTCTCCGCCGCCAGCTTGCGCTCCTCTGCCTTCTCCTCCTCGTCGGCGCGACGAAGCTTGCGGATCTCCTCCTCGCGAGTGTTGCGGATCTTGCGCAGCACCTCGGGACGGAAGTGGCCAACCGAAACGAGCTTATCGGCAAGTCGGAGGAACTGCGAGAACAGGGGCATGGTCGCGGTGTAGCCGGAGGACGAGGGAAGGGTGGTCGAGACTTGAATGCGCTTTCTCGGGGTAGTTTCCTCGAGTCTAAGAGGGTTAGATATTTCCTATCAGGTTGTCTTTTCAAGGAGGGGGAAGGGGCTCACTTCGTGGGTTTATCAACAGGCTGATCAGTGATAATCAGGTACTTGAAGTGGTCGCCAGCCTTCTCAATAGCCTGGATAAGTTCCGGGCTAAGAAGGGTGTCGGTGATCTCAGCGCTCTCGGTCATCACGGTCACCCAGGCAGGAAGCTTGGAGTTGTCCTTGGTGAAGGTCATAGAAGCGTCGTAACGCTCCTCACGGAACTTGCGCATGTGGTTCTTGTGCACCACCGCCCAGATAAAGCCGTCATAGCTCGAGTTGTTTACCTTCAGAGAGGAGGTGTCGCCACCGGGAACGGGAACCACATCCTTCTCCTTGCCGTCAAAGGTATACGCGACCGCGTCGCAGGTTTCCGAGGGGGGCTCGTAGCTATCGAACAAGAAACCAAGGATCATATCCATGTAGTAGATGATGGGGTTGTAGCGCTTGGGCATCTTGATCGAAACGTCGACAAACGCGACATTCTGGCGGCCGGTGGCGTAAGCGGTGTACTCCTGGGCACTCTTTTCCTTGAGAATTGTCTCGGGGGAGGCGAGCTCCGATGTAATGGCGTTGTCGCCGGACTTTGGCACGCCGTCGAAGCCAACGAGGGCGAACTCGCTCTGCAGGACAGGCGCATGGGCTTGGGCCCATTCCTTCGCCCTGCGCCGGTTCTTGCGCGTTCCCCACAGATGGAACACCACAATCAGCAAGATTAAAGGCATGACCATGGCCTCCTGGAGGAAGTCCCGGGGGGAGGTGCGCTCCCACACGCGGTACCATTTCGTATAAGGGACGGGCTTGATGGCCTGGGTGTTATACGCCGGCGTGGACGAAGACGAGGATGCCGCCAAGATGGAGGCAGGAGAGGGCTCCGGAGCTTTCACAAAGTCGGCGAAATCTAACAATCGTCCCCAGCAGTGAGTGGGAATTCGTACCAGGGGGCGTGCGAGGTTGACCCCGGATTTGGTGAGACGTGCGGGACTTACCATCCTCCACATTGGCCGAGCCCGAGGGCTGAGAGCCGCCAAAAACATTCTTGAAAATACCCGCCATGACGACGAGGGGAGAGGAAGAGAAAGGGAAGAAATTGGGTGGGAGCGAGGGTAGAAACGGCGACGTGGCGGAGGAGAAGAAGGGAAAAGGGAACGATGGTTCGAATTGACGTTCGGCGGAGCGAAGCTAGTCGGTGGAGACGCCAAGCCATCCGGAGATAAGGTCGCTTATTGTGCCTACATCTACTCCGTACCGATCGTGCTAAGACAGTCATCGTGGTAAAGATTCTTGTATAAAGCAAAATAACCAAAAAGTAAACATACAGCTTTTAATCCCACCGTCCAATCCTAACCCAAACCCACGCAACCAGACAACACAAAAAGAGCGAGGTGGTATCCTACTACTCGAAAATGCAACGCCAGAAAACACAATCAGCCAGATAATCCAATGTACAAGCTCTAAAAAGCACGCTGAAAGGTCAATAAAACAGTGAAACAGGAATGGAAGGGATTAAACAAGCTCGTATCGGTCATTAAAGGGGCCCAGCCTTGCTGGTAGGAGAACAAAGAAAAGAGATCAAATGAGCGTCGCAGTCGGTCGACTGGTGAATTATTGCCCGTAGGCAGGTGGAGGGCTCTCTTCATGCCCGGGTCGGTTCCAAAAGGCACACGAGTTGGTGCCCATCAGCTTGTCTTCCCGCATACGGCGGGCTATCTCACCCGCAATCCGCTCAACCAGAGCCTGGTCAACGGGGCCAGGAGTTGACTTCTCCTCCGTAAAGGGAAGGATCGTTGACGGCAATTGTCGCGAGGGGCCTGCTTCCTGCTTCTCGCCTTCGTATCGGGATGGCTCATGCCGAATGATAGTCCGAGGAGTCGCATCGATATCGTCGACTTCGGCATGGCGTCTAGCAGGCTCTGACGAGGACTCTCCGGTCTCGCGCAACATTTCGGTCGCGATGTCGCGACGGAGGGCAGGGCGCGAGATGCTAAAGCGGTGTCGCTCGGGAATCGGCGGGAGATGGAAGTCGCTATCCGGAGATAGAGGAGGCGTAACCGGATCATCGGGCTGCTCGTTGACCCGAGGAAGTGGAGCGGAGCGTACAGAGGGGGCGCTGGTGGTCTCGGTGAACGAACTCTCATCGGTGACACTAGCGGTCTCGGATTCCGGCTGTTTAGGGCGGCGCAGATCAACAACACGCTTCTTCCTCTTTCGCGCATGCGCCTTCGAATGCCGACCCGCTCCTAAGTTCAGACCATAGGTACTGAAAGTGTGGGTAGAGGTCGAAGTCCGGCTATAGGATGATATCGTGCTCGCATTGTCCTGGAAGGAGGACATTCCGCCTACTTGCGACTGGGTTCTCGAGAGGGCGGGGCTCAGCGGCGAAGTCACGCCGCCACTGATATCGCCTTGGTCGGAAGGAGAGGTCCATGCGCGGTATACAACTTCCTGTATCGATGGCGTGAAGAGCGAGAGGGTTCGTTGCGAATCGGTCAGGGCGGCCAATCGTAGCAGGTTCTTTTGTGAGAACAGAGAATGGGTCTCGACGGACGAGTCTAGCGATAGCGACGCGATTTCGGATTCATTCAGAGCGTTTCCAAGCGCGTCCACTGGGTCTTGCGGAGGACTGGCCAATGGATCTTGACCAGGACCCTCGCCGGCAGTGTTGGTGTTCTGATCCTGATCCTCTTCCCCGGCGCGATATTCTGGGACCCATAATCGGAGCGAGAGACGATGGATGATGGCGGGAAGCTCATCCATAAACAGGATTCGCAGTTGAGCCTCGATTTCTCGTTGCAGGAAGTCGCGCACGAACGGGATGGAATCGAAGGTGGATGAAACTTTGAGCGACTCGAGCGGGATCATTTCGGAACACCACGGTGATCCCCTTTTGCTTGGAGAACACCAATATCACGAAGCCGGAGAGCTTAAAATCGGATAACGTGATTTGAAGAGGGATCGTCAAAGGTGTCCTGGATCAGATACAGATTAGCACGGGGGATGGATGCGGCAGACGCGGAAGTGTCACATACGCGGCAGCCAGCGGCAGCGGCGAGGCAAACGACGGTCGGGTAAGGAGGTACGTGTTGAGCGGATTCGCTTGGACGCGTGTTTTCAGGGTGAGAAAGGCATCGCCCGAATAGGACATCTTGAAAATGCCTCTAAACCGATCTTCAGCCAAGTCTCCAATCTCCAAGATTTCCAACTCGGGCGGGATCGAACCGAGATTTAACTCGGTAACGATGATGTCGTCGACGATGATGGGCGGCTTGGGGGATTTATTGAGCGCAGCCGTTAATAGATCTTGAGCGCGAGTGTAGAAACTTGCGTCCGCCATCAACGGCGACCAGTTGAAGTTGAACGCCATGGCCGGTCATGGAGAAGCGGCAGGGAGTGAGCCGACGGCGATTAACGGGAGGCGATGGAATGAGGAGGGACCATCGAGGAGAGATGAGAGACGAGGACGGTGTAGGAAGAAGGAGAATATTATAGTAGTATAATATTGAGATCTCAGCGATCTCTAGGTGTAAGGAGAGTGAGGGGATGGGAGGAAGAGAGGGAGAGTTGACGATAAGACGGCAGTGAAGGGAAAATGGGAAAAGGGCTGGAAGAAGAAAAAAAGCAGGCAATTCCCGAGGTCACAATCACCCCAAACGGTAACTCGCGTGATCGACGCTCCACGAGCTTCTGATCTGATTTATTTTATTATATTTTTTTTAAAGTTATTTATTTATTGAATAAAGAGATAAGTATTGATATTTATTCAGTATTCGTACCTATGATTTGTTTTATAAGTCTCCTATACTTCTTGTGGTCTCTTTATACCGGCTCACTCACAAGGAACTACACGGACCGAGGACAAAGGGGCAATAATTTTAGACCAGAAAATGCAGGGAATCGGGAGGGCCAAGCAAATAACGTCACAACACAGAAATCGTCCTATTATTATGAAGAATAATGCAGCCAGGATCGGAGTCTCCATAACACTAAAAGCGATATGACACTGCCGGTGCGCCAATCCTTCTTCCGATCCGCTCCGATTTTCGCCCTCTCCAGTCTGCCCATCTCCAGGTCCATGAGTTTCTCCCCTCCAACGGCGATGCTCAGATGTCCCTCGTACTTTTGCATGATGGCTCCACTGACACGGTTCTATTGCTCTTGATCTGACTGGATTTCAAGTCAGACAGCGCAGATGGAAACCGCTTTGGGCCATTGCTCTGGCCCCTCGTCAGCGGGCCAAAAGGAGTATCACTCTAGTCGATCGATGTCCTTCCATTCCCCTGCATATGGAGGATGGTGTTGTGATACTCCTAGTTAGTCCTGGATTAAGATTTGACTGTGATTTATAGCTGGAATCATTCACATAACTTGTCAGTGTCAGTGTACACTACTCCGGATACCCCGTACGGAGTAGCATTCCAGCGTGGCATATAACCTCAGGAACCCAGACAATGTCATCACCAAAGTAACTGGAACTATGAATGTTCCCCCTTTCGCCCGGGATGACGGACACACTCCGGACATGCCATCCCGTCTACAGTCTTCACGACAGCGCTAGTGGCTCCGCCTCATGTTCTGGAAGCCGTCCTATGGAGTACTATACATGCATGATCGTCCTTCGCTGAACGGCCCGCGGGATACCACTTACTCTTTTTAGTATACAGGGCCGTGGAGTGTCGAGACGCCGAATTGATCAGCCATCATCGCTCCCTGGAGGAAATTTGCCGGCCGGGCCATCGACGATCATCCGTCCGGTAATTGAGTGACTCATTGTCTTTCTCTCATCTTCCATGTCTCTCGGTTGTTCTGAAATGCTCTGATCCTTCATCACGAGCTCGCTTAATCCCACCACCCACCAGGTTAGGCTGGTCCGTCTCAGAAATCAAATCGAGCCATTCATTAAAATATATCTTTTCTGACACAGACTCTTGCAGCCTGACGAGGTAGGACTTACCTGGGACAATGTGTCTCAGATCGTACATAACCCAGACCTTATGTGCGCGCCAACATTCGAAATTGTTTCCCATACTCCGATATCATCGCATACGTAGGAAAATCAAGCATCTAACGTCATCGCCAGATATCGAGGCAAGCGGTCACGTGTACTCTTATCGCGAAGATTCTGCCGCAGCGGCCGAATCCAGTAGGCGGCGAGGCGATTTCTTTGATTACCTAAGATCAACCACCCAATGTGACGCCTCTGATTGGCCATCAAACTAGAATGCAGCTCACCACAGCAACGATGCACTAGACCTTTTCAGGAAAAGAGTCAATACCTCTCCTTCTCCAGCCAACGGCAACCGTAATCGTTCATCCTGAGCAAGCGACATCTGATACTTGGACGGCCTCGGCGAAGGGAGGAGGATTGGAGACAATCTCAGTTGCCAGTACACCATGTCCACGACATTATCCTCCGCCGTTTCTAGCCCCGCGCAATGGGATGCGCATCCCCCAACGAAGACTCGCACCGTTGCCAAACGTCGAGTATATGGAAAGCGACGAACGGACGCCCCGCGAGCTGTATTCGACCAGCAGACTCCACCAAAGCAGCCGAGTAGTCTTACGAAAGCCAGCGTTCAGGATGCAGTGGATTCGATCCAAGCTAAGCTGGCAGAAATCAATATCGATGATACGCCAACCGTACGACGCCAAAAAGATATCCTGAAAAAACCGCGGGACGAAAATAACACCGATTCAATCCACAGAAAGGATGCAGAACCCCAGATCGATGATGCACCAACAGAACTGCCTCAGACGGAAGACCAAATCGTTGCACCGTCTTCTCCGACGAGCACACCTAGACCACAGAAAAGATACGAGACAATGGTGGCAGTCAGGGTAACTCCTCGTTACTCCATGGCGAGGCGCCGAACGCAAGAAAAGGAGGCTGGATCGACATCAGAAAATGCGAGTCGGACACGAAAAGTGAAACCTGCCCCTCGATTATCATCTGGCTGTGTAACGGACAAGGGTATAAATGCCTACGCCCGCCCTATTCTGGACGAAGCCATCTCTCCCGTTGCGGCGCAGAGCGTGCAGAAGTTCAGCTCATGGGCGGCCCGGGCTGGAAGTCTGTTAGAGGTTGTGAAGATTGCGGAGGGCTCATACGGAGAAGTCTACAAGCTCCGCCTGCGCGAGGAGGTGTGCAAGAAAGCGATGTCCAAGTCGAAGCTCGCTCGTCTGAAGGCATACGGTGATGGGGTGTTCAAGATTGTCCCTCTACGCGCACGAAGAGGACCCGGCTCGAAGAAATACACAAGCGTTGACGAAATCGTGTCCGAGGTCAGGATGCTCAAGTACCTGGATCCGATTCCTGGATTTGCCCGCTTCCGAGAGATCCATGTCGTGCAAGGCCGGTTCCCTGAATCATTTCAAGCCGCGTGGGACTACTATAAGGAGACCAGGGATGACTGTCTTAACCCAGACCCCTCGAATAGGCGGGCGTATCCTGAGACGCAGCTCTGGGCAATCGTGGAGATGGACGATGCTGGTTGCGAGTTGGAAAAGTTCGCTTGGTCGTCCATTTTCCAAATCTATGATATATTCTGGGGTGTGGCGATGGCACTTGCCCGCGCGGAAGAGTATGCTATGTTCGAGGTAAATTCCAAATATCTGCAGGATAAAAGGGGCGCTGTTGACAGAAATAAAGCATCGCGACCTACATCTCGGAAACGTGTGCATCAGAAGCACTCGTCCTAATGGTCGTATGGACCCTCCGACAGATCACGATATCATGAGTCGATCATATACCAGCGGCTTCGGACTCAGCGCGATCGAAACGACGATTATAGACTACTCGCTCTCCCGAGCGGAGTTGCGTTTATCTGAAGAGTCGCCAGACGCAGTAGACATTGCCTCATCAGACTTGGACCAGAAGCAAATCTTTGATGCCATCGGCCGCGATGAAGACGAGGTCTTACTGAGGAATACCTATAGATAGTAAGTTTATTACTTATTATATCACCTCAAAACCCACCATACACGCGAGTGATTTCTAACTGTTTATCTAGTATGCGGGCTCAGCTGTATCACGGGAACCCTCTCGAGACCGCAAAGACACGCGACATTCCGGGAATCTGGGAAGGATACGCACCGCGAACCAACCTTATCTGGCTCCTCTTTCTTCTCAAGACCCTACTGAAGAATAGAAAAGCCGGAGTTTCTGAAAGACAACCCCTGTCTCTCTGCTCCCCAAACAAGCAGCCCAAAATGACGGAGACGTCAAAGAGTGGGTGTAAGGATCTGGAAACACAAGAGACCAAAGTCGCCAACCTGAAAAAGGATCTCGAGGATAGGCTGAACGAAGTTCTCCGCCTCTTGGATCTTGAAGATGGCCATCAAGATATATGCTGCGCTGCGGACCTGGTTGCATTCGCCATCGATACCAACTGGTTGGACGAACGGGACTTCTTCTAATACTGCATAGGATAGAGCGGTTGCATTGTTGATTGTTTTATATATGGTTAGCATGGCGTTGTGGTTCATCTCCTGTACTTATAAGCATTGTCTCATCTTTATGACAACATTTCGACTCTGGGTCGCCAGATGAGTGGTGTTTCGTATGCTCTGGTCAGCATGACGCTACTCTTGCGAAGCAGTCCCTTCCCCAGAAGTAATCAATACCGTTCTTAGGCATAGGTGAGGTCACAAAACCTACATCCTGTGCCCCGAGGGAAGAAATTTCCAAAAACAACCCACTGATCATTACCGTATCGCCCGACACAAGAAGCACACCATCTGCACTCCCAACCCATGTCCAAAATGGGGTCCACTTTTGAGAACCTCGTCGAAAAAGTCTTCGGCACGAAGTGCACCCAGCGCCTCCGCCAGTGCCTCCACAACCACGACCTCAGCGAGCGGCACAAAGAGGACGACCGGTGGGCCAAGGACATGATCCTGATGGACGTGGAGCTGCGCGAGACGGGCCAACGCGAAGCATATCTCCGGGAGGAGGTGAAACGGCTGGAAGCGCAAGCCCAGCAGACGGAGCTGTCGACGGAGGAGAAAGCTCAGATGGAGAAATGGCAGGCCGAGATCGAGGAGCTGGCGCGCCAGTACTGGCACCTGGAGCGGGAGTTCTACCGGCGCGAGGCGTCGTGTCCGCCGGGGCCGATGCTGCGTGCGTACCAGTCGGGCCGGCAGCGCAGCCCGGACTGGTTCCTGTCGAATAAGTTCCTGCGGACGGACTGTGTGGGCCGCGGGGGCTGCTGTGGGCGCAACTGTGGGTGCTGCGAGAGGAAACGGTTTGCAGGCGGCCGCGAGATTCGTATGGGCCATTGCACGGTTGAGTGTGGCTGCTGTCGCCGGGTCAGGGGCTTTGACTTGAACCATGAGGACAAGACGAGGTTTAAGAAGTTGTTTGATGACGCAGATGTGCAGGTCAACCGGTCGTATAGCAATGACCTGAAGTTGGCTTATATATTCGGGCGGTCGAAGTAAGGTGGACTCCTCGTCTAAGGGCGGATTCCTGATAGTAATAATGGTCGTGCTGGACTTACACTGTCTTGTCTTGTTTGGAGATTGCGCGATGGCAGCTATGTGTATCTGTTTTAGTTTGTTTAATTCATGGATTTGTTCAGTTTTCCATTGTGTTTTATCTCACAGGGTTCAGTTAGAAACGCTAGTGGACGCTATGGGGCCGACAGTTGCGATATAGGATTCCTGGGTAAGCAACGTGCTGAAAAAGAGTCAAATCGCCAGACAGAAGGTATTGTAACAAATGGCCAGTCCCCACGAAGAAATGCTACTGCTGCGCGTTACTTTCCTGCTGCAGCAGTTCGGCCACATCAGCATCCAGATCTCCGCTCGCAAATTTCGCGTAGTCCTCCTCATGCGTCACCTTGCGCTTTTTGGCATGAAGCCCATTGGCATCTTCCTCGATATGGTCAAACCCCGGCAACGTGAACTCAGTCGCCTGGGGCTCGTTTATATCCTGAGGCTCGTGCTTGGGTGACCCGACAGGAGTAAGAGCCTCCACCGGGGGAGGAGTCAAAGCCTCAACCTCAGGACGAGGCACAGCTTCCCCCTCAGTGACGGAATCGTTTGAGCTAGTCGCCGTGTTGTGCTCGACCGACAATCCTCGCATGATCCCGTCTTCAACCTTTCGTTTCTTCGATTCCGTCTCTGATTTTCGCTCCGACAGCTGTGCGATTAAAGATTGCTCCCTGGAGAGCGCAGAGCGATTGGTCTCCAGAAGTTTCTCTAGCCCTTCGATCAAAGCTGTCCGCGACTTGATGACCTCCGATACCGAGTTCTCCGCGTTGGCAAGGGCCTTTAGCAACTGACTCAGTCGTGCTGCGTGCACAGGCGGGGTCGGTAACGGAGTGTTGGGATCATTCATTTTATCATACTCCGCGTTGGCGGCGGTAGCAGTCGCACCAGAGGACACTGTAGCTTTGGAGAGGGCGACTTGAAGAGGAACCAAGGGCTGAAGCTCGGACGGCGTTGAGCCAGATGAGCTTGAAAAGAGGGATCCGCCCAACGGGGGCTTTTTACCGGTCGAGCGCGACTTATCAATCTCTGTCGCATGTGAGTGACAGCATGAGTATCTCAGGAGGAAGGAGCGTCTTACCATCCACACGAGACTCTACGGCTTCCTGGATGGGCAACTCAAAGATGGATCGTTGCCTCCACACCTCGACCACGCGCCGGATCTTTTGCTGGATCTCATTTGATGCACCCTTGTATGCGATCGCCGTAGCTTCGGCAATGATCTAGTGAACGTTAGAGGGAGCGACACTGTGGAGTGGAAAGGACGCACCGGAGAGAAGGCGATGAGAAAATCCTGCTTCTTCCGTGCTCGTGACTGCTGCGCAACCTCTATAGGCGTTGTGAGCTTCTGAAGCTGGATTGGGTAGTGTGCCATAGCTACCGTTCGCAAGATAGATCAGGTTCAGTCGCTTGGGGGCCGGAGAGTCTCGGAGCTTCTGGAGCCATAGCTGTGCAGTCCGTTCTGCATGTCGCCTGTGATTTAGGTAGGATTGAACATCAGCTGCTGTGTCGAGGGACGTCAAGAACGAATGGAGAAGTTACCTGTGGAACATAACCCATTGCGCAACTGTAACGATGCCCTCTTGGGTCTCATTGAGAGCCGAGAGCTTGGCCTTAACCGCATCATCGGTATACGCCATGTTTCAGCAGCCGAAAGAGCCAGAAAAACCACTCCGGTAGTCGGTTTGTTTCTTTTAAATGGCGTGACACAGCTTAACGCCAAGGATGGGGAGTTGTTGGTATGGGTGCTTGTCACTAGGGCCAGGAGTGTTCAGTCTCCGGTCAGGATGGAGTGACAAGGGCCAGACACAAGCAACAATCCAACAAAGCAGACAATAAGGCGATTAAAGGGGGCGTGTCAAGGAACAGGGAATGCACGTTCTTTGTTTGGAGAGAGATACAGAGGAGAGCAAGAGCGCGAGAGAGAGACTAGTGAAGCTCATGGGGTGCCTCACCGCCTGCGAGCGGCAGAATCCCGTCATGATTGCTGTGTTCCGCTTCCAGAACGCCAGCTGGACCCTCACATTCCCGTCTCTATCCTCCCTCCCCCTTCTCCCTCCCAATACATACACTCCTTTGCTTCCATCAAAGAGCCTCCCTTCCCGACGCATCCTCCATTACCTGGCTCTTTCAAACCCTCATCATCATGGCTGACCGATTCCCCTCGTTGGAAGACTTCTCCGCCGGTTGGTACCCCGTTACCACCCCAATTACCACTAACCGGTACTATGATCTCGGTGATACTAAACCCTGCCTCCCCTAGGCCAAACTGAGGTCGCCGACACCAATGGAGCTGCCGACGAGAGCGATTTCCTGGCCCGTGAGCGCGCTGTCCTCGGCGATGATGCCGACCAGTTTGCTACCGCCCAAGACCACGTCGCTACCTCCGAGAATGTAGATACTGGGGACGATTTACTGGGCGGTGCGGAGGATGCTCCGGCCGCCGTTTCTCACGAGGAAATGTCCGGATTCGAGTCGTCTTTCCCCGCTATCGAAACGCAGAATGAGGTACATATCTATGCGTGTTCTCGTTCCAATGGCTCGTGCGCTAATGCATGCTTCCCCTGTTTACAGCAAGTTGCGCCCGGCGGAACAATCACCGGTACCGGTGCTCCTTTCCCTCCAACTGGTTATCCCAGCTACAAAGAACCCGAAGAAGAGCCTGAGCCTGTTAGGTGAGTTTTGAATGGCCGTTGTTCTCTTGTTTTCGTCCTGTTGGTCCCCCTGGGCGGCGGTTAACTTTCGGATGTGCAGGGAATGGCGTGAGAGACGGGATGCAGACATCAGCCGCCGTGCGGAGATCTCGGAGGAGAAAAAACAATCGACTGTGAAGAAGGCCCGCGAAGACATCGACGACTTCTACGTTTCCTACAACAATAAGACCGACAAGCTTCGCGCTCAGACCCGTGCCGAAGCCGAACAGTTCCTGGCCAACCGTGAAGACACATCTTCTGGTGGTACCAGCTGGGAGCGGATCGCGAAACTCGTTGATATTTCCGGAAAGGGCGCAAGGGGCGGTGCCAGCGGTTCTGGCAAAGAACGGTTCCGCGAGTTGCTGCTCGATCTGAAGAAGGACCAGAACGCTCCCGGTGCCAGTGGCATCTAAGTGTGAACGAAGCATCCAGAGGTTGCCCCGACATATGTACATGACTCGGGAGTCTAGATCGGGGACGTGAGGAGATTCGAGCACCCGAAGAGAAGAGTATTTCTATTTCCAGCGCCTTTTTATCACGACCGGACCCAACATTGCACATTCTCATCTTCTGCATTGCCATATCTCCTCGGGTTGTGTCCATTTATCTTTTATTCTGTTACCCTGTCTTTTTACTACGGACCCTTTCTTTCCTAATCGTTATGTAGGTAGATAACGCAATTGCTTGTCCCATGTTTTTGATCAAAATATCGTTGATCTTCGCCTCCAATCTCCCCATTACTGAACGACGTAGGACGAGACCTGGCTCATTCATCCGATTTCAATTCTGTACATGTTGCAAGAATGTAGACGTCACATGCATAGGTGAATTAAATACAGCTATTCAGTTAAATGCAAAAATTCATGAGCTCCATGCATTATCCAGCCATTTTTTTCAGTCCAATTCAGTCACATCACCACCCGGTTCTCCCACCTCTTCCACCTTTTGTTCCCGTTTACCCTCTGCCTCAATCTCTTCCAGCTTCTTCCGGCCCTCTTCTGTGGTAGCATCGATGACCCCCTCCTCGAGGCTGAGCATACCGCTTTGGCCGAGCTTTTCCACAACGTCTTCGGCTTCCTCCACGCTCATCTTTCCGAGAACCTTGTTCACCTCATCCAGTGACTCTGAAGCCAATGCAGTCTGCAAATCCTTGGGGAAGGACTCGAAGATCTTGCGGGCCTCCACTTCGACGGGTTCAGTGCCCTCTGCCGAAGGAATGTTGATGGTAATCTTGGTGTTCGGATCCACGGCATGGAGCTGGATCTGCTCCACACCAGCCGGATCGTTAGATGCAGCGCTGTTTTTGGCGAGCTCTGCGGCACGGGTTTTGATCTTGTTGTAGGTTTCGTTGACATCGTTGCGGAAGAGGGTTCCAGCTTGATGATCTTTGTTTGTGATACTGATATAAGACATGTTTAGTTAGGGTCTTTTAGGCCAAAATGATAGTGGTGACGTACCGCTTGAAGAAAAGGGAGATGCCATCACGGCCCAGCGAGCGGCAATACTGCAGCAGCAATCCCTGGTGGACGCACTGGCGAGCATAGTCTTCTTTTCCTTCCATCTGGCTGTTGAAGGCTTCGACCAACAAACCGTCTGTTTCCTTCTCTGCGACAATCTCGGGGTGCTCCGAAATGAACTGAAGCAACGAGCGGTAGTCGTCGCGTCTGATTTTTGCGAAACGCTTGGCCAAATCACTGGCCTTAATATTCTCTGGATCCTCCTCCTCGTCCTCAGCATCAGCTCCGGACTGTTGCGACGAGGCGGCTCCGGGGTTCAAGAGCTCCACGGAGCTTGTTTGTTGCGTGGAAGCGGTGCTCTTGCCCTTGGAATCACCCTTGGCGACAAAGGACGTGTCGAATCCGGTATGCAACATATCGCTGGTAATCTTGCTGCTTTCCTCCTTCTCCAGCTGAGCGAGTCTTTCCATCAATTCCTTTTGTAATCCCAGCACCTTGTCCTTATGCCCCTGCACACCCTTGATGTATTCTGGGAGGAGCTTGTCATCTGGGACATCCCCGATCTCATTCTTGACCTGATCTACCAGGGAGCCCATCATTTGGGAGTATTTAGGCTGCTCTTTCTCCTGGGTGTGCACGCCTTCCGGGGGTGGAGGTGGCTGATCGTCCGACGGGTTGCTGGCGAATTCCATGAGTGCCTGGAACACAGGTTCCTCCGGGTTGCTGGAAGACCCTTCATGTTGCTTGAGTGATGTGAGAAGCTTGTCGATGCGCAAGAGGAGTCCGTCGTTGACGATACGCTCGTACTTCAGGGTTTCGATCTCATGGCGGCGCTGCATACGCTGCTGATGAATTTGTGCTTGTTTGGCGCGGATAAACGAGCGCTTGTCAACATTGGGATGGACTTCGATATCGGAGTCGTCGGACAACTCGAGCTGATCCCATTTACTGTAGTCGAGGACCATCTTGGAGGAGCACTGTACAGTTGCTTACAGGAGGGGTAGAAGTGGGGTGGATAAGCAACTGATGGAAGACGAGAGGGAGATAATATGGAGACGAAGTAAGTGGGGAGATAATAGAGGGACAAAGACCGATGAGCGAGACAGATCACCGGACCAGCACCATATATTTCTGAATTGCAGACTGAGAGCTGTTGAGGCCACTGTGCCGCATGGAAAGCTCTCGATCAGCTTCGATGGCGGCAGAATCACAGGGCAGGCGGTGATGGCCGGCAGAACCGGAACGCCGATTCTGGGCCGACCGACTGGCGGCGGCACTCGGGGACGTCTTTTGGCGCTGACCAGAGCACCTCGGTTTGTACTCTCAATCTTCCCCCAACAACGTCATCTCCTGTCCCAGAGGCTTCTATTCGGTTTTGGTGCTGTTATGTATGTGAGATTCACGGCATTCCACTAGGCGAGATATGGCATCTGGCCCTATTCCATGACAACTCTTTGAACAGCCGTCCGATTCCGCTTTGTTCCACGCCCGACAATGCGCGGAGTCAGCGTACTCGCCTCCTGGGCCCCCGGGGTCAGCGCGAGGCCAATTGGTCTGTCCCGGGGAAGGCCAGTGAGGGATGTCTTTCCCGGAGCACGGTATCCTATATTTGCGCCTGGTACTCACGGCGTCTTGCGCCGACCCTTCTCTGCGAATGCCCGCTCAGCCCGTACTGGCAATGAACTTGGAATCTGGGGTCTAGTGTCCAAGAACAACCCCCGATTTGGCGTCCTCCAACCTCGTATCTTCGGTGCGACCCGGCCTTTCTCCTCGACACAACGGAAATTAGAAGCGAAACCCCCGGTACCCCCGGCCAATGCACCAAAGGCGAATCCTGCAGTCCCTGAGGGCAAGGAACCCGAGGGGGTAGACCATGGATTCGAACTATCTGAAAGGGCAGCACAGGCTGCGCAGGTCAACCTCCGTGCGAAACTTCACAAAGATGGTGCTTCGGGAAAGAAAGCTGGTTTCAAGGAAATTTGGAGACTTCTGCTTATTGCGCGCCCCGAGGCAAAGAAGCTTTTCCTGGCCTTCACCTTTCTGTTGATTTCTTCCGGTATTACTATGTCGATTCCGTTTTCTATTGGAAAGATCATGGATGCGGCGACGAAGTCCGCCGGTGAAGGAGGTGCCCACGAACTCTTCGGTCTCAGCGTTCCCATGTTTTACACTGCGTTGGCTGGAATAATGACCATCGGTGCCGCGGCAAACTACGGGCGTATAATTATTCTGCGCATTGTTGGTGAACGTGTCGTCGCGCGGCTTCGGTCAAAGCTTTTCCGGCAGACTTTTATCCAGGACGCCGAGTTCTTCGATGCGAACCGAGTGGGAGATTTGATTTCTCGCCTCAGCTCCGACACTATTATCGTGGGAAAAAGTATCACACAAAACCTGTCGGATGGACTGCGCGCAGGCGTCAGCGGCGCGGCAGGGTTTGGTCTGATGGCATATGTCAGCCTTAAACTGTCAAGTATCCTGGCATTGCTGCTCCCCCCGATTGGCCTTGGTGCCTTCTTCTATGGTCGCGCTATCCGGAATTTGAGCCGCAAGATCCAGAGAAACTTAGGAGATCTGACGAAGATCGCCGAGGAGCGTCTAGGCAATGTGAAAACCAGCCAGTCGTTCGCCGGGGAGGTCATTGAGGTTAACCGGTACAACACTCAAGTGCGAAAAATCTTCGAACTTGGAAAGAAGGAATCTTTAATTAGCGCGACATTTTTCAGCTCCGTATGTGATTAACCGTTCTTCGATCCTTCACGTGTTCTAACAAATACTAGACTGGCTTCATGGGCAACATGACGATCTTGGCACTCCTCTATGTTGGGGGTGGCATGGTTCAGTCTGGTGGCATCAGCATTGGAGAGTTAACGTCGTTCCTCATGTACACGGCCTATGCAGGTTCCAGCATGTTCGGGCTGTCCAGCTTCTACTCTGAGCTGATGAAGGGTGTTGGTGCCGCTAGCCGTCTTTTCGAATTACAGGATCGCAAGCCGACGATATCACCCACAAAGGGTAATAAGGTCATCTCTGCCCGTGGTCCCATCCGGTTTGAAAACGTATCTTTCAGTTATCCCACACGGCCTGCTGTCCCCATCTTCAAGGATTTGAACTTTGAGATCCCCCAGGGAACCAATGTTGCCATCGTTGGACCTTCTGGTGGCGGCAAATCGACCATCGCTTCGTTGTTGCTTCGGTTCTACAACCCTACTGGGGGCAAAATTCTCATCGATGGAAAGGACATCAGTGCAATGAACGCAAAGTCTCTCCGCAGAAAGATTGGCGTGGTCTCCCAAGAGCCGGTTCTTTTCTCCGGTACTATAGCTGAGAACATCTCATACGGAAGTCCGCAGGCGACGAGATCTGAGATTATTGCCGCAGCTCGCAAGGCAAACTGTCAGTTCATCAGTGACTTTGTAAGTATTCTTGGCACCTGCTTTGTGTGATTTGGCTGACTTTCTTTCAGCCGGATGGCTTGGATACTCAAGTGGGTCCTCGAGGCGCTCAGCTTTCTGGTGGACAGAAGCAGCGTATCGCGATTGCGCGGGCCCTGATCAAGGATCCTGATATCCTCATTCTCGACGAGGCCACGTCTGCCCTTGATGCCGAGTCTGAAACTCTTGTGAACAGCGCCCTTGCGGCTCTCCTACGTGGCAACAATACAACGATCAGTATCGCCCACCGTCTTTCTACAATTAAGCGGTCTGACACAATTGTTGTTCTTGGGCCCGATGGCAAGGTAGCCGAGCAAGGCTCGTATGAAGAGCTTAGTGCTCGGCCGGATGGTGCCTTCACGAAATTGATGGAGTGGCAGATGAGTGGTGGTGATGTGTCGCAGCCACCAAGTGCTGCTCCCATCAGCCCAGAGACGGAAGAAAAGCTCTGGCAGATGGAGCAAGAGGAGTCCATGGAAGAGGATGTCGATGCTGATGAGTCTCAGGACGAGGAACTGCAAAAGAAGCGGTGATTTGGACCCTCTACGAAAGTTAAGCCGCACATACTCCATATATTCCCCATTCGCTTTTCTCCTCTCTCCCCTTTTCTTTGCATTCCCTTGTATGGACCATCTATAGATCTTTGTTATTTTACCTTTGTGCCTTCTATGTACTCTCTTCCCGATCAGATGGCTGGTATGTATGGAGCGATTTCTTGATGTATCTTTAACATTCGGTCTCCCTTGGGCGGATGAGATATTGTTGATATACCCGACAGCTAGAAAATGCTGAGATAGAGAGAATGCTACATCTCCGCTTATATTCTGTCATAATATCCATCATCTGGACCGTTGTATAGATGGTCACGATTATCGATAACGTGACCTCGGCTTATCAACGTCAGCTGATAACCATCGCTGTTCCACCTCCGCACGATCACAGGAACACCGCGACTTCCTGATCCCTACCTTCACTCCCTACTTTCGCCGTGTTGTCACTATGGACTGAATTGACTCTGCTTATCCCACTATACTACAAGACGGGGTATTCTGACACCATGGAGCGTATCCGGAGGTGGATCGCTTCACCCGCTCCGGCGGCATACGAGCCCATCGAGGAGGACGAGGACAATCGCATGCCTTCGCAGCGTCGACAGCTTTCGCAGTTCTCGAGATTTGAATATGCTGTCTTCTTCCTTCTTGGGATATCCATGCTGTGGGCTTGGTATGTCTACTGATCACCCCAAAGTAATGGACCCTCTAACCGTGGCTGATGAATCTCTAGGAATATGTTCCTCGCTGCTGCGCCGTACTTCTATAGCCGTTTTCACTCGGACGACTGGGCTGCAACTCATTACCAGCCCTTTATCCTCGCCGTATCGACGGTCACGAATCTGGGATCGTCGTTCATCCTCGCAAAGCTACAGAAAGGCGCCTCCCACCCGAAACGTATCATAATATCTCTGTTGATCAACATTGTTGTCTTCACGTTGCTGGCCTTTTCCACCGTCCTTCTAGGAGACATCTCCGTCAGAGCTTACTTCGCCTTTCTGATGTTCATGGTGTTTGGTGCTAGTCTTGCCACGGGCGTCAACCAGATCGGCGTGTTCGCCTATGTGTCGGGCTTCGGAAGAGAGGAATATACCCAGGCCATCATGGGGGGCCAAGGTGTGGCAGGTGTCCTGCCATGTATCGTTCAGATTCTCTCTGTACTCGCCGTGCCGGGCCAGAAGGAAGCACAGGACCTGCCGCAGCAATCGTCGAAATCAGCATTCATCTATTTCATTACGTCGACCGGGATGTCGTCTTTCGCGTTAATCGCGTTTCTTTCCCTGATGAAACGGCGTTCAAACGCGGAATACGAGTCCCTCGTTGCGCCGGACGATTTTTCGGCAGACCAGACCAACGATAAGTCTGTGGGTCTTTGGACTCTTTTCACTAAGCTCCGTCTTCCTGCTATTGCGATCTTCCTCTGCTTCACTATCACCATGACCTATCCTGTCTTCACGGCGGAGATAGAGTCCGTCCGAGCCGACTCCGACCGCTCCCGTCTGTTCCAGCAAGCGGTGTTTGTTCCGCTCGCTTTCTTCTTCTGGAACGCGGGAGACTTGACAGGGCGGATGCTTGTTCTAATCCCGGAGCTCTCGTTAGCCCACCGCCCCTGGGCATTGGTCATACTTGCAGTTGCTCGTCTGGGCTTCATCCCGCTCTACCTGCTCTGCAACATCCGTGGCCGCGGTGCTGTTGTCCACAGCGACTTCTTCTATCTTTTCATCGTGCAACTGTTCTTTGGTATCACCAACGGCTATCTGGGAAGCAGCTGCATGATGGGTGCCGGCCACTGGGTTTCAGAAGAGGAACGAGAGCCCGCCGGTGGGTTCATGAGCCTTATGCTTGTCGCGGGCCTGGCTGCTGGGAGTCTCCTCAGCTTTTTCGTTGTCGGCGCTTAGAGTCGTGCATTTACACCTAGAGTCTCTGGAGCATCATGTCACCTATAACGAGATTATGACATTATATACGGCGCATTACGGGACATTTATTGTATTAGGGTTCTCAATAAACGAGATCAATCACACATACGCATGTCAGGCCATGACAGCTCACTTGGGCTTCTCACTAACACCGAACTCAGATGGCGGAGTCGAGCCTACAGCAGGAGTAAGCCCTTCCACGATCAGTTCTCGCACGTCTGACGGCCCTGTGAAGCGTTTGCGGCCCGTGGTGAACCACGTCACCACGCTTAAAAGCCCGATCACTCCGATAGCGGCGGACGTGTAGTTCATGGATTCCTCGGTGACAGGGTAATCCGACGGGAAGTTGAAGGTGATGGACGCAAACAGCAGGAACACAAGACCGACTACATTGAGCGCCAGCGAGACGGGCATCGGGAGGGAATACGGGCTGTCAAAAGAACCAGACAGATGCCCGGAGACATATCCCAGCAGTCGGGAGAGCAACGGAAGCGCGTAAGAGACATCTAAAGAATCCGTCAGCAGACATCCAGCAATTCCGTAACCAAGCACCACTTACAGAATCCTGTTGTAGCGATGGAAATCACCGTCTCGAATCCAGTCACGGTACCGAAATAGATCGCACTGAGAGCGATCTGCACCGTTATCGAGACGAGAATCGCATACACCGGAATCTTTCGTCTCTCATGCACGGTAGCGAGTGTGCCTGAGAACGGCAGACCGTGGTCGCGTGCAAAGGCGTACAGAGACCGCGAGCCCTCGGCGAGCAAGCTCACCGACGCAACGACCGCGATGACGGTTATCATGCTGGCGAGGAAGCAGGCGGCGACTTTGCTATGTGTTGAGTCGTAGAATATCTGGATCACGGGCACGCCGGTGCTGGATGCGGCTGTCTCGTCGATATTGCCAATGCAAAAGCACAGGGTGACCAGGAAGACGAAGCCGGTCACGGCGCCAAGGACGACCGACAGGATGATGGCGCGGGGGGCGTCGCGCGAGGCGTGCGTCATCTCCTCGGTCATATGGCTGGGTGCGTCGTAGCAGCACATCCCGAAGAAGCTCTGCAGGATGCCGATGATGCAGGCCATTGCGCTGCCCCAGCCGGTGAAGTTCTGGAAGTCCTTGAAGACGAAGTCTGCGGGTTGTTTGTTGTCGTTGGTTGATAGGAGGGTGATGATGATGATCACGAAGCTGGTGATGTTCCAGAACAGGATAAAGCGAGTGAGACGGTTCAGAAGGTGAGGCATGAAGATATTCACGGCCAGGGCGACTAGCCCGACGAGCCAGGATACTAGAACGGTGTGCCATCTCTCGATTGTATAGGATGGGAAGACCAGGTTCGCCTGTCCGAGGATGAAGTTGGACGTGATGAAATTGTTGACGGCGCCCATTGCGAGGATACCTGGAGCGCGTTAGTGTGCTGGCTGAATGCTTTGGACAGTCTCCATCATACCTGTCAGCATGAACCACCCGGTGATGTAGGACATCTGTCGAGACACCCGTGGCGGTGCTAGTAGGGCGACCCACGAATACTGGCCTCCTGCGACGGGCCATCGAGAGCACATCTCGGCCATGGACAGGGCGATAGCCATTGTCACCGTGCATACTCCAATCCAGCCATAGATCATGACTGGGGGTCCTCCGGCGTTCACTCCAACGATGAAGACACCGCTTAGGGCAGTCCAGCTTCTGCATTGTTAGGGCTGTCCGATGTAGACGCTGACAGGAATGGGATGGCTCTCGCACCAGGTAACGATGCTGAAGCTGAAGCCGATCATATCAAGAAGACTGAAAGACCGCTTGAATTCTAGAGATCCGGCGTGATTAGCATAATGCAAACCTGCTCATTCCTACGTGGCTCACCCTGTTGATACCCCAATTGCTCGAGGGTCACATCCTCGTCGATCGTAGTTTCGAAGACATCGTGTCTCGCCATTTTGTGCGTATCCATGGCGGGATAGATACATAATGAGTAGGCGACTATTGCGCTACGAATCACCCCAGACTTTATACTTCAACTAAGTAACCGCGTATCTAGAGGATCGAGTTGATATTGCGCCACTGATAGGCATTTCTCCGAGCTTTATCAGGCCGGTTTAATCGGCACTTATCAGCGTCAAGGACAAGGGAGCCCAATCATAACGACCAGCATTTCGGACTGTCCGACAGGCAGAATTTCCCTTGCATTCATCGAGACATGTACAGTATGTAGTACAACTCTTCGTCAACTGGCTCTGCACGTGACGCTGACCTGCATGCAGTGCAAGAATCCGCTATATAACCAAGATGCTCCCCGGACTGTGCCACCGACATCCAGATCACATCGCCCATGGCTAACCTAGAAAGCCTATTGGAACGGGGTCCGGTCGTCCTCGGAGGATTTTTGCTGGTATTGATTGCATTCTGCGTCTGCAAATCCATCTACCGGGTGTACTTCCACCCGCTGTCCCACGTCCCCGGACCAAAGCTCGCCGCCGCCACATCGTTATGGCTGGCCTACCACACCTTTATCGGAGACGAATGCACCACTGTCTCTGAACTACACAAGCGATATGGCCCTGTGCTCCGTGTCGCCCCCAACGACATTGACATTGCCGACGGGGAAGCCATCGAGCCGATATATCTCGCTCATGGTGGGTTTCCCAAGACACGGGCGTACTCTAAATTCGACATCGACGGCCATACGACCATATTCTCCTCGTTGACGCTGTCCGAACGGGCCACTCGCGCCAAAGCCGTCGCCCCGCTGTTTTCGACCGCGTCGATCCGCCAGTCTGAGCAGGCGCTCGGGGTCGTGTTCGATGACTTTGTCGCTCGGACGCGGCGGGAGGCGCAGACTGGGCGTCCGGTTAATGTGCTTAATGCCACGCGGTGCATGGCTATCGACGCGGTCAGCATGTACTTGTTCCAGAAGCGGTACGGCGCTATCGACGAGGGTTCGAAGACCATGTCCGCGTCGCCGTTTGTAGATGCGTACGTGGGCGTCGGGGCGTTCTTCAACCTCGCACATGGCAAGATCAGCGACGCCCTGATGAGATTTATTGATCGCTGGAATACGACGCAGGCGACGGAGACGGCGTTTCAGTTGATGGATGCTTATACAAGTCAGCTCGTGAAGACGGCAGTCCCGAAAAGTGGCAGCTACCAGAGCCGTCTCTTGGAGAGGGAGATCTCCGAGGAGTTGTCGCAAATCGAGCTCAAAGACGTGTGTTTTGCGGGCACAGATTCGACGGGTATGAATATGGCGACGATCATGTGGAATCTTGCAAAGCACCCTGACGTGTGAGTGCACTCTCACCTTGGAACTTGGTTTTGCTCGCTGACGAATCCCAGATATGCCCGTCTCCGACAAGAACTTCAAGACAGTGCAGCACGCGACGAAGACTTGACATCATGTGCTTACCTCCGCGGTGTTGTCAGGGAGGCGCTCCGACTATCGTGGGCAAACCCGACGCGTCTTCCCCGGGCCGTGCCCTCCGGAGGTTGGAGGTTCAAGGACTACTTCTTTCCGGCTGGAACGAGTGTCGGAGTGGCCGGTTTCCAGCTACATCAGGATGAAGAGGTATTCCCAGAGGCGCAACGGTTCAGACCTGAGCGATGGCTGCAGCCTACGGATGCGATGCTCAACAATTTCTTTGCGTTCGGAAAGGGTACAAGAGCATGCATTGCACAGAATTTGGGGACGGCTGAGCTCGTCTGGGCAACTATCAAGGTCGTTCAGGCGGATTTGCTGCGAGGGGCTAGGATTGTTGACAAAGAGATCCAGATACTGGAGTGGTTTAATTCGAGGGTGAAAGGGGAGAAGATCTTGATCCAGTTTGATGTTCAGAGTTAGGTTGTGCAATGAGTGAATCCAAGAGCTACAGAGCGATTTGCAGTGAATTGCCTGTATTATATTATTACTCTTGTGATCCGAAGAGTGTGTTATCGATATATGTCTGGATCTGCCCACTTCCGCCTCCCGAGCTGGGTCGACCCCAGACGTCTCCTGCGCCGATAGACTGTATCGTATGTTCGAGGTAGAAGAGAGGGAGGCTGGTCGTTTGTTGGAGGCGGCGGCGGCGACGGCTCCGGTGTGCTGTGACGTTTTGGTTTAACGAGTAATAGGATGAACATGCCCGCGACTAGAATGACCAACAGGAGAAGAATCTTCCGTTTTACCGTGCGCCGTTGGTAGTTTGTTGCCTGGCGTGTTCAGTGAGCCTGGGACCAGATAGAGTGCTTAATGCAGGTGCAACTTACGACTTTGAGTTCCTTGTCGGCGGCCTTGACCTCCGTGCCCATTCGCTCCACGTTGTAGTCTATTCGATCCAGCATGGTCCCTTGATCGATCACCATAGCCTGTAGCTCACGGAAAATGTCTGATAGCTCAATGATGCCCTTGGCGATATCGTTGATCTCTCTCTCGCGTTGCATAATGGCAGCATCGTTCTGACCTGTAACGAGCCGCTGCGACGTTTGCATCAGAGTTGTTTGTGAGAACGATTTATCCGCATCCGATTCCATCAGCGAAGGGTCCGTATAAGGGTTCTGTACAGGCGTGGGGGAGCGGTCGAACGACGGTGCGGAGCCCTCGAGTCCTCGCAACTCTACAAAGGATTGTGTTAGCTGAACAATTCGCCGAGATAACCCACCGGATAATCTCACTTTTCAAGTAGGTACTCTGTTTCTTCCGAAATCGGGCACTCGCCTCTTGGACCCGAGATGCTAGCGATATTTGGATGTTCTTTGCCATGGTTTCATCGCCGCTGCTCACTCCGCCCTGTTGCTTGGCCTCGCGCACCATGACCTCGATCTTCTGGACCGCCTTCTGACACTGGTGAAACCCACGAGTGACCTCCTGGGTGAGTCGCTCGATGACATGTTCCTCTTGTTTCCGGGCGTCTTCATCTCCGAATCCCGGGAGAAGATGCTTGTGATGCAGCTTGTCCAGTTGCGCAGACTTCTGCGCAATGTCCGCTAGCAGCTCCGTCACCTCTTCCTGGACATCAACCCACCGCGGGGGCAAGATATCCATCTCAATGATTGCGTCTCCATCGTCGTCAAACCCTCCGGACTCCGAGATGAGTCTTCTGCTTTCTTCGGAGGGAGCGAGCGGGTCGGAGAAGCCGTTATAACGTGGCTTCTTGGCGGGATGGTGGGTGAACGACTGGCGGTAGGAGATGTAGCTGTAGAAGAACGGATGGTGAGTTTCATGTCTGTGAGAGGAGTTGTCTGGGTCGAGGTAGAGCTTACAGGTTGGTGCGATCCCGCCACATGGTGACTGGGGTTGGATGGTGGTTGATGATGTTCCAGCGGAGTCTAGGTCGTGGAGATGTTCATCATTGGTTGGGGTGGAGGCTGAAGAGCTAGGCGCGGTCGAAGTTGGAGGAGCTAGCACACCGTTGCTGGAGAATAGGAGGGAGAGACAGACTAGAGAGCAGAATTGAAGAGAAAGAAGATGGAGTAGAGGACGGAATGTACTGGGGAAGCCTTATCGAACGGGCTACACTTACCTTCCCCAGCCACGTGAAGGGGTGGCCGGCCCCCTTGGGACTAGCGCCATCCGTCCGTGGTTGTTCCATCTTTACTACTATGACGACGGAGTATATCTGTATAGTATTCTTCTACCCCGTGATCCAGTCAGTATACCTTAGACTATCTATGTTATATCATTTTCTTCATATTGTTCTTCCCATCTTAGACTTCTGCGAGAATCGGTTCGCCAAACCCTAGACTCCAATGTGTCCGATGTAACTGACTGCAGGTTCATGCAGAGAGCTCAAGACTCCAAATACTTACATGCCCCATCCTATTCAGGTCCATGGACCCTGAAGCCCATCCACTTCCTACAAACGTGGATGTAGAGTGGATGCTTTCTCCATCGCATCCTCCGGGATCATATCATACCGGATGGCGGCACCCCAATCATAAGTCATACGCTAATCAATAGCTAAACGATACGGAAAGACGCTTAAAGTCACTAAGGTACACACACACCAGAGACGGGTGGCCTCAAGCTTTCTTTCATTCGTCATGGTGCCGGGATCCACGAGTTGTCGTCAGCCCTAAACCCGGGCTTGTCCAACAGGCACATTCAGCCTTTTGGCGATGATGAGCTGTTCTCAAGTAAAGGACGATCGGGCTTGTTTCCACTATGCCTTGGGCGATCGTAGCATTAGTAGTCCTAAAAAAAAAAATCATAACCTTGATAAAAATAATAATATACCAAGGCTACCGTGTTAAGAGTGGCTTTCTTCCACGCGGCTGAAGAGACCAACGTTGGGTCACGATGCCCGGCAATACGTCACCGCCCAGTAGTCCAGGGCCAACGATTCGTGGAGGGGACGGTACAGACGGTATGGTCTGGTAACCACCCACGTTTCCCCTTAACCTCCTCTTCCCCCTCCGACAACCTACCTAAACATCGCGGCTCTCCTGCTCGACCTTCTCGCTCCATCTCCGTCCTTTCGTATCCTCCTCCACTTTCTTCCTCCCTTCCACTCACCCTCTTTCTCTCCACATCCAACTCCCTTTCCATACTCCCTTCTCCAGACACATTCATCATGGTACGCGTCTTGCCTTCCTTGCAGGCCGACTCCTGTTGGCAAACCCCCGCTTTGCGGGGCAGATCTGCTTGCCATTCTGAGTGGAAGAACTAACATTGCGCTCGCTAGGCCGACTCTTTGACTGAAGAACAGGTCTCCGAATACAAGGAGGCCTTCTCCCTCTTCGTATGTCTTGACTTACCCCTCTTCCCTGAATGGACCATCTCTCCGTGTTCCAGGCTCGTTTTCCGAAACACAAGCTAACTGGGATTCTCCTCTGTTTTAGGACAAGGATGGTGATGGTTAGTGCAATTTCCCGCTCCGATTGCCTCATGCGACCGATCGATTGCATCGTTCTATGTCGAATCTCGAGTCTTGACTTTATCTTCTGTTATGGTCGATCATTTAACACCATGTAGGCCAGATCACCACCAAGGAGCTGGGAACCGTCATGCGCTCGCTGGGCCAGAACCCCTCCGAGTCGGAGCTCCAGGACATGATCAACGAGGTTGATGCTGACAACAACGGCACCATTGACTTCCCTGGTACGTTCCGTTCTACACGAGTCGCTGGAACCAGTTGTTGACATTTCCTTGAACAGAGTTCCTCACGATGATGGCCCGCAAGATGAAAGACACCGACTCCGAGGAGGAAATCCGGGAAGCTTTCAAGGTCTTTGACCGCGATAACAACGGTTTCATCTCCGCCGCCGAGCTGCGCCATGTGATGACCTCCATCGGCGAGAAGCTCACCGACGACGAAGTGGATGAGATGATCCGCGAGGCGGACCAGGATGGTGATGGCCGGATCGACTGTACGAGCTCCTTTTCTCCATCCATCCCTGTTACATGACTGACTGCCTTCTAGACAACGAGTTTGTCCAGCTGATGATGCAAAAATAAACCCGCCCTCGTGTTTTCTTCGTCGCGTGCGTTAGTGAAAGGTTGGGAGCAATGAATATATTATGTTATCTCCTATATCCATCGTGTCTGTAGTCTACTCTCGCTTGACTGCACCTGTGTGTGCCTGTTCCGACGTTTGTGTTTTGGTTTGTTTCTTCATGTCGGCAGAGGAGAGCCGAGCCATAAACGTGGACCGAGTGAGTCGACGCGTCCCGTATCTTTCTGCTCGGAACATCGCTCCGCATTTGGGTTCTCATTCACCCTTTGCTTTCTTGGTCCCATTGCTCGTATTCCTCATTCTTCCTTCGCGCTTCTCAATGTGTCTAGCCCTCGTCCATTGATTCCAGGTAGAATGCTTGGCCGTCGATGATGAAATCAATTCAATGTCTTTCACCAGACTTCATTGCTATGTCCATGCGCCCAATCCTATACCGTTAAATGCAGATGCAAACCCGTCCCCTACCGATTGAATCGGAAGATCTCCATAAACTGCCTTGCCACATCTACGCCCGCGTCTGGATCAGGGTCCTCCTCAGGCTGAGGCTCCGTCGCACCAGTAACTCCGAGAGACTGCTTCCCCTGCACCTGCAACCGTCGTAGCTGCGCCTTAACCTCCTTCCCAACATCCGGCACGAGAATCGCCTCTCGCGCCCCTTCAATCCCCAAACGACCCCAGAACTCCCGAATCAACGCCGCGACCGCCGCATACTCCGCATCGACATCCGCCTCTGCAATCCCCTCGGGCAAGAACATGACGTCGATCCCGGAATCATCATCAGCGTCAGCACCTTCACCAGACTCGGGCGCATTGCCCGCATGCTGTCGGTGGAGAAACTGCGCAGCGATGGCGGCCGCAAGCGTCGGACCGCGCCATTCCACCTCGACGACGGTGCCGCGGACCCGCGCTGTCGGGGCCGTCTGACGCACGTCGCCGACGCGCACGCGGAAATCGCCCACGTCGTAGACCATCCCGCTGGGCACGGTCACCGTGTGCCGATGGCACCAGAAGGGCTGGCAGGCGTAGACGAAGTGCTGGAAGAGCGTGCTGCAGGAGGGGAGCGGGACGGTCGTCATGACCATTGCGGGGGAGGGTGGTTGCTGCTGGGATGGGGTTGGTGTGGGTTGTGCTGGGGTGGTCACTGCGCCTGGATGCTGTTGATGCTGGTGGTGGGCTGTCGTTTGGTCGGGCTGGGAGGTGTAGATGAAGCCGTGGTTGGGGTAATAGGTTAGAGAGAGGAATTGCATGTATCGCGGCTGCGTGGGCCGTTGCGATGCGGATGCGGGTAGACATGAGGGCGTGTCGCGCATCAGCTTGTGTTCTAGGGCCCAGCGGCCGATGGGCGTGGGCTCATCGGATAGCCTGGAGTGGAGGCGCTCTGTTACTGTGGACAGAGCTGTAGAGGCGTTGGGGTTGGAGGGGATGAAGAAGACGCTGGGGTGGTCAGTATGAGGTGGTATGGGTGGGGGAGGGATGTACCCTGTGATAGGCATTGTGCTGTTGTTGGAAAGTGACGCTGCTGATAGTCAAGATGAAATATAGTCTGGAATGAATGGAGTCGGTTTTCTTAGAAGATTGATATTGACTATGAGATGGGTTGAGTAGGTTGGTATATGAGTAGTGTTGGATCTGGAGGTGGTTAGTGACCTGTGGGTAGAATTCAATGGGCAAGGAGTAACAATTACCGTCTATCAAGTACTTTACAGATCCTGAATTGGTTCGAATAGTCAAAGAGGAGTATACAAATAGCCTATACAATATGATATCGATGATGGCGCATTCTTTGATTGCCAAACTGGGAAGCTGAGGTTGTGATGCAAACATTGCAAACTAACCAGTCCCTGATTACTCATCCCCACACTCTTATTGCGACTCACCAACACATATTCTTCCACCCAATCCCCCCAACGCTGCTTCATTTTACTTCCATCTCACTTCTTCCCAAATATATTTCAATTGCTCTTTCTGTTCATTTGCGTCCTCCAGAGTACAAGGACCGCTGGATACCCTGCCCGACATACGGACCCTTCCCGACTCATATACTTGCCGTTGTGCCAAGGAGCGATGAAAGAGGCTGAGACCAGTCCGAAGCCCCTTAACCTCTAGAGCCAGTTAGGCCCCGGCGTCAGGTTAAGAATAGTAAGGGAAATACCCACCAGAGCCCAGACTAAACTTACCTCTCCTCGATCTCCAGGCGCTCAGGGTCCCGAGGGACCACCCGATTACGCAATGCACTGGTCCATTCTATACACCACCAATAATCGGCTGCCTTGTTCGACGGTCTGAACCGCACACCACGCGAATCTCGCCCTTTTCTCCATCATCGGCATGCCAATCATTACCGGGCAGGTTTCATTTGACGGCCAGCCCGTTGATGGGACATTCCCAAGAATCTCTCACCATGCTTACTGCCAATCAACGTGACGGAATCGACTCGTCATTCGGCGATCACCGGGGCGCATTGATGCTGTCTCTCCACAAGCATGGGGTGCTGTTCTGGCCTTGATTGCCCCTTGCTGCGGGTTGTCACCGCGACCTGCAATGTGAGACTCCTCAATTCTTTATGATCTTTCCTTCTAGCATTCGAGCGCTCAACCAACCTCCAATTTCGTTACGAGCATGCTGAATTGTCATTCTTTCAACTTTTCTCTTTCGTCAGCTTAAGCTTTGGAGCTTTTGGAGCTCTGTCCCCTCACTCTGGGGCTTATCAACCCTACATCACACGATCTCTCCTTCTTCACGCCAACCATGCTTTGCGTGCGCAAGAGCTATGCCATCCCAACTGTCATCCTAATTTGTCTGACGTACTTTCTTTTCGCAAGTCTACCGCCCGGTGCGGGACAAACGTCGCTGGAAGACGTCGCAGACCTCACAGAATTCTACAACACCAAAGATCAGGCTGGCGATGGCCGCCTTCACTTCATTAAACACTCCGAGAAACACCCCGTCTCCAAATACATTCCTCTCCCGAGCGGCTCTCCGTCCCCCATTCCTCGCATTCAGAGCGAATTTCCCGCAGAATCATGGTGGACACGAAGGACAAGGGTGAAGCGACAAGAGGCCGTCAAGGCGGCCTTTAAACATGCGTGGCAGGGTTATAGAAATCATGCTTGGATGCATGATGAGCTTTCACCTCTCAGTGGAGGAACCCGCGAATCATTTGCTGGCTGGGCCGCTACGTTGGTCGACTCTCTCGATTCACTTGTTATCATGGGGTTGATGGACGAGTTTGAGGAGGCGTTGGAAGCCATTGAACACATTGATTTCTCGACGACCCACGCCACCCAAATCAATATCTTCGAGACGACTATCCGCTACCTGGGAGGATTCCTTGGTGCTTATGATCTGACCAATGGCACATACCCTATCCTGCTGAAGAAGGCGACGGAAATTGCGGATATGATATATGCTTCGTTCGACACGGACAACAGAATGCCCCAGTCTCGATGGGACTGGACTAGGTTCGCTCCCGCCTCCGCTTAGGAAGCCCTGAGTCTCCGTGCTAATGGGTTTGTAGATCCGCAGAAGGCCTCAACATCCATCCCAGCAAGAACACGATCCTAGCCGAACTGGGATCTCTCAATTTGGAGTTTACCCGAATGACACAATTGACCGGTGACCCGAAGTACTTCGATGCCGTCCAGAGAATCACCGATCTTCTTGAGGAGTCCCAGAAGAAAACTAGAATGCCGGGGTTATGGCCTTTGATGGTCAACGCCGAAGATATGACTTTTCCGGATCCGCGCTTCTCGGTTGGTGGCATGGCCGATTCGACATACGAGTACCTTCCGAAGGAACACATGTTACTGGGAGCGCAAACGAAGCAGTACCGTAAGATGTACGATGCTGCAATGGACCCGATCAAGAAGCGGCTGCTGTTCCGCGCAATGACAAAGGATAAAAAGGACGTGTACTTTGCAGGAAACATGCGCGCCCAGTTCACCTACAGCAGAGAGACCCTAGAGCCTCAGGTAGAACACTTGAAGTGCTTCCTGGGAGGCACAGTCGGCATCGGGGCCAAGGTGTTCGACCGCCCTGATGAGTTGTCTATTGCGCGGAAACTCACCGATGGTTGCATCTGGGCATACGACATTATGCCCACGGGGATCATGCCAGAGATCATGTATGTCAGCCCATGCAAGGACCTGGACAACTGCGAGTGGGACGAGGAGCAGTGGTACAAGGACATCCTCAAGCGGTCGGCCAAGGCAGCACAGGAGGAGGATCCTTATTCCGAGGCCAAAGAATTCATCAAGCGACGGGGGCTTCCGCCTGGTGTTACCCAGATTACTGATGCGCAGTACAAATTGAGGTATGGCAGGCCGAGTATCTTTTGCGAATAATTGGCTAATATTGCCTAGGCCCGAGGCTATCGAGTCCGTCTTTATCATGTATCGCATCACAGGCGATAAGGAGTTGCAGGACGCTGCGTGGCGTATGTTCAGCAACATCGAGAAGATCACTCGATCCGAGTATGGACACGCGGCTATTGACGACGTCCGGAACCCCAAGTCCCCTCAGCTGGACTATATGGAGAGCTTCTGGTTGGCGGAGACTCTGAAGTATTTCTACCTCACCTTCTCGGAGCCCGATCTCGTGAGCTTGGATGAATACGTATTGTACGTCGATCGCGTTTGACACCCTTGATGTTGAGATACTAACGGTTGATATAGGAATACCGAGGCTCACCCATTCAAGCGCCCGACAGCTTAGATGGGATGTGTGGTCGTTTTTCTGGCGCCTGGAGTTGCACATCGTTACGGTGGTTCCAATTTGGATACTGAATTAGGGCGCGGAACCAGGGGTATCCGCTCTAGATTCTCTAGATTTCATATATAGTATAATACACTACCTTGTATCCAAGGCTGTCCGCTGTACAGTGCATAACCATCCGGACACGACGCAAAACTCAGGGCCGCTGATCCAGATAGCGGTCCCAGTATTCCGTCTCACTCGGAACGTCCCCTTCCGACTTCTTCCGCTTATACTCAACCGAATACTGTACATCCTTCCGGATAAACATCTTCTGACTGCCATCACTCCCAGCACTGCGCGACCCGCCTCGCTCCACAAGCTCGATCGCATCGTCCTGCGCCCGTCCCGGCCGGGTCGCAGCACCCCCCGGCGCAGACTCCTCACTGCGCAGCCGCGCATGCGTCTTGAGGCGCTTCTCCGCGCGCAGGGCACTCCACATCCGCTTCTCCTCCTGCTCCGCCACCGTCGCCGTCGCGGGCGTCCCCGTCCCGGATCCAGACCCAGACCCGGTCTTCGCATTGCTCCCGTCCTTGGGCGTGCGCGAGGCGCGCGTACTCTCGAGGTTTGAGTCGCCCGCCGTGCCGTAGTTGGTGCTGACGGCGGCCATGAAGGGGCGCAGCACGAAGACGCTGCAGGTGACGAGGGCGTAGTTGAGCTCGACCTGCGACCAGATCGTCGGGCCGACGGCCGAGAGCGTGGGGTCTGTTTCGTAATAGTTTTTATTGAGGGTGTAGACGTTGAAGATGGAGAAGAGGATGAGACTGGCCTGTTAGTATCGTCTGCGGGGGTGCGGGTCGATGCTACGTACGGGAGTCGGCAGAAGAAGGCGAAGCCGATGGTGAGTTTCTTCTTGAGCGGCATGAAGAGGCCGGCGAGGAGGACGACGGCGAGCCCGAAGAGGATGAGTTCGGTCATGATGTCCATGGAGACGATGAACTCCCATCGTACGAGCTGCGCGTATACGTCGGATAGGTTAGATGGTGGGATATAGCTGCGGGGAGAGGGGTGAGGGAGACGTACGAAGTTGCTGCATTGCACGCCCTCGGCTGTCCAGGGCCGGTTGAACTCGCAGTTGATGGCGACCATGCAGACGGCCGTGAGGGCCCACGCGGTGCAGAGGACCAGCGTGGCCCACGAGGCGCGGTTGTGCCATTTCTGCGGCGTGAGGCGCAGGTGGATGCCCACGACGCAGCACTTGGAGACGTAGACGGTGATGATGTAGAGGAGGTCGCTGACGGTGACGAGCTGATCAGTCAGAAGGGTAGGTCGTTGCGGCTTCTAGGGGTTGCTCGTACCGTTTGGATCTTGTCTAGGAGCGCGTGGTCTACCAAGGTGATGGAGGTGCCGAAGCCGAGCGACACGGCGCCGAAGATTAAGGATGATTGTATGATTGCGACGATCTGCGCGGCGTCAGTAACTGGGTGATGCTGGGCGGATGGGGGTTCGCACCGTCGCTCCCAACAGGACAAAGTCGTCGACCGCAAAGGGCGGGTTCAGGACGAGACGCACGTACAGCCGGATCAGGAAGCTGACCAGCGAAATGACCAGCCCCAAGGCGGCGGTGATGATAATCCAGGCGCCGTGGTGCTTGTCGTCGACCACCTGGAACGGCGGCGAATACCCCGGGGGTACATGAGAGCCGTTCATGACCGCCCCAGGACGACTCGACCGAAGGGATGCAACAGAGGATAAATACGTGTCTATCGCATCAGCGCCGACGGTGCAGTTTTATCTCACCCGGGGGCCTCCATGGTCTGTAGTCAGAACGCGGGTTGACTGAGAGGCTTACTTTTTTTCCCCCTCCGGTTGTTTTGGGAACAGTGCTGGGCTTCTTATTCGAGACTAGTCGGAGGTGACCTCGAGAGTTCACAGGCAGGCATGAAACATGCGAGCGTGACACCCTTGGAGGGGATTATCATGGCTGACAGCATTGTGCTCTCCAGGGATCGACTGCAGGCAGGATGATCGACGACGCCAATCAGCACGGCGCGAGAGCTGCGATGGACGTCAGTTCCCTGCCCCGTTCGAGCCTAAAGCGCATGGGCAGAATGCATCCCATGTGGGAGGTTGTACTCGGTGGTGACGCGAGGGGGCGCAAGTGCGCGGTATGCTCGTGCTCATTCTCTCGTACGTACAACATACTCCAGCAAGGGCCGATCCATCTCCAAGGGGAAGGGCGACGACGGATCTCGCACATGGCATGGCAACCGACACCGCCAGCTCGTGATCGATCATCGATCTGAATTTTGAGCCTGCGTGGGCGGCCGGTGGTCATCCTGGGCGTCTGACCGACAGCGCTGCAGATCCAATCTGCTTGGGACGGAGGGTGACACAAGAGCAATAATGATGGCCCCATTGGCAAACAATGCGTGGGAAGTTTGACTTTGCCGCTGATTCTCTCCAGTCTCGTCCGCGGACTCCCGGGGATGGATGATAATGGATGATGATGATGATGCTCTTCACAGCACATTGCACCAGGCAACATTCCAGTCCCCCTTGAATGGGCGATGGATTCTCCTTTGTGGTGTGGAAGACGGTGTCATGCAAGGCGCTCGGGGGAGGCCCAGAATTAACTCCACCAAAAAGCAAGTCACCGACAATCATTGTCATCGTCATCCCACGGCGTACGTTGCACTTTGGCATAGTTACCCCATGCAGGGATGGTGCTGGCCGTGCTTTTCCTTTCAAAGGCGGTTTTCCCGCTGGAGCCGTTGCTTCTTGCGCCGTGGTGGTTCTTCACCGCAGACGGTTTATTAACAGTCTCACCTTGCAGGAGGTCTGCTGCATTTTTGCTTCTTTTCAGCGTCCATCATTTCTGCCTAGGCAGGTACTTCGATGATTTATGATTTCGTGTATGTCTCATGGGCGGGGTCGTGGTCATTTGTTATGTGCCTGTCTGATTGTCCGTTCAGATAAGGCTCTTCTCACGGCTGATCATGGCATCGCACGACGGGCAGCTCACCGGCAAAACAGAGGCCCAGGTATGGGTCGATGACAATGCCATGGCGGGCTGTGGCCGGAAAGGGCTTGTCGCTCCGAAATACATGGGGACGGTGGCGGACCAGCGTGACATGAGCGTTCTAGGACGCGTGCAAGTGCTGAGGGTTCGTCGCTCCCATCGCGAGACAGTCTCATTCTAATCGTGCAGAGAAATTTCCGGTTTGTCTCGATTCTCGGGTTTGGATGCACGCTGATTGCCACGTGGGAGGTCATTTTGACGTACGTGTTTGATGCCCATGTGGCACGGGTTCACGATTTGACTGACAAGACAGACTGCTGAGCTCCGGTTTGACTGATGGTGGCACTGCTGGATTGATCTGGGGATTCATCATCGTGTCGGCCGGGTTTACTCTTGTGTTTGCCAGCATTGCTGAAATGGCTTCCATGCAAGTTCCCCGAAGCGGCGTCCTCTATTGTGCTAACGATGCAAAGGGCTCCAACGTCCGGGGGACAGTATCACTGGGTGTCGGAATTTGCGCCGCGTAGCTGCCAGAGATTCCTGAGCTATATTACTGGTATGATTGATGCACTCTGTCGAATACGCCCACTGACCATGCCAGGTTGGCTCTGCGCAATGGGATGGCAATGCGCCATCGTGTCAATTGCGTTTCTCGTCGGGACTATCATTCAAGGTCTCATCGTGCTCAATGATCCATCGTATGAGTTTCAGAGATGGCATGGGACCCTCCTTGTCATCGCAATCACGACCTTCTCCATTCTGTTCAACACCTTTCTGGCGAAGAATCTGCCCATGGTGGAAGCTCTGATCCTCATCTTGCATGTAGTTGGACTGTTTGCGATCATCATTCCTCTGTGGGTGCTTTCGCCTAGGAATAATGCCAAGGCTGTGTTTACCGAATTCTACAACGGAGGTGGATGGAATAGCGATGGTGTTGCGACTCTGGTCGGACTGTCGACAACCATCACCTCGATGATCGGATACGATTGCTCTGTGCATATGTGTGAGTGATGTTGCCTTGGTACTCACTGCGAGAATGCTGACTTGAATAAGCCGAAGAGATCAAAGATGCATCCGAGACCCTTCCGATGGCCATCATGGCTGCCGTCGGTGTGAACGGTGTCCTCGGGTTCATCATGATCATCACGATATGCTTTACGCTCGGCGATGTCAATGACATTCTCAGCACTCCAACGGGCTACCCCTTCATCCAGGTCTTCTACAACGTCACCCAGAACTATGCAGCAGCCAACACCATGACTGCGATTCTAGTAGTGACCCTGACCGCCAGCACCATCACGGAGGTAGCAACCGCCTCCCGGCAGATTTGGTCCTTTGCCAGAGACCGGGGCCTTCCGTTCTCTTCCTTCTTTGCCTACGTAAGCCGCTGTTACTGGACTATGTGGTGATGTATCTATGAAAGCTAATATCACTAGGTGACTCCTGGATGGAACATACCTTTAAACTCCGTCATGGTTTCGCTCGCCGTGACCATACTGCTCTCACTGATCAACATCGGCTCCCAAGTAGCCCTGACGGCCATCATCTCCCTGACAATCACGTCGTTGATGTCTGCATACATTCTTTCCATCGGCTGTGTTCTTCTCAAACGCATACGAGGGGAGCCGCTACCCCCGCGACGGTGGTCTCTGGGGTGCTTTGGCATGGCTATCAACATCGCAGCGCTGGCATTCCTGTTTCCCATTTTTGTCTTTGCGTTCTTCCCCCTCACCAGCAAAGTCAACAAGCAGACGATGAACTGGAGCGTCGTCATGTACGGCGGTGTCATCACGTTTGCCTCGGTTTATTACTGGCTGCGGGGACGGCACCAATTCATCGCGCCGGTGGCTTTGGTGAAGAGAGAAGGGTAGGATCGTGAGGTCGCAAGTGATGGTGTTAAGTTTGTATTATGCTGTAAATTATTCGCAGGCCAGAACATATGATTAGCTTCAATGTAGCTCGGAGCACTCTCAACGCAGGTAAATATAACCTCCACGTCGTCAGGTTGACTTCTGAATAATTATACCTCTTGAAGGTAGTGGATAGAAGATAGTTACTAGGAAGGCGGTTTCTTTGGCAAGCTTTTTACGTTGACACAGATCCTATAGAAAGGACAGAACAACTAATTGTGGTAAACTAGTTCATCATATTGAAAGCTGTGGCACTACAACCCATCAACGACATTCAACTACCCACACCCGCTACGCAGTAACATTCAGTCAAGAGAGTCGAGCCCTTCGTCAGAGCTCCTACCGCGCGTGCAACATGTCCAGCAATTCTACACTTTCAGCCAAAGCTAATAAATGAAGTGATGCGCATGAGACTTACGCCATATCTATATGGAAACTAACCCTAGTCAGCCGCGGTCTATACATCAGAGTAGGACATAGCTTACCCAACGGCGGGGGCAGGACGGTCTATTGCGCCAACAGACACGGTAGCAGGGCATCTGCGCCACCTCGCTGCTCGCTGGGGAGGCATAGACATGTGAGCTCATGAGGCTCAGGAGAACGAAAGATGGTGTAAGTTGCATGTTGATGTTTCGACAAGCGACGGAAGACGTATCCTAGGGCGTAGGCTTGATCGCTCATAGTGTGATTCATTATTATAGGCAAGCCGGTGACTTTCGTCATATCGGTTCTTTTGGTTTCTTGTGCCGCTTGGTGGCTCAATATAAAACTACCCGGGAGTTATTCGGTACTTCGAAGTCTTCAAGATATATGCTCGATGGTATTCATGCGGGTGTAGCTATGATAAGGCTACGCATAATCAGAGAGAGATTTTCGATAACATTCCCATGCCAAATGACCTATTGATAGTTATTGCAGCGTCTTCTTGGACTGTCAACATAGTCAATGTCTATATCTGTTGACAGCATGTCCAGCAAGCCTGGAATCTCTTAGCAAGAACAAATCCAAAGACACTAGAATGCAAGGGATATGGCTTACACCATCTTGTCTTGGATACTGCAGATCAATTAGTCTAGGCCAACCGAGAGATTGGGGCTCAACTTACCCATCCAGGTGCGCAGTCCGGTCTCTCAGGATAGCAGACTCGCTGGCACCTCTCCACCCTGGGCTTCATTTCTGATGGAGTGGAATACACTAGGGGTGCCATGGTGAGAGACAGGACGGCGTACAACGTGAATTGCATTTTTCTCGCTATAACCAGGACTTTCAATTGATGATGAGTTGTTGCTCAGATGCGTGATTCAAGGGAGGAGAGAAATGAGCCGCCCATTTATATACGATGCTCTAGAATAATATGAGTTTACAGGGCCTACAAGGAATGTGCTGGCACGTTAGAAACAAGTGTCAGCTTACGGCTCTGTGTAACTAGAGAATAGTAGAATCGCTATCGTATACATCACGAGGAGGTGCAAATGGCTGACGGAACATTCTTAAGACGGTCGTGTTTTTATCCGTAAGTAAGGGCTGCACGACCGTGTATATAGTACAGGTTTCCTCGCTCACACAAAGCGATTGATGGCTTGACATCAGTAGACACAGACAAAATAGCACTGTGGCGCCACTGCATTTCTCGAAATATACAAACCCCGCCATAAAGTAGTTGTAGTGTAGTAATAAGCGCCTGACGTAATAATGACTAGAAAGGAAGAAAAGTCAGGCAACCAACGCATGATGTTCCGGTTCTCCTAGGATATAATTCGCACGGCCACATCTGCGACCGAACAGAAGGTATACATCGGAGAATTATTCTACACAGCGACTTACTTCACCAGCCTGAAGATGATCGACCATGTTGCTATATTTGTCCCCAAAGGTCAGCTCGGAACCATAGCTGACTGGTACAATAAGGCCCTGAGGCCATTGCACTACCGCGAAATTATGCGTCGCCCAGGAGCAGTCGGACTAGGCCACGAAGGTATCGAGCTCTGGATAACAGAGTGTGAGGACACCTCTGCACCAAAAGCGCATATTGCTCTGAGAGCGCCCGGTACGTCTAACGAGCTCAGACAGAGTGTTCGAATCCTCGTCGCTGATGCTTTCCGATCATGGACAGATCATGCTGCCGTCAATGAGTTCCATAACGCCGCGGTCGCGGCCGACGGGGTGTGCAATGGAGCTCCTGGGATCCGCTCCGCGTATAACGAGAGCTACTACGCAGCATTTGTTCTAGACCCGCTCGGAAACAACATCGAGGTGGTAGGTGTTCACTGCAGGGTTGGACGAGCCTCAGGCTGACATGGCAGGTTGACCAATGCTCGCACGAGGAGGAGTACCGGTAGCGTGTCATTTGACAGGTTGCTTTTGAAGTGGTGTGACCTTGATCAACGGAATATGGGACCGGTTGCATTGAATCAGTAAAAGAGATGCTGGTTCCGTGGTTCTGATATAGATTTGGTTGGTTCATACATCATCCAACCGATGTATGGTTCTGCGGTGGCGGCACATACCAACCAACGGCTGCCCGCCCCGACGTATTTGCATCGTCAGTATATCAAAGTGACTTTGAATGTTTAAGATGCAAGAGTGTACGATAGATTGTAGATCGTAGATACCCGCTACCAAGCCTACTAATCGACTAACACGACGTTTCCAGCATTTGACTAAGATGAATAAAGACCAAATCAACCTCTACGTCAAGCGAGGATCCAGAAATGGAATGGAGATCCTCATCCTCCTCAAACAGCTAGGGTACGTCCCAATCGCAGCCCAAGGCAAATCTCACGCCAATCGACCAGGTTGAAATACGCTCTCGAGGTCGTCAACCACACCGAAGAAATCCGCGACGACGCATTCCGCTTCGTCGACATCCACGGCCACCTCCCCATCCTGACCGACACGCACAACGGCGACGGCCACCAGTTCAGCCTCCAAGAGTCCGGGGCGATCGTGCAGTATCTGATCGACCGGTACGACAGCGCCCACACCCTGTCGTATCCGAAAGGATCGTCGGGCGATCTCGAAGTCAGCAACTGGCTGTTTTTCCTAACGTCGCGGCTGGGGCCGAACCACGACGAAGCGGTGCATTTTGCCCTCCGCGCGCCGGAGCGTGTGCCGTACGGGATCTCGCGGTTTACGAACGAGACGCTGCAGCTGTATATGGTTCTGGAGAAGCACCTGCAGAAGACCCAGACGCCGTATCTGGTGGATGAACGGTTGTGAGTGGCTACCTTGGTCTTGAATTTAATTTGGAGCGCTTATGCTGTTAGCACTATTGCGGACATCGTGCATATCCCGTATATTGCGGGCAGCAAAGAGGCCGGTGTTGATATCGACCAGTTCCCGGCTTTGGGGAAGTGGTATAATCGGGTGTCGCAGTATCCTGCGGTGACAGAGACGATGGAGATATTGGGGAAAGATGCTCTAGATGATTGATCGTGGTGGCATTGTATACAAATGAATTTGTGTCGTTGGTCGATTATGATCGTATGCGTCGTAGACAGCACCAGCACCGGATTTGGAGTGTGATGATATAAGTTGGTCAGGTGCCCAATAATACGGTCACCGTCCGTGGTACAAAGGGTCCAGCTTCCGGCCTCTCACAACACATCAGACCACCTGGACCAGATGATTTGAGACTGGCCGGAATGGGTTGACACACTGGTCTGGAACCGCCTCTGTATGTCTTCTCTGATATCATAGATGGTAACTCCGCAGCACACGGCTCCTTTTAAATAGACAGCTCCATGGAGATAATTTCAGTCAACCTCACGACCAAAATCATCTAGTGCCACTCAACATAAACAAGAACACAAAATGGCCGCCCCCATCCCCGAGAACCTCTATCATGTCATCCTGTCAACCTCGCACATCAGCAAGGACCCGAACAATGTGATCGAAAAGGTGCGCATCCCAGGCACCTACGTGTCGCTGCTAGCCGCCAAGGCGGCCGCACACACCTGCCTCTACGACGCAGGCTACGAGCGGGAGTTCTTCGCCGAGTACGAGACGAAGAAGGAGGTGTTTGAGGCGGAGAACCTGCCGGAGCGGCAGGGGCTGGCGGTGTACGCGGTGGCGCAGGACGGGACGCAGTTCCGGGTGCGCATCGACACGACGCCGAACGAGCGGCAGCTGCAGACCGACTGCGAGGACGGGCGGGTGTCGGCACCGCTGTACTATGTGATCCAGACGATCGTGGAGTACGGCAGCGGACCGGAAGCGACGAGCGAGGTGCGGGAGTTGAGCGTGCAGGGGACGTTTGAGAATTACCGCGAGGCGCGGCAGCACGCGGAGACGGTGCTGCTGTCGGAGGAGGACAAGGTGGGCAAGGACAGCTACGCGGCGTATGACGAGGCCGCGGCGGACGCGACGGACTGCGGGTATGGGGAGAATGTGGTGGTGCATGCGACGGGGCAGTATGGGGAGAATTATCTGATCAGTGTGATTCAGACGCAGGAGCTCAAGGGGGTGGCTTTGGCGGAGGCGGCTATGCGGATTGGTTAGGCTTGTGTACTTGTAGGCGTACCTGGAGTTTGTGGGCTTTTGTTGTTATTGTGAGAAAAGGATTAGGGAAATCTAGCATTTCATAGGGATAGGATTTCCAGTCTTGCTGTTCCCGTGATCTACTCTGTAGGCTAGTTGAGTAGATAGGGGTAAGTGCTGATTTATACATACGGAGTATGAACTAGTCAATGATCGTGCTATGAATAGGTCAGTCCCTAGCTAGAGGTAGATACGTAGGACGGAGGACGGAGGACGGAGTATGGTGGAGAGCTTCTAGTATCCCCCTTGCCTAGGAATTACCTAGTTCCAACCCATCGGAGCGTGATCAGATAACCCTGTTGGGGGTTCCTGTACTCCGTACGGAGTGATTCCAGAAGGTGCGGAAGACGAAACAGTGGAGACATCGATGTTTTATTATTCAATTAGGGCGTACCAGTTGACCGTCCCGTTGGGCAGACAATGGGTCGGATTACTGCGGAGGGAAAGGATGGTGCAGTTAGTCCCTGCAGCCGCTGGGGGATATCTGATCCTCATTCGGTATCTGATTGATATGATCCAATCGCCGACATCGGATCCCCGCCCGGAACCAAGTGGAATGCATTCTCCTTGGACATACCTATTATTATTATTACGAAACCAATTACGACCCACGAGAATGATCTTGGTATGACTTGATCAGGAGAAGCAGAACACCGTGATACATACCCCTTTAACACGGGCTGGATCCGTCTATCCGAGACAGGCGGTGTCATGGTGGGCTGATTCGGAGTGGCAGGGATTCCGTCCCAAAGTAAGTTATCTGATCCGGCTGCTGCATGCCGCATTCGACAGTCATCAAAATAGGAGGAATACGGAGTCCGAAGTATGTTCAGTATCAGTATCCTACAGGCAATAGAATAATTCTAGAATGACAGGGATTCACTACTCCGTAAATTATCGATGTGTCCACAACCTAAGGACAGCTGGCATATGATGGGGCTTAACCGAGGCCACCTCGAATTACACCATGATTTCTCGGTCTGGCTGCAAGCGGATCAGATTAGATTCGGAACCCTCGGTATTACCAACCGGTACATCAACTCCTCGGAGTGTCCATCCCAACAGACACATCAAGATATCATATCACCATGATAGGATGATACTCCGGAGTAAAGATGATGTGTCTTACTCAGATCCAAGATAACCACCGCAAAAGCAAACATTCAGACCCTCCGTTAGCTGCAGATCTAACTAGGTGCTGACCAGCCGGGCCTTCTCCACGGAGATCGGCCGTCATCCTATAATGCCATCGCGATAGTAATAATACGATAGAGATTCTTATTTTAGTGATGAGAATTAAGATGACGAATCTCCCTTGACTCTACTCTTTTCTTTTCTTTTCTCTTCGTCTATCCCTTTTCTCTCTCCAAGCACCTACCCAGGTAAACAGCAAGCACCCGACAATACGGTACACAGACGTAATAAGGGTGGCGAAATTCGGTCAGTTGTGCGTTTGCCCTCCCGGTTCTTCCCTTTTCCCTCCACTCCGCTTTTTATCTGATGAGAATTATTTCATCCCTCATCCCTCATCCGGACCCCAGTCGCTCGCATTTCTCCCCCCATTCTTACCTCCTTCAATTCAGCTTCGCCCACAACCCACCACGGAACCGCCATTCCGGTGTCGGATTGCCCAGGCGAATCAATCATCCGACGTCTCTTCTCTCCTCTTCTCTTCTGCCTGTCCTTGTCTCATTGACGCTCTGTCTGTGATACTCTTATCCACCATTACGGGTCGACTTTTTACCCTCTTCCATTCCCCTACCCTACGTCCATTGATCCTCGCATCTCCCTCCTGGCGAGCGATCCTCTTTCAACCGTCTTCCTCCCTTTTACATCTTCTTTCTCCTATATACACAGTCACAATGGGTAAGCTCCTCCCAATTCCCAGCTCCAACACGCCCGCTGACTATATCTCAAACAGTCCACGCAGTACATTCACCACCGTCGAGGCCCATGAGCACAAACTCCTGGTCCTCGACCTCCGTCGCACCCGCCGACAGAGCCATTCCCGTGTCGTCCACCTCGCACCCAGACAATCCCGTGCCCGAGGAACCCCGTGGTGTACGCTCCTTGTCCGTGACCGACACCACCTTTAGCACTTCCTCTCCCTCATCACACGATACCGAGACCACCGTTGGTTCAGAGACTCCGTCCACGGAACTGACGGAGCCCCAATCCGATGTCGACAACGTTTCCCGGAAGCCTTCCGAGGCAGACAATGGAGCGGCCCACAGACGTCGAGCATCCACGGTGCTCATCTCGCAGAACTCCGATGACATGAGACGGGTATTGGAGTCGGTGGGCAGTGCCGGTACGCAAAAGATCCAGCCGCTCTGCTGTGGCGGTGGTTGCTGCAAGAGTCAGCCTCTGGGCAAGTTCCCCGTCACCGGCGTCAACGTCGTCACGCCTCCGGATAACAAGGCCTACAACGACCTCAACCTGAATGTAGAACTCCTCACTTTGGAAAGCGAGCTCACCGGTGTGGAGGAGCTCCCGGAGAAGACCGTGTCCTTCTCGAGCATTCCGGCCTCGGCCGTGGATATGGAGCTGGGTCCGGCCGACCACCCGCCGCCGTTCGTGCAGCCCCATCCGCCATACCATGTGTATCGTGCGCCTCTGCATCATGCACGTGAGCTCACCAAGCCTGGTGCGGAGAAGCGCACATATCACTTTGATATTGATGTGACCGACTACCCGGCCGAGAGCGGCATGGTCGACTTTGTCGTGGGTGGGGCCATCGGCGTGTGCCCCAAGAACAAGGAGGAAGAGGTTGAGGACATCCTCAACCAGCTCGGCATTCCCAAGTCGATTCGCGACAAGAAGGTCTCGGTGCGGACCACCAAAGGCCGCTGGCCGACCATCTGGGGAGATGACCAGGCGCGCGAGCTGATCACTACTCGCCGAGAGCTCCTGAGCTGGTGCTCCGATATCCAGAGTTACGCACCCTCCAAGAGTCTCTTCCGACTGCTCGCCGAGTACGCGAGTGAACCCAGCGAGAAGAAGATCCTTCTCTTCCTGTCCTCCGCCCAAGGCCAAGGAGCCTTCTGCGATCTCCGCACGGCCTCCCACGTCACCGTGTCCCAGCTCCTGCACGCCTTCCCCTCAACGCATCCCCCGTTGGACCACCTTCTCTCCGTCCTGAACACCTTGATGCCGCGTTTCTACTCCCTGTCCCAAGACCCGCTCCTCTCCTGCTCCCGGAAGGGCACCGGTTGCCGCCGCTTGGTTGAGGTGGCCGTCTCGGTCGCCGAATCCAAGGATTGGAAGGGCGGATGGCGCACCGGCGTGGGTTCCGGTTACCTGGAATCGTTGGCTCGTAAGCTCATTGACGCGGAGCAAAAGGGCATTGATCCCAAGACCCTCGACCTCCATGTCCCTATGTTCCGGGGTCTCATGGCCAATCCTCTGGCCAAGCGTTTTGCATCCGACGGCCCTATGCTTCTTATTGGCGCCGGTGTTGGCATCGCTCCCTTCCGTGGATTCGTCCAGCGTCGGCTGCAGTCTGCCAACTGCGCCAACAAGGTCTGGGTGCTTCAAGGGGTGCGTGACTCCCTGCTGGACGAGCTCTACCGCGGCGAGTGGGGCGTGGAAGAGGAAAAGGTGCGCACGGTGGTGCAGAGTCGTCGTGGTGAGAGTAAGTACGTTCAGGAAGAAGTCCGACACCAGGCCGATCTGGTCTGGTTCGTGATCAACGCTCTGGACGGTCGTGTCTTTGTCTGTGGCAGCGGCAAGGGCATGGGCGATGGCGTCGAACAAGCTCTGGTGGATGTGGCCATGGCCAAGGGGAACCTCAACGAGGAGGAGGCCAAGTTGTTCTGGGAAAACAAGAAGGAAGCTGGACAATACATTGCTGTAAGTGCATCCGTTCGTCGGTCCGAGACCAAGACTAACAGACGCTTAGGAAACCTGGTAATCATGTATACTCCTGTGGCGCGGACTCAAGTTAAATCTTGTCGGACAGTTCTTGTATATGGTTACATGGTCGGATGTATATTGTGAATTCCTCGGATCTTTTGGGTGTTTAGCGGGGTGGCCTTTTGCTTTTGTTGACCTGGTTGATTCAGGTCTTTACATATCGGTTGCATCATAGATACTGGTAGCAATACATGTTGCATTGGTTTAATCTCACGCGTTTGATTTTCTATCTCCATGCGCTCGTTCCAAACCACACGCCATACAGCCGGTTGCAACCAATCCCGCTTCTAAGCATATTGGCCTGGCCAAATGTAACGGCCACAACGCTGCGCTCATCTAGACGGATAAGTTTTGTAAAGCAAGCGTGTCCGTCTTTATAGCCGAATCGTGCGCTTTTGGGGAGCCCCGCGCGTCTCGTGAGTGCTGCTAAAGGAGATGACGACCATGATCATGTTGATAATGATGACTGTCAGTCAGCTTCAACTCTCCGGCCTCCCTCCCAATGCGATGTCCACCTTGTGCCTGCCGATTTAGGAGGATTAGCCTGTAGTGGTCCGGCTTCGTCCAGACAGTAGAGCCCGAAAAGCAGTGTGAGAGCTCTTTGATTAGGTCCTCCTACTCACAGTGTTCTCTAGTATGTAATGGAATGCCTATTGCTTGCTGGAACATGTCCTTCTAGAGTGTGTCTGGACTGGCGAGGAGGGTAGATTCAGAGGCCCAGCCAAGTAGGAAGGTCGGAGACAAGGGGTAACTCTGAGGTGGATGAGATAGTATACTCTACGATATCCGAATTTGTACTTATAAGTACGATATTGGTATAGGAGCTTTCTTCATTGATCGAGAGACTATCCGGTTGGCTCTCAGGTTATTGAATTAGACACTCCGAATAGTGACACTACATACGAAGCTCTGTGGTATCAGCAGTTCTAGACATAGTACAATATCGTCTCCGGTTTGAGAGTAGTGAAAATTGAACATAGTTGAGAACAGTGTTTCGTTATAAAAAGCACCAGATCGAGTATCTACCATGAACCACGACCTTCAGTCTTGATCTACGCTCCAGAATCAAGTACCTGAACAAGTTCTCTATCGTGGAATCATGCATCATTGGGCATTCGCTACAGCATCAGATCAAGCCACCACTGCCTCTTTTTGGCAGTCTCTACGACCTCTGCATGGGCCCTGTATACAGTATACCATCTAGACGATTATACTGCGATTCACATGCACCAGGGATACAGTCTCAGATGTGTAAGTACCTCGGTGGAATCCCATATCTGCGCCCAATTGCCAGCGGACGAACAACCAACCGCAGCAAACCACGCAACAAGTGCGAGGCCAAGCATGGTTGCCCAGCGAGCAACGCATGTAGGGGGTTGCGACGTTGAAAGGGGGCGATAACCAGCCCCTGATGTGAGATGGATGCCGCACTATTGTTCGAACGCTTCTCCAACCAGCGGAGCAGCGCACCCCAGAAACTCGCGACGCTCGCTCCGATCGTGACAATTGTCTTGTCTTGCCGAACCAAACCACATGGGACAAAAACTGGCTCTTCACGCGGCCCCCACGACCATCCCAGATGCTTTACTGCTTTGGGGACGCGAGATCGCGGATCGGTGTCAATAGTCGCAACTCTGCGCACTGGGCTGGGGGCCAGAGGGGGGGGGATTCCAAACAACGGCCGTCCGAGCCCGACACGCAGTAAAACTCGCCAGGCTGTCGATCAGCCGCGCAGGAGGACGAACAGCTGTTCGTGGTGGACGAGGGATCGGAGGGGCGACTTACTCCAGTTGGAGAATGGGAGGCCCCCTGCGTGTTTCTAGAAGGCATTGCGAGCGGGGGCAGTTTAGCAGTTAGTAGTATCACCTAGTGCCTAGGTCCCTACTTAGCACAGGGTAGTTAGTTGCGGCCATTGAAGGTTTGACACTATCTGATGGGACCGCTGCACTATTGAAACGAAAGCCCGTCACGCCAATACCGACAGACAATACAGGGGGGAAACCTCGGAAATTTCCTCTCGTGCTGAGACATTCTGGAACCCGGTGATGTCAATTTCGACTGGATCTCCTAGACAGATACGAACCATGGTTGCGTCGGGAATGGATGAAGGACGACCCAAGATCGAAGACGAGACGTGGCGCAGTTGGAGGCATCCTTTGAACCGAACTGTTCGGTCTGGCGCCGTTAAGCTCTGCGCGACAGAGGCGTTCCATAGAGCGCCCAAGGGTTTCAGCCATGGGAGCGGCGACAAAGCAACCCAAGAACCAGGAAACCACCGCGTCCTGGGTGACACGACAGATGCGCGATGACAAATTCAGCTCCGGGAGTTTCATCCTTTACCGTCAACCACTGACTCAGTAAGACGCGTCCGATATCACAAGCCACCGCTCAGCCTCACGGGAGATAGAAGGGGGAGGGTCAAGGGATTTAGTTTGGTTCCGGATGTTCTATCCGGGATTACTTTCCTTTCCTTTCCTTTCCTTTCCTTGTGAGTACCTGTATAATATTATAATATCAGATGGATTATAGGTGGATGCAGGGATCTCACAGTGCAAGACAAAGATCTTCATCGCGATCAACGCACGATTCGCTGTTAGGGTAGATCTGGCCACGGCCGCACAGCTTGACTATTTCGGCAAGTCCCTACGAGGTGGCGTCGATCTGTCATGGACGCCAAAGCGCCCCTTGATGGAGGCCACCGCCATTCTGCATTCCGGTGATGGTGTGGCTGGGGGGGGGATATGTTGACCCAGCTGCATATTCCGTACATGGGCGACGAACTCCTCACAGAATACCAAACTCTACCCCTTGAGGAAGGAGTCGGCGTCTGCCATGGAGACACTGGGGACATCGATCGGACGAATGGGGCCTATTTTTAACCCCATATGGGTCCCTTTCGCGTGTCAAAAATTGAGGCCGGACAGGACAGGGCACTAACCAACTAGTAGTCTAGTATGGCCATGACAAATTACCCACAACGGGTGACAGAACCCACGCCACGAGGGCTACTCAAATCAGTGCCGGCGATGACGGAGCTACTCGGCTTAGAGTTCGCCTGGTCTATGGATGGCATCGTCTTAGACTCTGGGATCATCGTATTCGGCCCTGTGGTTGAACCAACCCTTTGTCGCGCCTCTCCGTCATCCTGCGGCCCTCATACCGTCTGTAGAAAATGGACAATGCCGTTTCGAGTGATGACGCCGGAGATTATAGCCATTATTTGAACTCTTTCTTCAGCCGGTTTCCTGGGTCACGGACACCTGCCGAACCAGCCGGAACCCGTCAAATCAGAGCATTTGACATGCAGTCCCAGGATCCAGGAACCTTGTCCCGAGATCCTATCCCCATGGATTGGCATGTATTAGCATGTATGGGTGAGGTTGGATGACGCTTTGATGCATGGATGGATGCTATCCGAGTGTCACAAGCCGCGTCGATCCGGATGAGACGCACCTCGATGACTCGCTCCTCGCGTGAACGACAGAGCCTTTCGTGCACTGCGGAAATGACAGCCGCCCTCGTCTCGGCGACTGCGGAACCAACACGTCGGGATATGAAATGATGGCCGGGCTTCCGATCGTCCCAATGTGGGGAGATCATGGCCTTTCACTGGTGCATCGAGTCAATCCACGCGCGCTAAGGATGCCATCTCTGCTGCGCTCTCCATTTTCCAGCTGTGCACGTCGGCCGTGGCGCGACTCCAACCAGATCGCTTGGAACGACTGGGTCTGCTCCATGAGGATCATCTCGTGGGCTGGTGGCACAGTAATCAGAGACTCTCCGCCGAGATTTTTTTTTCCCCTTCTCCATCGTCCCAGCCGTCAAGCGTGCACCCATGGATCCAGTCCCACCCCCTGTCAGCTCATGGCTCTTTAATAGATGGACCCGTACTATAGCTGAAGGTCGCCCCTCAGATTTGCCTCGTGGCACGGTTGACCATGGAACCAGGGTAACCCAAATAAAGGGCATGAACCGGCCGAGATTTCGGGTTCGACTTTCCGATCCCTATACGATCATCGTCAGGTAGAACATCTGCGTTCCTTGGAAAAGGTGCAACTGCATGGATGCTCCTCCTGGTAGACAGGGGAGCCATGACATATGAATGTCACACTTCCATAGGGCAGTACATAGTTATCTACCTAGCTAGGTACATATGGTGAACAACGCTACCCATTGGTGGGCAGGACGTTCCTTTTGATCACCGCATGTCAATTCCACCAGCCAAGAATGCCTCCTCGCCGACAACGTGAGATGTCATATGCACGGGGCGAATGAATCTTGCATGGCATATGGGCCGTCACACCAATCATTGTCAGCCACTGTTCATTTGCATCAGTTAGTCCGTTCGTTAGTTCCAGGTCAACC